AGCGAAAGGGTAATCGATATACCCCTGTGGGCTTTCAAAGGTGTAGTATGCTGAACGATCGCCCTTGTCGGCGGGGATATTCTTCTGCCATCGTGCCGGCAAGTCAGGCTGCAAAACGCAACATGATCAATACCATACAGGGCTACCAGCACACGTCGCCGACGTACGTTCGAGATGAAGAGTCTGCCGACAGCGATTAAGTCACCCTTCGTCTCGGCAGCTTCTAAGGCGAGCTCGCGATTGTAGCCACCAGCACTTATGAACGGCCGCTCGCCCCAAATTTCTCTCAGGAAATCGTTTGACTAGAGAGTGATCAGCGGGGATTCGTCCATCCATCACTAACCGGAGAACCTACCTCCCCTTCTCTGGTTGCCCTGTCTCGGTCGCCCTCCGTTCGGGGCTCACTCACATGGAGATAAGCCAATGACGACCATCGTTTTGTGATCTCCGATACAAGATAGCTGAAACCAAGTTTCGGGTCTGCCATACGCATACCTGTACCACAAGGTCATCAGTGGGTCAAATATTGCCTCCGCCATCACTCGGACTCACCATTGAAATTGCCCCATGGGCTGAACCGGATGCCAACCTTGGTCTCGCCAATCACCTTGATCGCTGCATCGAGCACTTCAAGCGCGAATCGGGCCCGGTTCTCGACCGAGCCGCCGTACTCGTCTGTGCGGGTGTTGGAAACATCCTGGGTGAATTGATCAATCAAGTAGCCATTTGCACCGTGCACCTCGACGCCGTCGAAATTGGCACGGATGGCGTTCTTTGTCGCTGTAGCGTAGAGCTGGATGTATTCTTTGATTTCTGGAGGAGGCATGAGCATATTGTGGAGATGTGGCTGGGGCTTTGCCATAGCTGTGCTCACCTTCTTTGGTCAATGGGCGCGGTGCGATGGGCATGCCCTCCAGCGGCACGTCAGACGCAGAGACATAGGGATATCCGCCTTCCGCCTGGAGGACATCTGGAATGGCTGTCCGCCCGACGGCCCACAGCTGCAAATACATGTAAGACCCGTGCTCATGTACGGCGTCCGTAACCTGTGCATTAACGTATTGAGACTTAGTGATAGGTGGTTGACCACTGCGAGAGCAATGCGTACGAGCTTCCAGCCGGCAATCTGCTCGTCACTCCAGATGCCGGGGACGTGTGGATATCCGCCTGCCTGCGGGGCAATGAGGGTCGCCTCGCTAATAATGAGTGTGCCGGGCGTGCTGGCGCGCTGTGCGTAGTATTCGGCCATGAGTGGCGCCGGGACGTGTTCCTTGGTCGCGCGAACACGCGTCAGCGGAGCCATCACGACGCGGTGCTGCAGCATCGCGTCGCCGACCTGGATGGGTGTGAAGAGCTTTGGCTGAGACATGGCTGAGGGAGGTGTGTCTTGTGGGGATATGTTTCGTGCCACTATATACTACCAGACTTCTTATTGGTAACGTGCGTACACTCAGCTTCCTGTGAAACAGTTTTTTCTGCCGAGACGTGTTAATCCAATTGCAAGCTTCGGTAATGTTCATGTTTCAAACTGTTCCAAGGGTGAATCTCGATATTAGATAGTACCAATCTACATTACTTCGCCAGTGTGACATCAGTACTAGTAAACCATCCCCCCAGAAAGAGGTGTAGGATGCACGGCAAACAACGGCGATCTCGTTGCATGGTGAGCGAGGTCCACAACTTGGCTCTTCCAAACATGGCCGCAGCAGGAGCTGCCTGGCGCTTATAAGCGGTGTTTGGGCCGCGCGCCTGAATCGGGCGAAACGTTGTGTCCGCACGACAAGTGTTCGTAAACATCAACGTTGCTCTCTTCACCCATCTTCTCACCGCCGTCAACGGCGGCGACCACACATCTGTCACACGTTTATCAGTAACATCCCACGCCTCATCAAGGCACGGAGAACGCGGCCCTTGTCCGACAGCTAGGCTGCGGACGATGACGGTCACCATTCGCATCCAGTACAAGGGCGAGGGCGCGAGGAAGCTCTTAGCCGAGGAACATAGCCAGGACCGCGATACGGCCCAGCGATATGCCGAAGACGTGAACAGGGCTCTCAGCATGTTCGCCATACCCCACCCTCCGCATAGCTCGAAAGTGATATGGAAGAGTGGTTTCGTTCTGTGCAACTACAATACTTCGAAAGATACGGTGCGTTTACAAGTCGCACCGCTTGAAAAGTCCTCATGTATGCGCATGCAGCCTTTCTTCGAAAAGATATACCGCGGTGTCTTCAGAGCGCAGAGTGGTGCTTGCAGAGCTACGCTGGAGGGCCTTCATATGTGTGGTCCTATTCAGACACTTTCCGCTCAGCCGTTCCTGACTCACTCCGCAGAAGCTACATACACCTATTTGAGAAGTCAGTGTTCCTTACGTGCGCAGCAGCCATGCTCCGAATCTGACTCGACATATCCTCAGCTCGAAGCCTATCATCTTTGGAAAGCAAGCACAGTTACAGCAGCAACAGGAGGATGGCGCAAGCCTTCCTTCTCCTCGTGGCAACTTCGCGCCGCGTCCGAGGAGTCGCTCCCCTCCACGCAAGCACTACCACAAGCAGCACTGGACTCGTCCTCTGGGACCGGAGCATTCCGCCCCGGAGCTCTTGCGCCAACCGCCACTTGCAGAAGGTACACAGGGAAAGCATCGCTCACAATCTGTTGACCGCAAAGTTGCCGTGAAGTCTGAGCCTTTTGAGGATGTTGTACCCGCAGCACATTCCGGTGGCTCCGCTTCCAACGGCGCAGCAGGGTCTCCAAATATCTCAGAGGCGCTCAAGAAGTTGGCCGGATCCCAAACTTTGTTATCTTTGCTTGGGCACACACCGACGTCGACCTCAGCCGGTATCGAAGTACGTCGTCAGTTGTGGAGTGGATTTCTCGCTTGACACATGGGCTCATCAGCGCCCCACTAAGCAGGAGTGCGACTCTCCGAAGCGTTTAGAACCGCCCAGGGCACCAAGGTCTCTGCTCTCTAGTGCATCTAATGAGGGGACTCGCGACTTATCTATCACGCGCCCTTTGAGTCCTCCCCCGCGTTCAAATGGCTCTGGATACTATTCAAGAGACGATCGCTCGTCCAGGCCTCCAACTATGGAGGTCCGCCATGACTGGAACTCACGTTCCTTCAATAATCACAGTAACCGCCAAGCCTTTAGTCCTACCCCTCATCGGGGCAGATCCAGCAGTCCGGCTGAGCTCAGAGGCGTGCCATACGAACCCGCATTGCGTTATGCGGGTTATGGGGCTGATGCGACACAAGCGCCAAACTTTCCTCAGAAGAAATGGTTCAATCGTTCCAGAAGCCCGTGTCGAAGGCGTCCGTATAATGTTGACAAGTTGGACGCGCCCTCTCTGTGGTCAAAAGGTCCTCTCAAACGCCCCCTGAGCCCGACTCTTACGCCAGGTCGCGCTGGTAGCCCACCGCCGAAGCGACGGTTCTCTGTAAACAATGCAACTAACCCTGCTCGAGGTACTCCTTTACATGTTGACGTGGCTGCCGCAAAGCTGTCGACCCCGACTGCAGGATCCGGGGGGACAAACGGTACCCATGCGGCGCGCGGGACGGCCCCGCCCTCTGCGCTTGTCTCCTCCTCGACACTTTCTGCATCAGGCCCCGGCGTGAACGGCTCTGAGACGGCGCAGCCCTTCACACGCAATCAACAGATCATGGCGCTGAACCGTGAACTGTGGGACGTGCGCAGGCAGATCACGGCGATGAAGGCGCGCGAAGATAGCATTCTGTCTGACCTCAAGACGCTGCGCGCTCCAGAACTTCCAGAGGGCATGGTCATGCCCGCGAAGGCGCCCGGACCGGAAGACAGGCTCAGGCTGCTCGAGGCGGAGATTACTTGTACGTGTGTGTGCTTGTGTGGTGTCGAGGGGGGAGCCGGCGGGCCATGGTGGTGGTCGCGGCGCACCGCCGCGTGCGCCGCCGCCACCCGTTGGCCTGTCCAGGTTTTTTTTTGCGCCCCCGAAAAGAGAAGCAGAGCAGGGCTCTTACTGTGTTGGCGTCCCATTGTAGCACTGCGGTCGCGCCTGCAGAGTGAGACCGTGCGCCGGCAGCTCGTCGAGGAAGCCTGCGAGAACGAGCGCCGGAGGCGCAAGCACGCGGAAGACCTGCTCGACGACGCGCGGAGGGAAAGCAACACGCCGATCGTGGTGCCCGCCATGATGGACGCGTTTGAGCGGATCGCCCAGCTCACCGGCGAAGCCCTCATGGCGGCTAGCGAACAAGAGCAGCCGGCTGCCAAGGTGTGGTAGGCTCAGACTATGGCTGCGAAAGCAGTGCGACTAGTTAGGTTATGTCTGCGACGTTGAGTTCCGACGTTAGTGTTCCTTGAACCTGTTTGTAGTGTTAGCGAGGCCTTGTCTCGGGATTTGGCAGAGAATTTGTGTAGTATACGGCAGCAGGTCTCTGCGAAGTCTACCGATACAACTGTCTCATGTATGTCACTTATAAGAAAATATGCATACGTCGTGAGCCCTAGTATAGTCTGTAGCGAACTTTCCACCGTGACCAGAGTACAACGGGTATCCCAAGAGCGAATTCACAGCAGATGCGGAAGACATGCGAATAAACAAGTGCCAAAGCCGCCCGGTCTCAGACAGAGCAGCCGTACTATGTACTGCGCTTTAAATCGAGTTACGGTAATTAGAAAAAAGATCTACGTTGGAAGACGCAAGTGCGAGAGACCCGTGCAAAGCTCGCGTAAAATGTACGGGCCACTGATGTTATTCCTCCTCGTCCTCATCCTCCTCTTGGATAGTTTGACGGAACGCAGGCTGAGTATTAGGCAGCTGCCCACGGCGACCTCCCCGAATTTCCGGTGGGAGATCGAAAGACGTTTCGCCAGGTGCAGGCGAAGTACGTCCCGCGGGTGATCGACCCGTCGTCCGCCGGCTGTTCCTTCCTGGGATCGGCGACACAGTACTTCTGCTGCCCGTACGGTTGGTGTTCGGTCCCCTGCTCACATGGCTGACGGGCGGCGCAATAATGGGCGAATCGGGCTGCCCGAAGACAGTCGGAGATGATACCGGCATCTGACCGAGACCGCCGACGTAGCCAGACACGTCGTCGTCCTCGTCGACCCAGTCTGACTCGTCGCCCATGCTGAACGACTGCCTGCCCGTGAAAACATCACGTATGCCGCCCGCCGGCGACGGGAAGACCGCGAGCACCTCGATCGTCGACGCCTTCGCCGTGCGCGTCTGCCAGCCAGGAGGTTCCATCCCCCACGATTTCTTCCAGCTCGAGCGGCCGATTGAGTGCAGGTGGGCGTTGCTTCCTCCACCGGGGTTGCTGAACGGCGTCGTGCGCTTCTGCGCGACGAACGTCGTAGGGCTGTGTCCGCCTCGCCGCGGAGTGTCATCTGCGCCACGAGCAAAATAGCGTGCCGGGGAATCCTTCGCGACCTCTTCAGCCTCGGAAAGCTCGTATAGAGAACCATGACGCGACGACGAGAGAGAATGATTGGACGAGGCAGAGTTTGAACGGAGATGCGGCTGCTTGTAAGATGCACCCAGGGGCAGCTGCCGCACTACCCTCGTTGACGAGCCAGAGCCGTGCCTTCTGTGGATTTTTGAGGGAAGAGGCGAACTAGTCCGGCCCACATTGTAGAGCGACCCCGCTGAACTAGCAGAAGGCGACTTCCGGTGTCGCGGTTGCTGCGCCGTGAAACTGTGCACAGAGGACGGGCGCGACTCGGAGTTGGGTGTATGCGCACCAAACGACTGTCTGCTGGGGTCACTCCGCTGCCGTGATATCGACGCCATCTGCTCACCGTACGACGATGGCTCGAAGCCGCCAATCTGCATTGACGTCGCTGACGACCGTTTCGAGTTGACACTACTTGAGCGACGCGAGGACACGGAGCCTCGCTTGGCACGGTTGCCAGTCTTGCGGCCGGGGGTTACCTTCGGGCGCGTGTTACCGTTGCTCATGCGTCGTTTGACTGTACCACGACCGCGACCCGTTGATGGGCCGGGACTCGGACTGCCTGGATTCTGCGGGTAGGCAAGACTCTGAGAGACCAAGGCAGGCGGCGGCTCCTTGCGCTTGCCCTTCGCATCTTCCTTAAACCATGTGCGGAACGCTGAGAGTAGACTGGCCCGATTGCGACCCTGGCCGTTGCCCAATTTGACGGAATTCTCGCCAATGGTAGACAGCGTGCCAAGCGAGTTTCCGGGAGAGTTCGCAGGGGTAAATTGCGGTGATTGGTGATGAGGCTCAGCAAGGACCCAGGGCGAACCGACAGTAGTCGGCACCGGGTTTAAGGGCAGCGTACGTGGTGGGGTGCTAGGCTCATCCTTGACAGGCTTCAATGGGGGTGACTTCAGGAGCTTGCCTGATCCAGTGTGCGACCCATGAGATACGCGTGAATCTTCTTGGCTGGCTACGCGCTTCTCGTTCTCCTCTTTTACAGCCTCGTTGGATTTCTTGCGGACCAGGCCGGCGGCTTCGAGAGCTGTGGCAGCGCGCTGCATGATGCTGACACTACCAGAGCGCATCTTGCGACCTTTACTACCATCCTTCTCCTTCACACTACCACTAGGAGTGCTAGGATGAGATTTCATAGATTCAACAGGAGTATTGTTACCCGGAGAGAGTAGCGGATTAGAGGGGGACATAGCTCTTGGGGGCGTTGCTGGGCGATGCATAGAGGCAGTAGGGGTCGCAGGAATAAATTGCAGTTCTGGAGCTGAATGTGCTTGCACTAAGGCTTGGGGAATAGGTGACCGGGAGCGCTCCTCCTTACCGTTACTGAACGAACGAGTCTTCGGTTTCTCCTCTTCAGAATGATGCGCTCCTTCGCGGCCTACGCTGACTCTGGACTCGCTACGGATTTTTGAAGTTGCCTCCTGCAGTGTTCGCCGCTCCGCCTTCCGCTTGAGCATCCACCATAATGCACCAGTTGCATCACAAGCATACGCGAGGACAGAGTGCACGATCTGGCCGGTGTCGAAACCGAGCACACTCAGACTGGTCAGCAGTTCCCGCTCGAGAGGGGTAGAGAAAATGAGGGGTGCCGGCGTGCCGAGTAGCGATGAGAAGTTTTGAGGCGGTTGCGGTGCGGTGGAACGCTTTGACCCACTTGGTGAGTCAGACTCAGACAGAGTCGAGGATACTGATCGTCGCTTGGTTCGTACCGGCGTTCGCGTCGGTAACGCCGGCGGCCCCTTGGACGAAGTCGAAGCGCGCGAAGCGGTAGTTCGTCGTGATAATGACGGTCGGACCGGTGCCTCGACCAACAGCTCGCCCTCAGGTGACATCACTTCCTGAGCGCTGCTCACTGGAGGAAGCTTATCCGCCAGCGACTCGACAGCATACCGGAGTGTGCTGACACTAGCGATGCGAGAGAGAGCAGAGTCTTCGTCTTGGACGACACCAACAGCTACGTCATCTGGTGTTGACGGTGTTGGGGGCGAGAATTCAGACGAGGCAGAGTGAAAAGTGGCGTCCGAAGCTTCAGAGGAGGCGGAGACTGGCTGGGGCTCCAGGGACGCCGGGGAGATAAGAGTAGGCGAAGCTGAGCGAGATGCAGCAGCGCCAGAGCCGCTTAGTATTGGAGGGAAAGATGGTAAACTTTGGTGTGGTGAAAACCACGAATGAGACAGTATGTGAGCAATGCTTAGTCGCTTTGATGGCTCAACCACCAAAATGTTCTTGATAAGATCACGAGCCTCTGCAACACGATTCAGCGGCGTGTAAGTAACGTAACTCCGGGAGAGTTACCATCAGACAGCCATTCTGGATCTTCGAACACGCCTTTAATGACCTTCGTCCTCATGACGTCGTCGTCGTCGTCGTCAAACGGAAGCATGCCCGTAAGCAACGTATACAAGATTACCCCAAGTGACCAGATATCAACCTCTGGAGAGGGTATCAGCCATGAAGCTCGCGATGTAACAGCGGGACATACCTGGACCAAGGTATTTCTGTGACTGGAGCATCTCTGGAGATGCGTAGCCTGTAGTGCCGCAAAACGTTTCAAGCAATGTACCACGATCGAATTCTCTCGTGAAGCCAAAGTCGCCGAGCTTCACGCGGCAGTGTTCGTCCAGCAGAACGTTTTCGAGCTTTAGATCGCGGTGAATAATCCCTTTCTCGTGTATGTAGGCTACGGCGAGGCAGAGCTGGCCGAAGACCATGCGCGTCTCGTCCTCGGAGAGACGGCCCTTCTCCGCGAGGTAGTCGAAGAGTTCGCCTCCGGAACATAGCTCGGTAACGAGCCAGATGTAGTTCTCGGTAGCAATGACCTCGTACAGCTGGGTGACGTGGGGGTGGTGGAGCTGGCGGTGATGGTGAATTTCTCGGGTCAGGGAAGCAGACATGGCCTTAGGGATTTGCTTGATCGCCACACGGGTCCCTGTTAGTCGATGCACGCCCAAGCGCACCTTGCCGTATGCACCTGCCATATCCTCAGTCTCCGAGCGAGAAGGGGACGACGCTCAAATACGCACCTTCTCCGATAGCCTTTCCCAAAGTGTAGTTCCCAATAACCCTAATCTTCTGGGAAGACAACTCCTTGCCAAGTTCATTGTACGCGCTTGCTAATTGAGCCTTGTGATTCTGGGAAACAGATGCTGTTTGTCGGTGATCGATAGCAGACATAGTAACATTTACAGACGAAAGAAAAGAACGACGCAGGCGAGAGCCAAAGGGGTAGTGGGCAGCAGACGCAGACAAGTAAGATGGTGGTTGCACGCAAGTTCAATGATAGCTGATGGAAAGCCAAATCGGAGGGTAACCGAGCTAACAAAATTACTTACCCCCTGTAACAACCCGTTACAGCTTGTCCATAGGCGCCCATATACGCGGGTGCGAATCGCGCCTGGCGTACGCGAACATTTGATGTCTTTCTCTCTCGCCAGCCGACGGAAACCTGCGGAACCCCGACACCATGGTCATGATGCAGAATTCCACTTGGTCTTGGTATAAGATGTATAACCGTGCGGGAGTCACGTCTTCACCGCACGTGTACCCGCAGGTACCTACGATGACCTAGTACTGTGCCACTCTTTTTGTGCGCTTCCTTTCCCTCTCTTTCAACTACCTTCAACTTCCCTCCCTCCCTTGCAGCGCTTGCCTACCCTTTCCCCCATACTACAAACTATTCATCAGAAGTGCCATGTCCTTGTTGACTCCGCCATGGGTACGTTGTTTGTCTTGGGAAAGCCACTTCCCGCGCTGACCTCTATGGAACACTTCACTTTGCGACACCTCTACACAGACACCTACTAGTCTACCCGTACACTACCCGCCAGGCATTCCGCCCTCAGAACAGCTGTCTCGCGACCGGTCGCCTTCGTATCCACTCCCATCGAGAAAACGAACGCGCTGGGGTGAGTATAGTCACGCCACCACACACAAAAGGATAAGATGCTGAGAAAAGCCTTCTCTAAGACCGCGACGACGACGAAAGATGTCATCCGTTAGTCTTGACTCTTTTCTAACTATGCGCCACTTCTCATTACCTGTTATAGTGCTCCTCTTCAGGAGGACAGCCCAGGGCCTGCGCAACGAGTGGAGGCTTGCATTCAAATGGCTGACGCGTCTTCGTCTCTCCAGAGCGGCTATGACTTGGTTTCTCGTCAGTATCACAATCTGAACATGTCAGTCAAGCTCTGACATGCATACAGGGCTACGCGCTGAACTGCTAGAAGAGTCCAAGGCTCGCACCCAAGCGGAAGGAGCTGTTTTGCAAGGACATATCACGCGGGAAAAGCTCGAAAAAGAACTTGCAGAATTACGCTATACTCAGACCGTCATACAGCAGCAGTATGCCGCCGCTCAGGTGTGGACCTCGCAAATCGCAGCCTACTACGAGGATGTGAAACGTCAGACCGAGGCAGCCGCAGCCCAAGAGCGCGAGGAACGCACGCAGCTCCAAAAGCTGCTCGACGAGGAGCGAGCTAATGTTCAGCGGCTCAAGGCGCGGTTTAACGAAGAGAAGTCTGAGCGGCTGCGCCTTGTGCATATGCTCGAGATCGAGACTATCAGCCGTAACCGTATGGAGCAGCTACTCGACTCTCGGACAAAGGGGTATCAGGCCGAACAGCATGCGCTCTCTGACGCGAATGCCGCAAAGGGTGCACTGGAGGAGGAAGTTGCGAAGCTGCGCGCCGCGCTCGACGCTGAGATCCGGCGGTGCACAGGTCTAGAGGAGTCGCTGAAAGCAGAGAAGAAGCAGTCGCTGCATCTCAGCAACTTGCTCAAATGTATCGAACGGGAGCGGCAGACACCGTTCTTGGTCCTGGCGATCCTGGATGTCTTCACGCTCATCTCAGGCATCACCGATAGCGTCCTCGGCGACACCGCACCGTGAGGCACCTTGTACTCTTTTATTTTGGTCCGTTCTGCATGGCTTCATCCCATCCTTTCTCAGCATATTCATTCCCCTCTGTTTGCAGTCCGTGAAGCTTGAAGCCTTCTGGCCGCTACCTTCACCTCCTAATACCCTTTTCCGCCTCACCAACATTTGGAGCAACAACATACAACAGCATAGAGTAATTACTGTAATTAGTTTGACAACTATCCGCTTGTATCACACCCAAACACGCCCGACTTCCGTCCAGCCCAAGCACCTTACGGCGCTTATCCGGGATGCCAGTAGACGCCCATTGAGTGCCAACGCCACGAGCCTGCAGCCAGCCCTTCATTCTCGCATACTGTCAGCTTGGACTCTGGAAGTTTACACTCGCTCTCAATAGTTCCACATATGAGGTTTGCAGCACCTCGTTCTCTCGCTACCTCTCCTTCGCAGAGGTAAGTCCAGGTCGTAAGATGGCCAGGGTAAGCCTCATGTTGTATACAGTCGACAAAGGAAGCCGTCGCAGTGTACGCGAAGATCGACCTTCGGCGTGCCGTCAGACTCGTCGGATTCAGAGAAGGATTTTTCAGAGACTGAATCTTCCATTACCACTACCTCCGAAGACGAGAGCTTCGTCGAATCCGAACCGGAAGAAGCCAAGCCACAGCTGTTGAGTATTTCCGCGTTTGGCGCGCCGCCCGTGTGAGCTAACGCGTGCCCCATAGACGGGCACACCGAAGAGCACAAGAGCTGCGAGATGTAGACGAAATTGAGGCGATGGTTGCCTCGATACGGCTGCACGCCACGCACCACGACGTGTACGAGGAGTGGGAGCAGCAGACGCGGAAGGACGCATTCGTGAGTCGCCCCTAGTTATGTTTCAACATGTACTACAACTGGCACAAAAGATCACTGCACGCCAAGAACAGGCGGATCTGAGGGCCAAGCAGAAGGAGATTCTTGCACGGCTTCGTCAGGATAACGAGAAGCAGCAGGCTGCACAGCACCAGCAGCAGGTCGATGAGGTCCAGTCATGGCTCAGGAGGTTCGACGCGCTCAAGCAAAAACAGGAAATGCAGTTTCGCGAGCTCTGGAAACAGCACGACAAGGACATGTGGGATCGCGTCGAAAGGGCAATCAAGTTTGAGGAGGCCAAGGTCAAGGCGCGGCTTGAGGCGGAACGCAAGGTTCGCGAAGCGGAGGAGCGAAAGCGCAGAGAAGCGGAGGAACAAGCACGGCTCGAGCGCGAGCGCAAGCAGGAGGAGGAAGATAAGAAGCGTAAGGAAGAGGAGGAGGAAAGGCAGCAGCAGGAGCACGAGGCGCAGCAAAAGCAGAAGGAAGAGGAGGTCGCGAAGCAGAAGGAACAGCAGGAGCAGTCGGAGGCTCAGACGCGGCAGCAATGTGGGATGACAATAGCGAAGGAGGATTGGATGAAGGCACGAGACTTACTTGGGGTTAGTGGCTCGCCGCTTTATCACGCATGATGTCTGAACATCCCAGTAGAAACTGAAAAACAGAGTCATGCGTCCCGTTAAAGCTAATCCCCAGCTCAAGCCTCTGCTCAATGCGGGTCGTAGAGGTGTTAAACCGAAGATTGGACAATTGACGAATGATGCAGAATCCATTGTCCGGATTGTAGGTCTTACTGCTGGTGCTTCGCCGATTGTTGGCTCATGTGCTATAGACTCAACAAATTGTGCAAGTCATCAACCCACCACCACCGAACTTGAGTCAAAGTGACGACCGCAAGCAAGTCTACCTTGCTACGCTTTCTGCACTTGCGAAAGCCATTCTCCTGCAGGCGGAAACAGAAGTCACCGCTGAGAAACGCAGCGCAATACCTCTGGGCCAAGTGACCGCAAACTTGCTCGTGCACCTCGAACGCTTCCCAAACATCTTCTGGGCAAAGCTTTGCCAACGCGCGGGTGCTTGGCCAATACCGTTCGCGGTCCCAGAGAGCGATACTGACGGCACCTCCTTTGACGAGGAGGGCCGCGCGAAGGCAATGGGGTACCGCAGTAAAGATGAGCCCTTTGGGGAGCACCTGCAGCGCGTAGCCGGCATAATGCGCGTGTACTTCAACATCATCGCTGCCAGCACCCAGTTCGACCGCCCCATCGATCACCGTTTCCGCGTGCAACGCTACTGGCAGTACTTTGCGCGCATGATGTCCCAGCCTCAGCTACTTGACAGCCCTGTCGCAGCCGAGATACTGTACGGTAAGTATTGCTATCCTGTCATGTATGTACTTCGCTAACAATCTCTGACTTAGTCGCGTTGGACGTCTTTGGCGCAAAGGCCAGAGAGGTCTGGGGCGTGCAGTGGCTCAAGATGCTCGAAGTCATCTATGCGGGCGTCACGGAAGGTATCAGCGGCCAGAAAGACAGGCTCATCGGTGGCAAGAGCCCCGAGGGTATTGCCTCCCGCGTCCGGATACAGCTAGAGATAGAGAGGATCATGAGTACATGAAACACTTGCCTGCTTATTCTTGCTTATTCGTTACCGTCTGACTCTTCTTCGCCTATGCTTCTCCAGTCCATGCTGTACTTTTACACTCTGCACATATAGTATGTATTTCTGCACTGATGCTGATACATTTCGTTTCCCAGGGTTAGATGAGGTCAACGCCGATGTAGCTGCACGCCCCAAGCACGGCGGCGCCGAACAGCGCGAGGCCAATCGCGCGCTTGACGAAGGTGCGCGCGGTGAAGCGGCGGGCGCCCTCGCTCCCGGCCTTGTCAATAGAAGCGATGTCCTCGTCGGTCAGCTCTGCCGCAGATAAGGTAAGCCGGCAGATCTTGAGTGCAGGGAGTGAACTTACTGAGATCTCCGGCGGCCAGGTAGCGTTGAAGACGGTCTTTCTTCGTGCTGGACCTGAGCGGGGCGATTCTTTGTCAGTTTCACGCCACCCGGAAGTGAAGACCGCTGCACATACGTGACTACGACGACTCCCTTTGACTTCGCCCAGGCCAGTAAGACCTGCTCGGGCTCAACCTTCTCGCGTTTCGCGATCTTCTTGACGGGCGCGTCCACAGCGCCCCCGGGCTGATGGGTCAGCGGGCTGTTCCACGTCCGTCAGCTTGTGAGAAGCAACAGCAGAAACCAGCCCCTTACATGAGGACACTGTATGCCTCGACAACGATGCCTTTCTTCTGACAGTATTCCACGAGGGGCGCCTGGCGTTGCCAGACGTACGGGTGCAGCAGAATCTGGTTCGCGGCGGGCGTGACCTTTGCAGACGCGAGCAGCGTCTCGAGATGCGAAATCTCGAAGTTGCTCACGCCGATGCCCCTGCAGTGTGGTGAGTTTGATCTGTGCACGAATTATGGGGGGTTTGAAGGCCTACTTCGTGAAGCCGTCAGACTGGAGCTTCTCCATCTGCGCCCACGCAGACGGGATATCTGGGACTATACGGGGGTTGTGGATGAGGTAGAGGTCGACATGCTGCACACCGAGCTTGGGGGGTCCGTTAGTTGAGACTTTTGGTACTACCGGCGTTGCAACTCACATTCTTCAAACTGTTGTGAATGGACGTGTCGATGTCGAGGCCGTCAATTGCAGAGTACTTGGTAGTGATGAAGATATCGTCACGCTTGAGGCCGCTATCGTGGAGCGCGGTTCCAACCTCGAGTTCGTTGCGATAAGATTGAGCGGTATCTGCAGGCCTGTCTTTAGAGTCACCTCCCCGTACTTGAGAATACACGCACCAAGATGGTTGAAGCCGCCGTCGAGTGCTTGGTCGACGTGATCAACTGTTGGCTGGCCGCCCCCGAGCGTCCAAGACCCGTACGCAATGGACGGTATCTCGTTGCCTGTGCCTCCGTCAGCAATTCATGGCTTAAGGGTACGACAGGCCTAGGCGTTACCGTTGTTCAGCTTGATAGTATCCCAACCCATGGCTGCAACGATAACAGTGGTGGCACGTTGTAAGAGGAGAAAGGCGATGAGCAGGCTCACGAAGGTGCCCCTCATGTCTCATAACGTGCGAACATGGCGTGAGGAATAATGATAGTGCCATATAGGAACACGCGCGGCATGCGAATCCGTGAGGAATGCCGCACGGAAGCGAATGTTATCACGGCAGGCGCATCGCCGATGTGAGCTGCTCGCACGCAGTCGAGCTCTATCCTCTCCGGCATATGTATTCCAGTAGTTGTGTACGCTATTGTTGCCAGAATCGCAAGTCGCGAGTAGCGGTATGGTTGCGCGAATAGCATCCGATAGCGCCGGATGTACAGCGTGCAGGATTTAAAACTAGGTAAGACTTACAGTAAATGCCAAACCCCACCCGTTCTAACACTAGACCACCTGATCACACTCCCCATATCATTGTGTAATACTATCTCATTGTGCGACCATCTAGTAACGGCGGTCTGGATTTCAAACTAAACGTGGAGATTCAAGCAACACTGAGCGATGCTGCAAACATAGAGCTTACCTGTGGATGGCCGCTGCTGAACGTGACAGTCGCCGAGGTATCAAAGACGTACCGCGGCTAGAGAGACTCCATTATTTGAAGCTTTTCGCCTTGAGCAGCAGGATGGGGAACACAGTGTGCGCGACACCTTTCCATGCAGTCAACCCGTAATGTATACTGTGACTCTTTACAGACTTCTGGCCTGTACGGCAGCACGGTCGTTTTCCAAGACATCGATCCTAGTAGCACATGAAGCTTGAAGCTTGAAGCTTGGAGGCCGATCGTTTATAGAGGGAGCTTCTTCTGGCTGCGAGTTAGTCCAAGTCCGCTCTCAAAAGACGAAATAAGTTGAGATATATTCTAATCAATTTCCGGGCACGGTGGATGTCCTGGATGGCAGGTGTTAAGTGAAAGACGAGGTAACCGAACGACAAGCCATACGCACGCATACGCACTAGATGATCCTTTTCTCCGGTCCGGAGACACGCGATATTGCTGACTTGTAAACAGGCAAGGGGAACTCAGGGCCTCAAGCCCGCAGCGGGACCTTCCCTCGGGATGGCAAGACTTGCAATGCGAAGTAATGCCGTCTTGTGAACAAGTCCTGAATGTTCCGCCGAGTCGCTGCCGAGACTCGAACGGACAACCTGTCGACCGCACGAGACAGCGTAGTAATAGCCCGAAAGCTCTGCAAGGCGTCGTGGGCTTACGGAGATTGTCGGATGGCAGCGGACGTCGGTGTTGCAGACTGCGTAACCTGCGTGAGCTCAGAGCTGCCTGAGGCCGATGGCTGTGTGTGAGGCGTACGGGTAGCGCCCATTGGCCCTGTTTGGTCATCGTGATGCCGCGACCGCACTGCGGGAATCTTCCCTTCACGACTTGCCCTCTTCCACGACCGTCCCTAGACTTATACGCGCAGGACTCGCACTACTCATACGACTTGTTGAACTTGTTGTCACGGTGAGCGACCCTTTGTGAAGCCTTGTTAGCGTGCGGGAACCAAAGCTGATAACGTCCCCCGCTTGTGGCAACCTCAACCAGAATCACACGCTCTCGTCATGTTCGTTCCGCCTTCGCTTTGCTTTTGCTTAAGTTCTGACTGTATACGGCCTGCTTCCGTGTTCATCCTACTAGGTCTGAACCGTACGACCCCTACCTTCCTCGCAATGGCTCGTCCCCTGGCGCGGGTCCCGCCGCAGGCAACTCGAAGACCGCCGCTATCCAGCAGCAGATTGATGACACCGTCGGAATCATGAAAGAGAATATCACAAAGGTCGCTGAGAGAGGAGAGCGGCTGGATCAATTGCAGGATAAGACGGACAATCTCGCTGTCTCAGCACAGGGATTCCGTCGTGGGGCCAACCGAGTGCGCAAGGTGCGTCTTCCGACAAGCATCAGGATAGCTATCCCGTAAACTGATATTTTCCTCGTTAGAACATGTGGTGAGTTCGGATCTTTACTCGAGGATCGACTATTGCTGAGAGCTGTCTCGCTCCGATAAGGTGGAAAGACATGAAGGTGCGTCTCCCTGATCTTGGTGTCCCCTCAACGCTGATCTTAACTATCTACTAGATGAGGCTCATCATCGGCTTGGCGATTGCCATTATCATTGTCATTATCGTCGTTTCCATTGTGAAGGCAACACATCACTGAGAACGACACTGCCCCTTACTGCGAGAAGCCCCTTTGCCACCCCGATATCCTTCCGTTGACCGTGTTTCTATTTCTTTGCCCTATGACTGTATCTATGCGCACGTTATCATAATCTTCCGCACGATTATGGACTTCTGTGTTTAAGGAGATTTTTGTACAACACTATGGCGTTGCAGTTATTGAAGTGCATTTGCGACGGCCTATCAGTGTCACGCGGCTACTCGGCAACACGTCATTGTGGCAGCAGGCGCCTAGCGTTAAATCTCTGGGACGCTTTCATCACCCGCCTCCATGTCATGAAGCAATTGGTGAACATCGCTACGCTACATGGCTGGTGAGAGCGCAAAGGTTGCTGGTAGTGCGTGCTGCACTGCGTTGCATGGCGAATACACCAGCTATCATCCGTACGTCGCACGCCCGCTCTATGGAAAGAACCTGCTCATCGGTCTAAGGGTAGAGTAATCCTGTCGGCTGAGCCCCCCAGGCTTGCCGTAGGCTACGCCATCCTGATGTCCTCAGGGGCATTCCTGATAATAGGGAGCTACGCCACGCTATTCAGCGCATTTTGGTCAAACACCGGTATCAAGGTAATCTAAGTCTCGCCTTTGCCTGCGCAACGGGACTGACGTGCGTTGCAGGTGCTGGACGCGCTTGCGTCTGATACGCATTACAAGTACTTTGTTCTACTGCTAATTCCAACAACGGCGTACTTCGTGATCGCAAACTGGGTTGGCTGGCAATATTATCGACATTCTTAGTGAAGACTCGACCAAACCGTCGTAAAACGGCCTGTCTGTTTGCGACGAAGAGGCATGCCGCTTTACCTAGGTCTAAATCTGGGCCCTAGTAGTTAGGCGACCTATTGTTTCCATGCCCTTAAATTAAATACCGTGATCGCAGTGATTCATCTCATTACATTCCACCACTAGCTATTTATGTTCTGCGCGACACCCACTCAAGCTCAAGCGCGGTATCCGACGCGAATGCTTGCGAGCCAGAACTCGCTTCCACCCTCCTCGCACCAACCTAATGGACCAAGATCGCATTCTGCGCATGAGAGCAGCTTCAGTCGCTTTCCGTCTACAACGCCGGAATTAGACGGAGCGGAGTACGGAGAACCGTGGAATACATACCGGCCTCCCTAAGGACTGTCTTAGAGAACCCGATATTTTCGAATGCCATGGCATTCGGAGTCACGCGCCACCATTTTAAAGTTGCTGGAGGGAGAGGCAGGGGCTCAAGGATGCTCCGAGAAGTGGCAGGCTCTAACTGTAAGCTCTCGCGTTCGACGAGAGAAGCGACGCCGTTCTTGAGAATAATACTGCCACACCCCGGCCGAGGACACAGCAGGTCGACCTTGTTTGCAGAATCTGACGAGGGTGAGGATTGTTCGACGACATCGTTGATGCCCCCAGGATAAGATGCGAGCAGCTGTGCCGTCGGCGGCTTGCGCGTCGATGAACGTTGTAGAGCCTCCCACAAACCGGCTGGGATCGCCTGCTGCTGCTGCAGAACAGACTGCGAAACAAGGATCCTCCGCATTTCGTACCACGGTAAAGAGCCGTGCACGACCTCGCTCTTGCCGAGCCACTCGAAGCCAGCTTTCTCGTATAGGTCGCGCATGTCCTCATGGGTGATTAACAAGATGCGCTCGTACTGCGCACCATCCTGGCACGCACGCTCGAGACGTGCGGCATACTCCTTGAGGAGTCCGAGTGCGATGCCTTTGTGACGGTGCTCTGGCGTAACGCAGACGGCGTGAATACAGATAGACGTGCCGGTGGGATCGTGAGCGCCCATTGACTCGTGCGTTAGTGTTGGTGCTGAGGATAGCGTCGAGCAAACGTAGCCAATCAGAGCACGTTCGTTATCGGAGACGTCGAATGCGCCCAGAAACAGGTCTGGGGCTTGAGTTTGGCGGTAGCTACGGCAGAGAAGATATGTTTTCAGTGAGAGGGCTTCGATGCGTCTTCTTAACTCACAGGAACCTCTCAAGGGTGGCTGCCTCATCTGGAGAAAAGCCTGATGATCTATACAATCAACAAGGGTCGCCGACGGTCACTGAAAACACTACTTACTCGCTGTCTCTATAACGTGAGCATCTGGAATATCAGACGCCTTCACAAGGTCATAAATGATTTGGAGGGACATCCTTAAGATACAGTTTGCCCTGCTGTATTGGTCAGATATGCCTCGTACAAATGAGGTTCACTGTTCTCACCTGCTGACTTGGTGGTGGTGACCGTACGGGTTGGAATCGCGAGCCAATCGCAAGGATGAGTATCAAGACGAGATTGGCATCTCACGTGGCGTATATCTTGGGGCCCTGGCTGATGCTGGTAGTTATCTACCACGACGCTGGTCATCTGACTCTTCAGCAATTTTCATGGGTCCGTCTATTATATCGACAGGTACACGAAAGCCAACTTGAAGGGTAGTCTTGTGGAGGAATTTGTATGAAAACTCGCACACAGACGTTGTCAGCGACTACCGGAGCGCAGATACGAAACCGACAGAAATTCTTTCTCGATTAGTGCTACAGAGGTCATCCCGCACTCTTTACGGTCTTGGAACGGACACGGGGTCGTCTTGCTCAACCGCCGAACCCATCAATCGACGTCCTATAAATCGAGCTTGGGGAACAGCCGTCTCGCTCCCGAACCCTGCTGACGCGTCGACCAGGTTCTGCACGGCCTCAACACCCTCAAAGCCAATCACTGTAAGTCTGTAAAGCACATGCCTTTTGCGACCGTCTCAACAGAGCGATGGAATCAGCCCTCTGATAAGATCACTCACAAAGGGCCATTATAAATCCCCGCACTCTCACAGTTACCGCCACAGCAACCCTTCCACACCGCGTCCGCGCCGTCCTGAACAGATCGTCACAGCACACGCCCATCTCCGCCAGCAAAGAACACCATGAAGTCGTGGAATTTAGGCAGCAAGAGTATGCGTGTAGACTCCTATCTTACCAGACCCGCGGATGGCTCACGGACTGGTTTCCAGAGCCGAAGGACAGCAAGGAGGCTGGCATCCTGTCGCGTTCAATAACACCAGTGCCTCCGTCGCGAGCAGCAACTCCAAAGCCCCCAGGCGGCGAAAACATCTCTCGCTCGGGTATGCTCACCATCCGCATCTTCTCTGGTGTGTCTCCCCACATTGCACCTCACAACACAAAAGATCTAATGGTTACCACTGGGCACAGGGCGCGGATTGGCACTGCCCCCCGGTGTCCAGGTTCCCGACATCATCCAGAGAGCGCTGGACTCAAATCCCTCCACGCGCCGTTCAACTAGCAACCGAGACAGCATACAGCGGAAGCGGTCTTGGTGGCTGCCCTACGTTGTACTCGAGTTCGACAAGAATGAGGTTCTCGTTGACGGAATGGGTGGAGACTTGTCCAAGCCAGAATGGAACTACAGGGCCGACTTGTGAGCGACGCTTTGTACCTCCGGCCGGACCTGTGCTGACTGCTGATCATAAAGTGACGTCTCGCGGATGTCCAACATCTCCGTATCCGCGTACCTACGGACTGCGCAGTGCGTCGAGGGGCAGGACGACATGGGCAACGACATTCTCATGGCACGGGTAGATTTGACTCCGATGCTGGACAGTCACGTAAGTCATATGGTCCACGGCCCGTTATCGCTCTTAACCCCGAATAGCATGCCTCTGACCAATGGTACACCGCGACCGCCGGTCAGGGCGCGTTCCATCTCAAAATCGACTTCAAGCCCGCACGACACGAGTCACTCTCGATCGAGCAGTTTGACCTGCTCAAGGTCATCGGCAAGGGCAGTTTCGGCAAGGTCATGCAAGTCCGGAAGAAGGACACGCAGCGGATATACGCGCTCAAGACCATCCGGAAAGCAAACATCGTCTCGCGTCCGGGCGAGATTACCCATATTCTCGCAGAGCGGACGGTGCTTGCACTGGTGAACAACCCGTTCATCGTACCGCTCAAGTTCTCGTTCCAGACCCCAGACAAACTGTATCTCGTCATGTCATTCGGTAAGCCACATTCTTCTCGGCCACCTTTATCTGATGATGCTGACACCCTTCATCAGTCAACGGCGGGGAGCTATTTTATCACTTGCAACGCGAGGGCAAATTCGACGAAAGCCGCAGCCGCTTCTACGCCGCTGAACTACTGTGCGCGCTGGAGCATCTCCACAGCTTCAATGTGGTCTATCGGTGCGCAGTTTTTCACACCGGTGTAGAACTCGCCGCTTATGACCCTGAGCAGCGATTTGAAACCGGAGAATATTCTACTCGATTATACTGGACACATTGCCCTCTGCGATTTCGGCTTGTGTAAGCTGAATATGTCGGAGACCGAGAAGACAAACAGTAAGGACGCTTATATTCATCAATTTACAAGCTGTGCTAAGGCGTTACATGCAGCCTTCTGCGGAACGCCTGAGTACATCGCGCCGGAGCTTCTCGAGAGCCAGGGATACACAAAGACTGTGGATTGGTGGACACTGGGTGTGCTCCTGTACGAGATGATGGCAAGTTGTCCTACTCTTGTTCCCGTCCGAGCGGAATTTGACTTGTATCAAATACTAGACCGGTCTGCCGCCGTTCTACGACGAGAACGTGAACGTCATGTACCAGCGCATCTTGTCCGACCCTCTGCTATTCCCAGCGGACATGTCGCATGACGCAAAGAGTGTTATGGCCGGTCTCCTGCAGCGGGATCCATCACGTCGACTCGGTGCTGGAGGTGCGGATGAGATCAAGCGGCATCCGTTCTTCTCCAAACACGTCGATTGGAACCGGTACGTGTTCACTTATCAGCGCATACACCATGCCCTTACGAACTCCCTTTCGTAGCCTGCTGGCCAAAAAGATACAGCCGCCCTTCAAGCCCCATGTCGAGTCCGTCCTGGACGTGGCCAACTTCGACGCCGAGTTCACCGGCGAAAAACCGCAGGATTCGCACGTCGACGATACACCGCTTTCGGAGACAGTTCAGGACCAGTTCCGAGGCTTCACTTACAATCCAGGCAACGAGCACCTCAGCGAGAGTATCAGCTTCCCAAGTGTCATGAGTTAAACGAGTAAGTGGCCTTGGTACCGCTCGCTGCTCAAAGGCGTCGTCGTTACACTCGGATGACTAGAGTCCCTTTGCTTCACCCTCCGTGCTTACCCTCTAAAACCGTTCTTGACTTTCCCCATATCTTCGATCCGGAATCGCGCCCTGTCTCTCGCTTGTTCCTCCGGTTCCCAGTCCCATTCTTTCTTTTCCATGTATTTATGTAGCAGACTGGGCTTCCGTTGATTTTATATATGTACACGCACTCTCTCCCTGTCCTTCTGACGTATAGCGCTAGTTTCGATGCATAAGGACTTTGTTCGAATCAAATTGTGTAGCATTGTTTCGTCTTTTCTCATTTGACTTCCAGCTTGGCTAGCTTAGTGATGTATGCATGTACACGCGAGTATATACTTACGCAACCCGTACGATCCATTGTACAGCAATGTGCTGTGGAGTTCTATATGACAGTTCGCTGCTAGGACCAGCTCTCCGAACTGAGAAGCGAGTAGAAGAGCGAGACTAACTTTGATTAGACGCCTAGTATTTTTGTGGGCGCCTGAATTTGATCGCTAGCGCGCTTTACGCGATTCCGCGTACGTCTAATTAACTCACTTGCTGGTTCGTCTAGAGATTATGTCTAATGCCCTGGGCAAGAGGAAGGAGAGAGAGGAAGAGGGTCATGACAATGAGCACAAGCCTCATGGGTGCGTTTCTTTGTGGCTCCTTGACCTCTGACCGGCTGAAGCGTCGACTTCAACTCAGGTCTACGCTCTTCGTCTCAAACTTGCCGTACTCCGCCACATCCACTGATCTGAAGACTCTGCTCTCGGATATTGGGCCCGTGAGGACTGCCTTTGTTGTTCTTGAACAGGGGACCGAGACGTCAAAAGGTGTCGGCTACGTTTCCTTCGCAATCCGCGAAGATGCCCAGCTCGCATTTGACAAAGTCAATGAGCCTGAGGGCCTGATGCTGGACGGCAGAAAGTTGCGGGTGCAATGGGCGGGTGGCAAGGTGCGTCGCAGTTCCTTCTTTTAATTGCAGTTCTGCTCACAGTTCCCGTTACAGCCCCACAAGGACGAGAAGCAGGCTTCCGACAGCCCAGTCAAAAAAGAACCAAAGCCTGCTAAGGTTCCGAAGATCAAAGAGCCTATCGGCCTCCGCGACCCTAACGCCATCCGTACGATCGTCATCACCGGTCTGCCACAGGGTATAGATTCGAAAGCGCTGTGGAAGAAGGTGCGCAAGTACGATGGCGCGGAGAAGGTCGAGTACCCCGCAAAAATTAACGACGAAGAAGACTCTTTCACAGCCCATGCACTCTTCTCCACACCTGCAGCTGCACAAGAGGCTGTCTCAAAATTGCATGCGCACGTATTCAAGGGCGCGCTGCTCTCCGTTACCCTCAAAAAGCGTCTCGAAGGCCTTGCGAAAGCCCCGAGAAAGATGGCTACCAAAGACCCGTCATCCTCCGAGGCCCCGGTGGGGATTCCCGCTCCGAGTAGAGCAAGCCGACTCATCGTCCGCAACCTGCCCTTCGACATCACCGAGCCTGACTTGCGCGCCGTCTTCCTGCCTTACGGCCCCATCTACTCGATACACATCCCCCTCGCCGAGCCCACTGGGCCGAAGCACGAAGAGACTGGTGAGGCTTCGAAACGTCGTACAAAAGGATATGCCTTCGTATGGTACCTCAGCAAGAAGGACGCGGAGAAGGCGTTGGAGAATGCGAACGGGACGAAGGTCTACGCTGGTATGGCGGATGGCCTTGTGCGCGACAAGCAAAAGAAGAAGAAACTAAGGCGCGAGGAGGCAAAGATTAAGCAGAAGGAGAAAGAGCGGAAGGCGAAGCCAAAGGGGAGGGCGGCAGAGGATGATGAGGAAGAGGACGGAGAAGAGAGTGGAGTGGAAGAGGAGCATGGAGTGGAACGGGTCATTGCGGTGGATTGGGCGCTGAGCAAGGATAAGTGGGAGGAAGCGAAGGCGAAACTGCAAGAAGACAGCGCGCTGAGAGGCGAGGGAGAGGTCAACAGTGAGAATGGGGACGAGAAGAACGGTTCGGATGACGATGATGATAGCTCAGACGAAGATGGTAGCCATATTGGCGTGCATGATGATTCAGGTGACGAGAGTGGATCCGAGTTGGGCAATAACGACAGTGAGGACTCGATGAGCGTCGACGAAGAAGACGCGAAGCCTGGGCGACCACAGCTACCGCCGCCAGAAGTTGGCACCACCGTCTTCGTGCGTAATGTTCCGTTCGAGGCTACCGAAGACGAGCTTCGAGCTGTGTATGTATCTCATACTGCGTCCTATGCATCTGTCTTATGATATCATTCTCAGCTTTCGGGCCTTTGGTCCTCTGCGGTACGCCAAGATTGCTGTAGATCATGAAACAGGCCGGTCGCGAGGTACCAGTTTCGTCTGCTTCTGGAACAAGGAACATGCGGACAAGGTCATTGAGCAGAGCGAGATTCTCCGCAAAGAGACCATGGGTGCCGAGGCACCGACGGTAGTGAGCACCGTTTAAACGGCTGGAATCGGCGTATATATGCTGACGCTTTAGTACAGCAACCTAAAAAGAATCCCTTCAAGCTTCCCTCCCTCCTCACACCTGATCCATCTGCTTCAGTCGCACAGAACCTCGTCCTTCATGGTCGCACAATGGACGTTATTCGTGCTGTGACAAGGGAAGAAGCAGGGAAGTTGAAGGAAGCGGGTGAGAGACAGCGAGAGAAAGCTGACAAGCGCAATCTATACCTTCTCAGAGAAGGCAGTAAGTTCCTGTTCACGCTTTGCATAGTCCCATATTGACGATTAGCCCGGCAGTCATTCTACCCAGCACATCCGCGGCCGAAGGCTTGCCTTCTGCCGAGATCGAGCGGCGCACGAACTCCTTCAACGCTCGGCGCGCATTGTTGCGCTCCAACCCTTCTCTCTATGTTTCACGGACGCGTCTAAGCGTCCGACAACTGCCCTTAATCGTGACCGAGCGCATACTCAAGCGCTTGGGTATACATGCTGCTCGGGCATTCGAAGCCGAGGTCAAGGCTGGCACGAGGAACGGCCTGACTGAAGACGAGCTCATGGAACCCCTTGTGGACGCTGAAGATACCGAAGCGCTATCAGCGAAAGACAAGGGCAAAGCAAGGGCAGACAAGAAGGGTAGCCGCAACACTGGGGTCAAACAGGCCAAGATTGTACGGCAACAGGACCGCGTAGACCCAGTCACTGGCAAAGGGCGCAGTAGAGGCTACGGTTTCCTCGAGATGAGTAAGCATGCTGATGCACTACGCGTGCTGCGTTGGGCGAACAACAATCCGGAGGTCGGCAAGTTATTCGAGCAGTGGTGGAAGGAGGAACTCGAAGATCTCATCAAGATCGAGAAGGAGAAGGAGAAGAAGGAGAAGAAGGAGAAGAAGGGGGAAAGTCGACTCGGGCGGCTGAAGGCTGAGCTTGAGGAAGGCACAACGAAGCGCGCTAGAGGCACTTTGATTATCGAGTTCTCGATCGAGAATGTCCAGGTCGTCAAGCGGCGTGTGGCTCATCAGCAGGAGCAGCAATCGGTATGTCCCCGTCGTGTTCATGGTTTCAGCTCAACTCACATATGAGCCAGGGCACCGATCCGGCTGAACAAAAGAAGAAAGGGCATCGGTCGTCTCTCCCTGAGGTCAAGAAAGAGGACGACAAAGACCGGCCGAAGAGCAAGAAACGGCATGTCTCAGACCCTCCCAAGGCCGCGGTCAAGGCTGAAAAACCTGACCACAGGTCAAGCGACAAGATCGGGTCGTTCATAGGCAGAAAGCGCAAAGAACGTAAAGCGAAGAGGAAGGCATAGATTGGGTACGCAATATTTCGTATCACGGTGTCTTCCTTGCAACTAGCTTGCAAACGTCGCGACTTCTGCTTTGTATTCCGGTACGAACATTATCCATGTTTCGCAGCCTGAGCGTAAGAGGACCTCTGACAATTTGTTCGGGCTTTTTGGCCCCTATCCTCGCCGAGGCCGGGCGGATGGTCCACGAGGGAGGGTCTGATTCGGGTGGCGGGCGCCTGGCCAATTAGCCAGTATATCTTGCACTAAAAAGGCAGCACTGACATAAGGTTTGAACTCGACGCGGAGTCCTCCCCGTTGCAGCCAGTTTCCACTCGATCAAGTTTTGCGGATTTCGAGCCAGCTTGAGAGCACACGAAATATCGCTAGGCCTGCTCGGAGATCGGACGTGTGTGGGCCAAGGTTCCCGAGGCCTGATTTTGTCAGGACAATTTTGAAAGGCCCGGACGGGCCTCTGACCCAGTTGTCGGGTGGATTAATATTGGCACCAGGATTTCAGGTACAAACGGGTCCGAGGCTGTTCGAAGCGTTCTATCGATGGTTCTACGGGCACAGCGACAGACAGGGCTAGACAGAGACATCCATGGTGCATACGACCATCATCCGTTGACCACGACGCAGGTCACCGAGAGGCCAAAGTAGAACTGATCATACAAAGCCCGCCTGTCTCACTTCACGTCGCATTCACACACTGAAAAATTAAACCAGGCACTCCACGAGTACTGGCAGTGAAGTACTCCCAGTTAAGTATGCAAGGCACCCCCCGGAGCCATCCGTCCGCTCCTCAATTTTACCGCCCGGGAATCACTTCCCGTCGGGAGTTTGAAGCAGCTGCCAGGTCGATACGGCCGTGCCGCCGAATGCTTCTATCGTACGCCGCTCTAAACATTCCCGTCTCACGATGTCTCGGTGTAATATTTGGCCGTTTACTCCTGTTTACTCCAGGGGACAAGTCGCTATCGCCGATCTCATGTAATTCGAGCTGCCTGGAATGCCCTCGTCAAATGCAAGACAACGGTTATCTTATAAGAGGGAGGCGCATGCAGCGCTGGCTGCGCTTGCTATTACCGAACCAGCTTCAAAATGGCGGACCCATACGCTCTTTTGCCGGTACTACACCTCGATAACACGCTTGGGGCAGCGTACATTGGTGCGTCAGGAGATACCAACACCAAAATCCTGCAATTCTGACTACTGCGTCCAGGGAATATACTTGCAGCGATGTTCGTCTCTCCCGCTATATTCGTGGCAAACGGCGGCTGACGGCGCACAGTCTGTACGGTCTCACTAGCATCCAGACTTATATATTCTTCGATCGTTACAAAGATGGTCGCACCCTACGCTCCCTAGTAAGTGTCAAATTTTTTTCATGCATATGACGGATAGCTAGAATTCTCTAGGTGTTGTTTTTGTGGTAAGTCGTGTTCGACAACGTTTCCCGCCGTATTGAGTCTAAGAGATGACTCTAGGGCGCTAGACACTGTGCACCTTGCCCTGATCTGCGACACCATCTACTACTATGCCATAACCAACTTCTCCAACCCCCTGGCAATGGTATCGGTTACCAAGTAAGCGGCCTTGATGCTCTACTATTTTTGAAAACGTTCTGACCGATGTTTTACAGAACCATAATGGTGAGAGCATCCAGTGCAATTGGATTCGAGATACTCTGTATTCATTTCGTCGCAGGTCCACGTCATGTTCACGGTGCGTGGCAAGGTAGCTCTCTTGACTGAACTACTGAACCAACCGACTTCGGCCACTAGGGTGTCAGCGATGCCATAGTCAGAGGGTCTGTACTTCGCGCTCTTGCCGTTGAGCGATCATTGAACTCTATCCCAGGATCTTCATGTATAGGGTCTGGTTAGGTGCGCGTCGTAAACACCCACTCTCGGCTCATGAGTGCCTGACCTCAATCAATAGTCAGCCAAGGCAAGCGGCTCCTGTTTCTTGCTATTGTGAGTCGCGACTTGGTCGTAAAACCTTCAGTGATTAAATAGTATACAGCTTCTGCCGTCTCTTGTCTGCTTCGGTAAGTCTGTGCTCTGTGGCGGTTCAAAGGTGTATATTAAGTTCTACTCGTAGCTGGCAGCATTGGTAAGGCTCTTCCACCGAATTTTTAAATCTTGTATCGCTGACATCACACAAGGGTTTGCCATCCGAGGGTAAGCAGTCGGAGTGTCGCCTGCCACAAAAAGCTCACTTAAAGCATTCCATGAAGTCTCCAGATCGGAACGTACGCAGGAATTGCAGACATCTCGGTGAAGCTATATCCATTGCAGCTGAGTTAGACGTTGCCCTGACGACAGCTCTAGTGGATCTTGTACACGGCGTTCGGCACAGGTGTTGTTGCAGACGCGGCTATCGCGGCGGCTCTCTGTTACTTCCTCGCAAAGCGGCGAACAGGTATCCAACGGTGGGTGCATGTTGATCTCAGGTTTGGTTCCGTCTTTACTGATGACTGTCCTAGGACGGACTCGATTGTCCAGATGCTGATCGTCTACAGCGTCAACACTGGTGTCTTGACAAGGTGACATCTTGAATTCATAAATATAAAGCAATAACTGACAGCTTTCGGCCAGTCTGTGTGCCATGTGCGTGCTGGTCGCGGTATGGAAATCTCGCACCCTGAAAAATGATCAAAAATTGACCTTTATATCATTAGTACGCAACAATGCCAGGGAACTTCATATTCATTTCCTTCTACTTCGTGCTGCCTAAGCGTGAGTAATGCGCACTTTATGGATATCTCGCATGTCGACTTGTTTACAGTGTTTCTGAACTCCCTCCTGAGTACGCTGAACGCCCGCGAGAAACTGCGCGGCATTGGTGGTTCAGGGGCTGCCGCCCCCATTCCTCTGAACGCAATGGTCCGTTCAAACAACTCATCTAAGCAGCCCGCGAGCGGGGTCAGCGATGATGTGAGCATACTGGGCGACACGGGTATTAACTACAAAGCTGACGGCTGTCGAAAGCGGCATCTTGCGATCCAGATCCAGACGGCGGTGGACACGATAACGGACTCGGCCCACAGCCTTACAGAGGTCAGTCCTGTTCTGGCTACTTCACGAAAGGACATTCCTCACTGTGTCTGTTGTACAGAAGAAATGGGCGGAGCAATACCCTTGATCTAAGTGGGATACATTAGCTGCGAGATTTCCGCGAACAAGAGCTATCCTGATACAGTCATTACTGCTCTCCTATTTATAACTTGCTACAGTCATTACTCGTTACAGTCATTACCCGTTACAGTCATTACTTGTTACAGTCGTTACTGCTCTCCTATTTATACTGGGGGAAAAATCCCGCTATACTACACATCACCGTTCCTTGATAATTGTTGTGTTATACCGGGGAAAGAAGCGAGTACGCATTTTTCCCGGGAGGCGACGAAGAGACGAAATAAGGTGTTTAGACACCGATAGGTTGTCCTGCCGTGCAGAGGGGAAACATAGTCGCTCACCAAACAGATCAGTGACGACGGCTGAGGCGTGTGCGTTCGAGGAGCCGCACAGAGCTAGTACTGTACTATACTCGCGGCTGATGATCAGGTTGCGGACTTGAGTGAAGCGCTTCCCCACCGACGACAGCGAATCTTCCCACGATAGCAGGAGCATAATTAATTTTGGTGCTACCCCTGTTCGTCCGGAAGGGCATACTATATCAGATACGCGATTCTGCTCTTACGACGTATGCCACGAGGGCTGTTGTGATGACAGCTGAGCTAGTCGTGTCAATCGCGGCCCTATCCACGAGATAGACATATGGCGCAATGGCATAATATTGCCATTCCAGCTAGATGTGCGTACTGGTCGCGCAAACATTGGCCGAGCCACCGCACCGTATCAGATATTTGTAGCAACTACGCACGCTCAATGCACCGGTAGGCGACGCACATCATGCGTGACAGCGGTCATTCAGTGGCTTTACCAGAGGCTGCTAAAGGCCTGGCCTGCCTGGGTTGGTGGTAGGCTCAAGGATGCACGTCGCATGTCCACCACCCTTTGATCAACAATGCTCTGTTCATCAACTTCGAGGGCTTAGGGCGGTCGATACGAAGATACTTACCTATACCCTGGCGCTATGTACGTCGTGCACATGCGACTATTACACCGAAGGCGTCGATAAGAGATGCCTCGCTTTCGCTTAACAGCGATAAGACCGCGCTCCGCACAAGCGAAGGATGAGCGTGCCCTACACGTGTCTCGCGCCGCGCATCTACCCTGGTTCAATGCGCCGTGTCTCCTTTGGCCACATCTAATGAGCGGCGGCGGCGAGTCGACCGTGGATCCCCCGCAAACCTCGTCGACAAGGGCCCTGGGTGACGCAGTCAACGACGAATTGCTTAAAAGTGCGTAGTCTCTAGAAGCTGGTCTCGACCCGTCCAAGTTCTAGAGCACGGAGGGTCGGGGTGTAATACAGGACTGACGTCCGTCATAACGTAACGCACCCATGAAGTATGCGCATACGGTCACAACTAATGTATTGTTCCTTGCGTATTCCTACTCGTTGTAAGTGAGGACGGATGAGCAATCATCGCGCTCGACCCTGTCCCAAAATGAAGAGTGTACAGCCAGCGATGGTTATTGAGTATTGAGACGAGAGAAGCCCACCATTTGGTAAGGCTATATTGCAGGGAGATTGGGCATGCCTGGCGAGGATATAGATCCATGGATCTCCACAAAGTTCCTATTTGGTGAGATTATCGATGTGAGATCTAGCTGCCTTGAACACGCAGCGTGCCTGCGTTTACCATCTACGGCTACGTCACCACGACCATGGCGATCCTCTACATAGCCGGAAGCTTCGATCGCGCGTGTGGCGAACACGCATGGCGCGTCGCAGTGTGTCCCACTGATTATCTCGGAGGCAGGGACAATGCCCCGACTGATCTCTCACGATTCATAGAACATAGGAGTCGGTGGCGGTCAATGGTACATGGAGTATATCGATCGCAGTCGGATAGGTCCGTCCGAAGATGAGAAGAATGCCTTCCGCACGGTTCCAGCTGCGCGGTCGAGAGGGATGAAAATAGCTGTCGCACGAGTGACGGCGCGGGACAGGACTGTCGAGGGGAAAACTGATACGTACTTTGGCGTCGCCCGGTTGTCTGGCGTGCACATGCACTGTGATGGTATTTCGGATATCCGATCGCAGACATGATTCAAGACAGGATGTCAGCCGCGTTGCGCGGAGGCGGGATGGACTGGTAGCTCAGAAAGGGGTCAGAACGACAAGAGGCTCCATGCAGGTTGCGGAGACTTGGAGCAGACCTGCTTGTGTGAGGCTTTGTGTAAGGTCATCTCGCCTATCGCATAAGTCAAACACCATCTCCACTTGGTTCTGCGTACACGTTAATGAATCTAGATCACATTCACTTCTTGCGGACTGAATGCGAGGCTGATCACCATCAAGATACAAGACTCTTTCCGTAGCTTAAGGCTCACCATTCGAATACATTCTTCCTGTGTGACTCCATAATCGCAGCCGACCTGTTATGAGGACTCCGTCTGGCCGCATGAGAGCGATGCGAAAGAGTCCGACTGCAAGCGACGCATTCGAACGGCAGAGGTTCCAAGGAGTGATCGGGAAGAGCTCGCCGGTTCCTGGAACCCTAACCCGCGTGATAGACATCAAGCGGAGCTTGAATTTACCGACGCTTGTGTCGGGCAACTGGCCGCGGAAGCTTTGCGTTTTGTCCCCAACATTCCCTACACTCTCATCCACTCGTCCGAGTCGTCTTGCAAACCAGGTCCTCTGGAGTTCAGACCAGAGGGGAGGTTAGTTCGCTGTTTTTCACCTAGCTGAACATCAACCTCGCAAGAAAAAACTTTATGGTTTCTCCGCATATTCGCCTTTGAACGACGCGCGAAGAGTGGAGAGACGACTCGGACTCGGACTGAAGCTGGTGGAGAAAACCGCAAAAATCTAGGCATACCTAGGAGGTGAGTGAGTCAACCGTTCCGTCCGCGCGACATCCTCGTGTGCGCAGGAGGGCAAAGGGCAAAGAAAATTTGGCTTGCGCGGGCTGTGCGCGTTTGTTTGAGTCTGTCTGATTCAGGCAGTTCATTCTCGGCACTTCGCGGCCTCACTCGCCCTGTCCGCTATATATACGGCTCTCTTGTGATTATGGAAATCCCTAATGACATTCCTCCACTACCTACAGCTACGACGTTCACGAAAGGTCGCTCCTTATGATCGCCCTTAGCCCTGGGTCGCTCTGCGACGTCTGTGCTGAAGAGTACGGCCCGCATAACTATCCTCATTCCATTCCTTGCGGTGAGTAATGCGCCCGAGTCTGAGAATCCATTGTCCTCATCTACATCTGCTTCCCTCGTAGGACACATACTATGTCTGAACTGCTGCAACAATATCATCGAAAAAAGCTCTACACGACGCGCCCCGTGTTGTCCCTTCTGTCGAGAAACCTTCACTAGTGATTCCGTCCGCATCATGCGTGTTGACTACACTCCTACTAGCAGCGGTTGGTCCACTCCTCGTGGTGGTGCCAACGGTATACATGAAGTGATCGTCGAGTCCGACAGTGAAGACACCCTTTCAGCAGGCCTGAAGGCTAGGGAGCAAGCAAAACGGCTGGAGTACAAAGTCGCACGAGTGGCTGGGAAGAAGTGCTCGGTGGAGGAGGTCTCATCGCTTCACAAGGAGCTGCAGGACTGGCTGTCATCTTCGGCAAAGGTGAAGCCCCGCGAACAGGTGCGCAGTCTCTCCATGACTCAGTGGGCCGGTGTTGCTGACGGAGATGCTCTGTTTAGACTTCATCTCTCGAGCTCAGTGCTGCGCTCCTTCGAGCCATCCTCATGAATCATTATGCACACTCCGAAGCCACGAAGGTTACTAAGCAGACCGAAGCTCAGTTGACTCGTCAACTCGAAGAGGTGGAGAGAATGAAAGCCAAGATAGAGGCTGAACTTCGAAGGTGAGCACCATACCCGACTCATTTCACACCGATGCTGACGGATGTTGCGCCCGCTGTCAGTCTGGTACGTGATTTGCTCGCCACGGCGTTATGTTTAGATGTAACTGACTCGTCTCCGTTAGCGCGCCGAATACTCTCAGCTGGCTCAAGAGCATCAATCGGCTCGCGCTGAACTAAGCAAGTTCAAGGTCAAGTTGAACGCATCGTCGCTCAATGTGCCTGCAACCCCTCCGCCCAAGTCTTATGCTTCCCTGCAAAATGGTGGACTTCTTTCACCTGCTCGTTCCAAAACGGCTGCTCCCACGTCTCCCACGTCTTCGACTTCTGATCCGCGGTCCCGGGCAACCTCGCCGACATCTCCTACTCCGTATAGCCACGCTCCTGCCGTACATTCTCCGCTTACCTCACGGATCGCTTCCACTCCGCTACACACGAGGTCGGTATCTGTGCAGCCGACCAACATTCCACATCGCTCGTTCACGCCAGCAGTCCGCTCGGGGACCCCGGCAGTTCGCTCAGGGACTCCGGCAACACCCGCACGCCCCGAGCTTCGCTCTCCCACGCGGAGGCTGTCTGTCTCGACGCCGTCCCCGATGAAGATGGTGCGGTCGACATCGAGCGGATCGAGTGCGGATGAGATCAAATTCAAAAGGACATGCTGCAGAAGGAGCGCGATGCAAAGCGCGTGCAGCTTATCCAGAGGTGGTTGCCGAACTTCGAGTCTGCGAGCCCTCCGTCTGGCGGTTTTCGTATGCCGCCACCTACGCCGCCGCCTACATCTCAGACTCGCTCTCGGACGATCTCGATTTCCCAAGCGTCTGCCGCTCTGCGCGCACCGCTTCGGTACAAAACCCCGGTCTCCGCGAACCCATCGTAAATGGGCCGTTCGGAATTGCTAGGGACTCCCTTGCGCTATCTGATTCACACTATTTCTCTGCTTTCGGATTCCGTTGACGTGCATCGTGGTTAGGTTATCTCACCGACATTGCCGTCGCCGCATAATACCCTGTAGATAGTATCGGTGAGTTGTCTGCGGCTTCATTTACTCTGCATCGTGCTTACATGTCATACGCAATTCCGCTTCCATTAGCCTTCATATCTGTGGCATCTTGTCCCGTTATCTCTGTTTCCGCCTTCCAATTGCTGCTCTTCACATATCCTGAGCAGCTCCGACTCTCCGTACGCTGTCTCGTGTTCACTTCGCGATACCTCTAATTTCCTACCCTACTGATTTTCTAGTTTCTCTCTGTGCTCTTGATACCCCGTGTAGCACAATTTTTATTGTTTATGTTGCTTTGTCTCGTTTTCGGCTCGCTTTTGCATACTAGCTTTGTGGACTCTCCCCCTCACGGTCCTTACGGATAGATTACGAACTAGATACACTAGGTACATGGTTCGGATGCTTACGATTTGCCACGCAATGCATACGATTGTTATGACCCTATATGATGACTCGGTGTGCTCCTTAAGACAAGCCGGGTGACTCACGCGAGCGAAGCCATCGTACGAAGGATCCGCGACCATAACATATCATGGCATGGGTAAATTAATGCAGAGGATCTCAGATGTACGGTTCTCTGGTTCATAAATCGCGATCTTCTCATGTTGCATCTTCTACGAGAGCTGACGGAATGCTGTACACGGCACTGCAACCTGCTGTTGGCCTATGCTTCTACCTCAATGAGCAGGTGAGGCGGCGGGTTCTAGCTGTGACCCCTGAGCGGAAACAGGTGATCCATAAGCTCCGTGCATCTTAACCTTGAAGAATACAGTTCGGACATGAAGGTTTGAAGTGGCACCAAACATGTGAGAGAGACTGCCGCAGTTGGTCTTTGTCTCCTTTACGAGGAGACCATCCTCGGTGCGTCGATCCGAGTGCCTGAGCGTGCGCCTATTCCCTGGGAGTACAGAGTTGTACGTCGACGTTCTGTGAGCTTGCAAGGAGATCTCTCTCAGCCTCACCGTGTTCTCCGCAACTTTTAGCACATTTCTCAGAGACTTGAGCACCAAGTCCAACTAGTACTGTCCTTCGCTTGGCCCAATCTTTTGCCGTGAATCTCCTGGATCTCCCGATCAATGATCTTGGCGTGGCGTATGCGGGCATGGCGTGGGCGGCAAGCTCAGTGATGACATACACGGTTGCCTCACCCTCGCCGTGCCGGAAGCGACGACACGGACACGGGAACACAGCACAAGACTCTTTGCCATCGTCCACTACATCACTGCGTATATATTGACGGTGCTCTCGGTACCGTGACAACCCTCCAAGCTGGCTCCTCCACTCACCACCGATACTGCAATGAACGCAGTCGAGCCCACCAAAGAGCGCGGCTATCTCTCTATAGGGGACCATGGTCTGTGCGTACGCTTGGGCTTGGCATGTTGAGGTAGCAGCGTGTTCTGACCGTAGTGTGAAGGATCGGTAACCTGAGGACTGCTGCGCTGGTGAGTGCACGCAACGCGTCATGTACATGTATGTCCGCTGAGCGCGTCTGACGTGCAGGTTAGCATCGATGGATCTGGTGAGTCACTGCTCGTTCGCGCCACGAAGGGATTGCACTCTGCGCTACGTGCGAAGGGCTTGGATGTACACGTTTCCCCTTGCAACAGCTTTTGGGACTGAAATCTCCATGCTTCTGCCCAGTCGAAAGCTATTGCGTACCACACTTCGACTCCCCATCCATCTTTGCGCGTATCCTAGACAAAGACAAGGTATGTTCATAAGCATTCACACCTGTTCACGCTCTCACTGTAGTCAGGGGGGACACTTCTCCATGAGCCCGACGGTCGCATTCTCCACCAAGCAGAACTACCTGCCCAACTCCAACGTAAGTCGGCTATACACGGGCTCTCTCAGACGGTGCTCACAGTGTGGCGCAGATCTTACAAACTAAGTATGCCGCCGACGCGCTTTGTATCCGCGTGGTTACTGAGCTGACGCCCTGCGTAGGTTCATGCGGGAGCAAGGTGTCGCCACCGTCACCGGTACGTGATTACTGTTTTTGTGCGGAGGGATTGGCTGATTGCTGCTTTGTTCAGACTTCTTACCCCGTCAGCCTTCCAGTGCGACAGCGAGGCCGCTGCTCTCGTGGCTGGTCCGGCGTGTAGAGGTGAGCTCTGCTTTGAGACGCGCATATATGCACTTGATTGATATTTGAACATCGTAGTGTGTGCGTGGAGAGATGCCACTGCGCCTGGAATGTGCACCAGCGTTCAACTACGCCCGCTCTCCGCACAAGACCCAGATCATATTTGACAATTCCATCGCACACGCAGGCGACCCTTGCGCTCCTGGGTCGGACATCAAGCCGCACATGAAGGCGCTCTTTAGCTCGCCAGAGGCGGACATGGAGCTCGATCTGCGCTATGTGACTGAGTCCTCGATTGAGAACGTGCCCGAACCGGAGATTGAGCTCGAACTGTTCGACCTCACGCGCAAGGGACACCTCGGAATCAGCGTGCAGTCCGAGTTCACGCTTGTTGAAGGCCAGTCGGTGACGTTCATCCTTCGCACGCCGCCGAAACATGCGTATCCCGATGCGGTGAAGCCTAGCAAGGAGAAAGCGCGGCAACTTGGTGTCCCCTTCGAGAGTAAGTGCCCAACTGTTAGCATATCTGCTATGTGTGACTGAGCGTGACCAGAGCTTGTTATGACCGCTTCAGATTTGCGCGCCTCTGACGATCCTATGCTGACCAAGGTGGGGCCGATTTACCTGTCCACACTGCGTTTTTTCTGACGTAACGCTATTCAGATACTGATACATGAGCTTTTTGATGCTACCAATTCGTATTGGATAGCTTGGATCAACCGGTCGACATACCAAGGTTCCTGGAAAGAGGCAGTCAACCGGAGCGCTTTGGCGTTGAAGCTCTTAATCTATGAGCCGACAGGTTCGTCTGCTCCAGGGCGTGCGCGACATACCTTGCTCATGGCGTGGGTCTAGGTGCTGTTGTGGCCAGTCCGACGTTCAGTCTACCTGAATATATTGGTGGAACTCGTAATTGGTGAGTATATGCACCTCGTCCATGACGCGACATGCTCACGCCTTTCAGGGATTACCGGTACGTCTCTCCTCTCCGTCTTTACGAGGTGGAAGTCAAACATGCTTCGTCAGCGCGTCGTGGATTCGAGACGCGTCTTTCACTCTTTATGCTCTCATCCGGCTGGGCTTCACCTATGAAGCAAACGGTGGGTATTCTGTTTGACCAGTCACTGCCCTCATTGCTGATGACAAGCTAGCATATATGGATTTCATCTTCGAGCGTGTAAAGGACAAGAATCCCGATGGATCGCTTCAGATTATGTATGTGTCTTGAAAGCCTTGCCCAGCATGCTTGCTGAGAGCCCACGTAGGTACACAATTCACGGTGGGAAGACGTTCCCTGAGGAGGAGCTTACTCACCTAGACGGTCATAAAGGCTCGCGGCCTGTCCGGTGCGTCATACAGCCTAATCAACTGACTGCGCGTCTTACAGGGTGTCTTAGCATTGGCAACGGAGCTATTGACCACGTTCAATTAGTGTGTCACATGCACTTCTGATGTGCCTATTTCGCTGACCGAATACTTTCAACAATGTAGGATATCTACGGAGAACTGTGCGTCTGACTACACCCTGGACACGATGGATACTGACCGTGATACAGAATGGATTGTATCTACCTCGGCCAGAAGTACGGGAGACCACTCGTAAGCCAATGCATTTCACGTTCACGGTTCTCACTTGCCCTGACACCTGCGCAGGGATATGATATGTGGTAAGTTGGCTAGTAAGTGTATCGTTACGCGTTTTCATATCCAGCAACAGGGTAGCAGTACGGGAATTGTACGTCCATCATCCTACGTCATTACCAAAATACTGACCGTGACTGTAGGGTGGATTGTATGTAGCGCTTTTATCAAAGTGCACCTCTCATGCTGACGAATTATGTAGACGTGGTTCAAGTCCGCAACGACAAGGACTTGTACGTCATGGTTCGAGAGACTCGCTTGTTCCCACTAACAGTTCACCGGCTGTAGGTCAATCTGGTCAGTAAGGCCGCGTAAGCACGGCGTGTTGCCATGTCTAACCGGTGCACGTCATGCAATCAGGGAGGTCAGGGGCGAGAAGAAGCATTTTGTGGTGGGTCAATATTCGGCATCATGCGCACCTCTTAATCTGATTTTACTTGAAGTATTCCAAGGCAAGCATAACAAATTTCTAGATTATCTATGACTATCAACATTGTGATAGGTCATGATGTGGTACGTGCTTTAGACTGTTTGGCTTTTCGAGACATGATCCGACACAGTCTTGTTCGTAAATCTCAAAACATCAAGGGTTGCGATAGATCGAGGTGTGCTGGTCGCCCTGGATACCTCTTCGTAACTTCTAACAGACGTTACCGCAGGTCTACGGCTTGCGGACAAACGCTCCTTCCCATGCCCTCGAAGGCTCGAATGGCTCGCCGCTCGTGATCAGCTCTACGAGGATATCATGGTGAAGGGTTGGAACAAGGAGCTGCAGTTCTTTGGCCAGAGCTATGAGCAAACCGACGTCCTGGACTCGTCGTTGCTCATCATGCCTCTCGTCTTCTTCTCTACTCCTGTGAGCTCTCTCGCCGTCCGTAGATGGGAATGCAGTGCGCTAATGGTGTCTAGTCGGATCCTCGTTTCCTAGGCACACTCAGGAGGATTTTGCTTACGCCTGAGCGGGGTGGACTAATGTCCAATGTAGGCCAACTCACACGTTCATCAGCCAGTACTTAGTAGAGTTTGGCAGGGCCTGGTGTATCGATACGACGTCGCAAAAGCTGACGATGGTGTCGGCGGGGAAGAAGGAACATTCTGTCTCTGCACTCTGTGGTAAGTATATCCTCTGAGCAATATTGTCTCAATATTCATCAGACTTTACCCGTAGGTGCATCGAAGCGCTAGCGAGAGCAGGCGAGTATGACAAACCGCTGCTGGCGAAGGCGGTCCGCATGTTCGAGGTACAGGCTCAAACGTGATCCCAATCGGTCTGCTTACATTCCCGACGTATCTCCGCAGGACTTTTTGCAATACACGAATCACGTCGGGCTCTGCACAGAAGAGATTTCACCCGCAGGCGACGGGTGAGTCAACGCGTCGCTCCGAACAACAACTCTAATCTGACATTCCTTCACAGGCTCGGCAACGCTGTCCAAGGGTTCACGTAAGTTCCCACCATACCGGTCACACTGTATGACGCTCATGCCTCGGGCTTCAGTCACGTCACCCTGATCTCTGCCGCGTACAACCTTTCGAGGATGCTTGCCATGAGATAGGCTGTCAAATGTGAGGCCGAATCGCTGCGCAAGAATGATCAAATAGACCTGGAATGCGTGTAATGAACTAAAGATGTACTGCTGCGTGTACTGCATGTATAATACTGCCGTAAAATCTTGAGAAGCTAGCGCGCCGCTACTCGGGCAGGGCAGAGGGTTGCTAAGCACTAGACTCGAGCCTGAGCAGTTATTGCGGGCCTCGTGGTAAAAGTTCCCGTCCTGAGGCTGTTCTCGAATTGGTAGACGGCATGGTTTTCGCTTTTTTAATTGGCAGATAGCTCGTATAGTCTCGTAGCACTCGCTGGAGCTTCTAAACTTTGTTGGAGCTTACGAGGTGTGCATTCCAATGGGGCAGATGGCCCTGTCTTCCATAATATTCACTGATGCCACTGCAGCGCCTTCTTCTCCACTGTGTAAGCATGTAGTTCTAGTACGGGTTTGCGCAAGCGAGGTGCTTACTCATCGTATACTATATTTGATGTGGCGTACGTGGCCGAGATGAAGAGGGCACAGCAAAAATGACTCCGACGACGCGGGAAATTGAACCTCGGACATTGCCGGTATGTCAGCCTTACTTTGATAAAGTAAGTCCGGGAAGCGGATAAGGGAACTGGACATTTTGCCAGAGTCTCACAGTGCCTGCGGACTATGCGAGATCTATTCATACTAAATAATGCTGGCAGTAACCTAAGGCGGCCAGTGTTCCATTATACAACAGTACAGTAGCTTAGTACTAGTGCTTATAACTGTTATAACCTAAGTGTAAAACTCAGCGAAGTCATTCAAGGACGAAGCACAAGGCACAAAGGCCCCTGGTAGCCCATGGAATGCCCCCGCCACTCTATATCTCAATCCACGTCCCCAGGCACCCTAGAGATCGGCCCGAGCCGCTCTCACTCCCTGCACTTGGATGGCTATTGCGTGAGAAATCATGAGTTGCAGCCTGCCTGTCGATAGAACGAGGAGCACCAACCCATCAGCGGGCAGACATCCCCCAGGCCCTCCATGGTCGCGAGCACGCGGTCGAGAGACGTGCGCACGCCCGCGACGTACTCGCCGTCGTCGGCCCGGCCGTACGCCTTGAGCTCGCCGAGGTACACCTGGCAGACGGTCGACAGGAGTATCTGTGCGAGGCCGCGTCAGCTCAGGGGCTGAAGCCCGGAGTTTTGCAAAAAGACTCACGGCCATGATGGGGTCCATGCACCCGACACGGGCAGGATCGGTGCTCTGCACGGCCGCCAGGACGGCGCTCGCCGCGGCGAGGAAGGCACCGCGCGAGGCAGGCTGTTCTTCGGAAAAGCGGATGTGCAGCTGGATCGTCGCGATGTGTGCTAGGGTGCGAGCGATAAGAAGCTCTGAAGTGTCGTCGTGCAGCGCTACTGGAGCGGGAGGGAACTTGTCGATAAAGTTGTTGATCAGGTTGTCGAGCGCAGCGAATTCGTGCCAGAAGAGAGGGGTGCTGCTCGCCAACTACTTCTTTGCCCTCGGCCGCTTCCTCGAGGGCAGGTACCACAGCTGTGCCGCGGCCTCGCTCACCGTCACCTGCCGGCTCAACACCCTCGGCCTGCCGCTTGCCACTGGTGCGCAGGGCGGGCTGGGCATGGGCCTGGTGCACGGGTCGCATCCCGGCTTCCCTGCCGCCGCTGCCGCTGCCGACGCCGTCGAGCAGGGAGAACGCGTCGACGCGTTCTGGGCGGTGTACGTGTTGGACAAGTGCTGGTCCGTCGCGCTTGAATCTCCGTCCGCGATCTCGGACAGCAGCACCTCGGGAACACGCATCTCCACGCCGTGGCCGCTCAGTATCGCTCAGTATGAACAGGTCTGTCTCGCTGCAATTTTTCAAAAAAAAAAATTGAGCATCACGCTGAACATGTACCAGGGTCGAGTGGCCACTTACACCGGTGTGCCCGTCATTTCCGAGTTCCTTAATGGTCATACCATTGGTAACCTCGACTATTTCTCTCCGTTTGCTCTCCGTGCACAAGCATCTACTCTTTTCTCTCAAGCATCTGTTCTGGCCTCTCGTTATCGCGATGGTAAGTGATTTACAGGCGGGGATTTCTGCCTTATCCTCATGCATCTGGCGCAGATATGCCAGACAAGTCTGCCTGTATCACTCTGAGGATGGCATGGCCGCGGTCGCCGGAGTTCGCGAGGAACAGCGAGGTGGAGACGCCTTGCACGGCTTTCGTCAAGAGGTGTTCCTCAAAGGCGTGCAACGGCGTGTCTCTGGACAGGCGGCTGCCCCAGAGGCATACCGCGGACACGAGCGAGTCGGTAAGCGGGTCACGTTGGTCGACCGGCAGGTAGGCAAGCTGAATAAAGCGGGTGGTATTGAGGAAGAATCCAACCTTGGAGGCACAGGGTATGAAGTTATTTATCCTGGTATAAATACGTATAAGCACTCGGGTCAACTAAACGGACAAGTACGGACGTACATATTATGTACATCCTGAACTGTCGGCTCCGAGACAGACGCAGACGCGGGCACAGCTGATGGCCCAGGGGCGGGTCCGGAAGGCGCGACATCTACGGGGTTGAGTCAGCTGACTAAGGGTCGGCGGCGGTCTGAACTTACTTGATGAACCGGGAATCATCAAAGTTAGAGGTACAGCGCTGGGCCCAGGGACATCGCGCAGCTTGACGGAAGTCGCCTCGGACGGGTTCTCGAGCTCGCTGATGCGAGCCTCGAGGAGGGAGATATTTTCCTCTAGAAGCTGAGTCTTCGTTAGGCCTTGTATATCGCCGGTATACTCGCAGTCCTCTTGACGATCCTTGGCAATGCAAGGACTACAAACGGGCTTCTTGCCGTCGCACCGCTGAGCGTGGGCACGTTAGACAAGGCTTGGTCAACACGGCGCGGCGATACGCACCATTTTGCGCCTACGACAAGGCAGGCAGGCCGCGCCACTGTGGCAAAAATGTTAAAGACGGCGGCGGACGTCCATAGAGTAGCGGGGCGTACCGTGCAAGCGCCATTGGGGACGAAGCAGATTGCGAAGAATCCTGCTGTTCGGGGTCAAACATTGCAATGAGTGTTTGGTGACTGGGTATGAGACTCTGGGTTTGTAGAGCACCCCGGTGGGCCACCTACGTTTTTAAAGCTAGACTCGGCTCTCTTGCGGCCAGGCGGTGCACAGAAAGCACCAGAAAGACAGCACGGTTTGTCAGAAAGCGGCATCCGCTTTCTGCCATGTTCAACCGCCGCCGCCGCTTTAAGCGACCATTTCTGACTGCTGGGTTGTCGTGTCGACATCATCGCGAGCTTCGCGCGCCGCCGTGACTAAAGGCAGGGCGCGCAATATTGGAAAGCGGATTATGCTTCAGGCGGTGCGCTTGCTGCAGCTGGCAGTGTTTCTCCCAAGCGAGACGACATTCGCGTCAGTCGCAAATCCTAAAGAGGACCCTGACCGACCACTAGCAGGTCCTCCGGGAGAGGGGCGGCTGGGCTTAGTCAGCGTTGGCAAGATGAGTCGTGCAGATTGACTACTTGTGCACAGGAGTTGACGACATTGCGGGCCTTGGCAGTGTTGGCTTGCGCGCGTCGTAGCCTAATGGGGAAAGTCCCATGACATCCATACGAGGTAAGCGCGCAGCCTTATATGGCAAGTCTTTCTGAGTTGACCCGTGCACGGAATACAGCCCTAGGCAGAAAAGCAGTCTGGTCAGCAACGGTCAACGTGTCCTGATACCGGTCATGTGACGGTGAAACGGGATTTGTACACATTCGTCGGCTGCGACACACAGCATGGGTCGCAATGACTCGGAGTCGCATCAGGATAAAGGGAGGGCGGATCAGCCTTAGATGTAATTCTTCCACCGCCTCTTCCCAGGGATGCCCGCAGAACGCCTTACTAACATACGCGCATGACATCAAACGCCACAAAGCTGACGCCTCGGTTCTGTATGCCCGCCGTGCGCCGTGATGGCGGGGTCGCTTTCACCTCCGCCGATGCTGTGCCAAGAAAGTTCGCGTCGCGGTATTAGAGCGTGGACACGACATACCATCCGGGGCAAACATACACCCCATGGTGCCATCTGTCGTTGCCAGGTCCGTGCAGACGGTTTAGCTCATTCTGGGCCGAACCATGCGACGAAGAGAGCCGCCATTCAGACCTCAGGCAGCCGTCGCAGCAGATGACGTAGCACGCACCCACACAACGTTCCGCATTATCAAGTGGCGCACCCCCATTACACGAGGAAGGCGGACTGGAGTGCGAGTCCAACGCGAACCATCGCGAGCGCGACACTCGAGAGAGCCCTCGCCGGGCTCAACCTGAGGGCTGTCCTGGGCTGTCGGGCCCTGGCGAGAGCTCGAGCTGGGCTACCGCACAACCACCACGAGAATTTCAATCGTTTATTCCGATCGAATCTCTTTGTTATTTTCCAGTATTTCGGCGCATTGAAATTGGCAGTGCGTAGAGCGTGGGGCGTGACTCTGCGCTCGAGGGGTTCTCCACTTCCTGGCGGTCACAAGGTGGAAACACTTGAGCGTCAGGGGTGTCTAGGCATTCTTTCACCTTCTCTCAGCGCAGGCTATCGGTCGTCCCTCGCTGCAACAGGCATCGGAGAGGCTGGCGGTGGTAGCGTGTCCGAATCCAATGCCTGAGCGTCGGTCAGCGTCGTTGTCAGCATGAGGTGTCCCTGCCCATTTCGGCGACGGGCGTGCACGTGACGGCTTTGCGAGCGCCGAGCAGCGCTAGCAGCGAGGGGTGCCTTTCCGTTCTGGGACACGTCTAGTTCTTCTTCCGTGGTCCCACGACCGCGATCGCATGCGAGGTACGGTTTCAGTTCTCGAACACGCTGCGAGCCCGGCGCACTGTATTATTCTTGGATTCATATCTTCCCCCAGTAGTCAGCTAGTCAGCGGTGGCTTCGCGGGAGGGCGTAAAGCATGTCATAAGTTGGTCAACACTTTGATCTTCTCCCAGCCCTTGTTTGCCGAATCCGTATAGGGTTCGACCGTCGTCGAGGTATAAAAGGTGTCCACTGGCGGAGCATAGTCATCAGCAAGTGCCTCTCAACCCACTGCACTCCCATCTCCACAACATCTACTACAATGGCCGGCATCTACCCTCCCTTCACCCGTGAGACCGCCATCCGCAAGGTCAAGGCTGGTCAGGATCTCTGGAACACCCAGGATCCTCACAAAGTCGCGCAGGCGTACACGGTGAGCGCGTCCGACGTCGCGCCGTCGCGCACAGAAGGCTGACCGAGCGACACCTCTTGCAGCCCGAGTGTCGCTGGAGGAACCGCGACCAGTTCGTCGCCGGCCGCGAAAAGATCATCGACTTCCTCTCCAAGAAGTGGAAGAGGGAGAAGGGCTACAAGCTGCGCAAGGAGCTCTTCGCCTTCACGGACAACTGCATCGCCGTCACGGTACGTAGTGCACACACCCCCGGCTCGCACAGCCGTTGCCGTCGACGTTGCACCCCGTTTGCTGACCGCTCTGCGTGCTCCCCCTCAGTTCTGGTACGAGTGGTACGAAGACAAGCCGGACGGCACGAAGCAGTGGCACCGAACGTACGGCCTCGAGGTGCGTCATCGTCGCCCTTGGGCTTCTGCCGGCGCACCCGATAAAAACTCTAACCTTGCCGCCCCCTTTTGCAGGACTGGACGTTCCACAAGGACGGCCTCATGGCGAAGCGCCAGATGTCCGGCAACGACGTGAAGATCGAGGAGGCCCAGCGCTGGTTCAAGGACGACGGCGTCGACATCAACGCCGTTGTCCCCCCGGAGCACGAGTTCATCTAGGTTTTTCTGTGGCGTGAGAGTGCGCGCTACCTGTGTAACTTATGCACACATGCTCCGGGCCTTTATTCCGGAAGAGCACTACTGTAGAAATTGAAATGTAAAACGTCTTCTTGCCCTCATCCATCTTTACACTGGGTCAGAGAACTGGGTCAGAGAAGGAGAAGTGCGAAAGTTGAGAGGCGCCTCTGGCGCGATACCGGCTCCCATGGTTATACGGTCCGCCACAGGTGCTTCCACGTTGAAAGATTCTGTCAGCGCCAGTCAGACCGCAGCGAGCTTCGAGCCCAAGCGGAAAGATTGCCATGTTCTCATGCGAAGGTCATTAACTCGGGTCTCGCTGACTGGCTTGATCGGGTATCAGTGGGTGCAGGAAGTTCGAGCAACTAGTGATCAACGGGATGCTCGAGAACCGTCGCAGATGAAGGCGCAATTAAGAGAAGCGAGACATACGTCACCAGCTCAGTAATCGCCCGTGTTTCTTCATGGTACGTGCTTTACTTGTACGACCCCGCGGGGAGTACGCTGATTCTGGATCGTCGCGGTGGCGGCAGCATGCCCTAGAGACCGCGGCGAATGTGCCGGAAAGACGAGCGGAAGAACGAGCAAAGGGACGATAATCGGCGAATGCATTTTTGGGCCATTCTGTATGCACTCCCAGTGCCACGAGATAACACTTTTCGTGGCGGCCCTTGTAGGGCACGGACAAGTAGTGTTCAAGTCTTGAAACGGAGAGAACCAGGACAAGGGCCGACATACCCCCCTGCGCTCAGAAGTCCCATTTCCGCCGGCTTGGAGCGGCCATGAGCCTGGGCTGGTGTTGATTATTGAATTGGCGTCGAATCACAGCTGCGCGCGGCGCGACGCGCTCAGGAAGGACGACCTGTGGTACACGAACGCCAGCTTGCGAAGTCGCGAGATAAAGCGGCGAGCGCATGCGTCTCGCACTTTTACCCCTGGGTACTACAAGGCACATGCGAGTTCTAAAGGCCGCGCGCCCGAATGTGAAGTCGCAAGAAAAGTGACGCGTGCGTGCGTGCGTCTCGCACTTTTACCCTTGGGTACAAGACGCATGAGAGTTATTTGGGTTCTTTAGGCCACCTGAATGTGCTTCACTTGCCTCCGACCGGGCGGACCTGAACCAGAACACATGAGAAATTTCGAGCGTCTGTGGGGGCGCGAACACGCTATCGATAGCGTTACGGCAAGTTACGGTGGGCTCGCCAGGCAACTCGCCAGCCAGGTCCGGTCGCTGCGCTCCGTGGAGACCACGTGCGTCGTGCATCGTGTCTTGGCAAAAGGGGACGCGACATGAGCTTGCGCACAAAGTTGGCATGGGGGCGAGCTTGGCATGTCGGCGGTTTCGCTGCACAGAATGAATTGGCGCCTAGGATGCTTTGCATGAGGTATTCAGGACAAGCCAATCAAGGACGTGTCCTCCATCGAGATCGCTGTGCGTCGTGGCTTGGGGTTGACAGGCGGTAACGACAGCCATAGACGAGGAGCTCCATCGCAAGGGCGATCAGTTACCATCTATAGCTGCGGACCATGGTAGAGAAGTGGACCGTAACGAGGTCTGTTTGAAGATCAGGCCTAGTGTTCATCTGGAAAGAATGTCTTACTTTATGCTGGGCTAGCTCGCAGATGCTGTGGCGTGTTTACGTACCGGTACCGCGACGGGAAGGACTATAGCCCTTTAGGAAGTCTTATCTGGCTGCGAATTTTCGCATCGAAGACTCGTATCGAGCTCAGCTCGGTGGTGCGGCATGCATCTCGTTATGACCTGCGCTGGTGGGTGGTCCGCCTGGCCTGGGATTCCAAGAGACGTCGTTCGCTGGGAGATGCTCGCACGGTGGGAGTCACGTGCGTCTTGCACCGGAGGATGCGGAGTATCCGTCGCCCCAGGAGGAAGCGCCACAAACCATCAAAAACTGATGCGCCTTGCCGTGTCTGAGCCAAACTCCGGCGTGGCCCCTTGCCGCCGCTCCTGCTTGCTTGCTTTCTCGTCCTCTCTCTCCAGATGAGAACTGTCGCGCAATGTTCCCAGAGCTCGTGTTCACTTCTGTCTCTATTGGGCAGGCTTCCCCGCGGAGCAGGCAGCAGCGAGAAGCGCTGCAACGGAAGAGCGAGCGGGGATCACGGTTCCTCGCGCTGGCGCTGTCGGAAATGGCTGCGTCCTCCCGATCGGCTGGCCTCGTGTGTTCGAGTATAAGAACCGAGCGGCGGCGATGTCTCCTGGCTCTCCATCTCCCTCCCAGCCTCAGTCGCGTCGGCCTCAGGCGCGTCCGGCCCAGGTTCTGTCCAACCCGTCGCGCGACTTGTTTGCAGCTCACCATCAGTCACTCGTTCACATCTTGTTTCGTGCGCGAATCTTCCCAAGCTTGCCCCGCACGTATATATACTTCGTTCTTCGCCCGCCAGCCTGCATCCCCATGAACACCGTCATCGTCGGGATTTTTGTCGCCCTCGCCCTCTACGCCTGGTCCCGCTCGGCCAAGAGCGACAAGCTCCCGGTCCCGCCTGGTCCCAAGCCAGTGCCGATCCTCGGTAACGTCCTTGACTTGACCGCAAAGGAGCTTTGGCTCCGCGCCACTGGCTGGGCGAAGCAGTATGGTACGTGCGCCACCACGCTTGGCTCAGGTTATGAGCTCACATAGACCATGTCCGACAGGCGACATCGTGTATATACATCTCCTCGGACAAGGACTCGTATTCTGCAACACCTACGAGGTTGCACAGGACCTCCTCGACAAAAAGGGATCTATTTATTCAGACAAACCCCACCTCGTCATGGCCGGCGAACTGTGAGTCACCGGTGTGCTTCGTCCCCTTCCCGGGCTAACATCTCCCAGGTGCGGATGCCAGAACATGGTCGCCTTCACGCGCTACGGCGACATGGCGCGCCGCCAGCGCAAGCTGATGAACTCGGCCTTCGGCATCGCTGCCGTCAAGCGATACCGCCCACTGCTAGCAAACGAGAGCCTCCTCCTCCTCAAACGGATCCTCGCCGACCCCCAGGACTACCTAGGCTACATCCGTCGCTACGCCGGCGGCCTCACCCTGCAGTCTGTCTACGGCTACAGGGCGGAGACAAACGACGATCCTCTCTTGAACCTTGGCCAGGAGTGTGTGGACATCCTGTCAAACAAGATTGCCTCCGGAGGCGGGATCTGGCCGGTCGACATCTTCCCATCCCGTAAGTGGCGCTTGTGTCGGCGTTCGTGCCTTGACTGACACTTTGCAGTGCAACACCTCCCGATGTGGTTTCCTGGTGCTGGCTTCAAGCGCAAGGCGGTGATGTGGCGTGCGAAGATGGAAGAGTTTGTCGACAGGCCGTACGAGATGGTTCTTGAGCGCGTGGTAAGTTGCCAATTCCTATGCCCGGTCGTTGTCTTACACTTTCCACAGAGGAGTGGCACCGCTGTGCCCTGTTTCGTCACGACACTGCTCGACGAAGCCCGCGACGAGAAGAGCGAGACGGTCGACCCGCAGCGCGACTTCGATATCCGCTGGACCGCCAACTCGATGTTCTCCGCCAGCACAGACACGACGATCACCGTCGTGCAGATGTTCATGCTCGCCATGATCACGCACCCGGACGTGCTCCAGAAGGTGCAGGCCGAGCTCGACGCCGTCGTCGGGACGGAGCGCCTGCCGACGTTCGAGGACCGGCCGCGGCTGCCATACCTCGAGGCCGTCCTCTCCGAGGTCCTGCGCTGGAGCGTGCCCGTCCCGCTCGCGCTCCCGCACCGGCTGACGGAGGACGACGTGTACCGGGGGATGCGCCTCAAGGCAGGCACGCTCGTCTTCGCCAACGTCTGGAACATGCTCCGCAACGAGGACGTCTGGCCCGACGCGCACGCGTTCCGGCCCGAACGCTTCCTCGAGCCCCCCGCCGCCGCCGACGAGGCCGCGGCGCGCCGGCGCGACCCGCGCACGTACGTCTTCGGCTTTGGCCGTCGCCGCTGCCCCGGCGTGCACCTCATCGAGGAGAGCCTCTGGATCGTGATGGCCACGATGCTCGCGACGACGGAGCTCGCGATGGAAAAGGACGCGCGCGGGGAACCTGTCCCGCCGCAGATCGACTTCAACAACTCTGTCTTCCGGTGAGTCCCCGCGCGCTCGAGTGGGGGGAGTCTCAGGGCGAGCGCTGACGTTTGGTTGTGTGTAGCACGCCTACCCCGTTCAAATGCGACATCCGGCCGCGCTCTCAGCAGGTTCTGCGGCTCGTCAGGCTTTCTGAATGATCTGTCGTCTTAGGGGGGGGGTTTTTTTTTGCTCGAGCATTCTTGTATCATAGTGGTTTGATTGGACTAATTTCGATGGCTTGAACTCGACTTGTTCGTGCAAGGAACAGAGCGGTGAATATGTTTTGTCTGCCCTGGTGCACTACGAGAGGCCAGCGAACGACAACTATACATGAGAAAGCAGCCCACTGCGATCGGTGCAGATCCTGATGCGCCTGCAGCTTTCATTTTTCCTGAATATTAACTCGCGGAGCTGTCCGTGACTGACGATACGGCCATCAGGCCCCAGGCGCTGTATGGTCTCTCGTACTAGATACCGCAGCCCTGCTCGGGACTATGCGATGTAGGTTCCCGAAATCTCATTCAATGGTCATACGACCTCATACGACTGTCGCAAAACTAGGTTTGACGACGACGGATTCCAATAGCGGCCTGGTGGTAACTCGAGTTGCATCCTCGCGAGCTCGCCCCAAACCTTGTGCACTAGTCTATGCTTCCTGTGTGAAGATGTTCACCAAGGTGCTTCATTGGAGCAAAAGGACAGTAAAGACGGTTTAGTGCGGTTCAGACGGCAACTCACGGTCGTCGGTTTTCTGATCGGGAACATCACTGGACGTGTCGAGATGGTTCTGCGGCTTCTGCTATTTCGTTAGTGGAGAAATGCAAACGTTTGAGCCCATGTGGAGGTCAAGAGGATAATGGAACTATGCGATGCACGAATTCTAGCTTGTAAGAGACAGGCCAGGCCCTCCCAGTCCCGAAGTCTCAGATCTCAGAGGCCTCAGGGGCGGCCCCCATGCTATCTTCCCAAGCGTCGGGCCGACGAATTACCAATTCTAGGATGTTGCGCCGCCCGGCCGAGCGCGCGGCGCAGGAATAGCATAGCGAGATTTGAGCGGACTTTGAATTTCCTAGTACACTGTCTGGGGCTGGGACAGACGTGGAAGCTCTCTCGACTTTGTCCTTCTCTTCGACGACAACGCCAACAGCGACGACCATGGCCTGCATCTGAGCCCCCTCACACGGTACACTCGTCCACTATTATTCTTTCCACTATCCTTATTGCTGTGCATGTCACCACCCCGACCTAAGTACACCTCCGAGTCATCCCAGCGCCCAAACTGTTCAGTCTGAATCACCAGGAACATGAGCGTGGTGCAGGTGGGTATCCACCTTAAGGCTGCCAGCACCGAGGGCGCACAATGCTCAAGCATACTCAACCGACAGAGCGAGAATCCAGCCGTCGCTAGCTTGCTCTCCTTGTCCATGGCAGCCGCCGAGGCAGCTCCGATCCCCGTCCCGCAGACTCCCGCGAGCACAGTGTCGCCGCCGCTCGGCAGCAACAGCTACACGGGCAGCAGCCACAATGGCCACGGAAGCCTGAACGGAAGCGGACACAGCACGACGACGAGCAAGGTCCAGAGCGCCATGAAGCATCGACGGCTGTCCTCCACTGGACAGAGCAAGCGCAGACTGAGCGATGCTCGAGAGGCGACGAGCAGGCCTTCGTGCGTACCCTGTTTCTCTGTCGGTGTGCAGGGCGCAGACCGCCTTGTCTTACGCTTCGCATTGGCAGGCCTCAGACCCTGCAGTCTGCATCCGCGGCCCTGAATGCGCTCGCTACCCTCTCGCTTGCCGGTTCTCCCCCACCACAAGCCGCGCCCCAGACGTCGACTTCTTTTGCCTCCGCTGTCGGTGTCATACACCTCGAGTCTGATACCGGCGAGCCCGAACAGGCTATCAAGCAGGAAGAGGAGGAGCAGCCCCCGAGCTCTACGCCGGCGCCTTCTGGCGAATTGAGTGGTGGTGGGATTTCTATCAAGAATGGCAAGAAGCGAGGCACCATTTTCAAGTGCGAGACTTGCTCCAAGGTGCGTGGCTCTTTTATAACGCTCCTTCGGATGATTGTTTGCTTACTTGCATTGATAGGTCTATCGTCACCCTTCCTGCCTCATTAAGCATCGCTGGGAACACTCTCCGCATTGGCGCGAAGCGTCTAAACTGATGCTGAGCAAGCATCAGCAGGTGCAACTTCTTGAGGTGGGTCCCTTTCCCAGGTGCAAAAAGCTTGACATTAAAATGGAGGGTTGTAGGCCGCGGCAATCTTGTCTCATATGTCGCCATCGAATACGGGCGGTATGTCTCTCCCGGAAGATCGTTCACTCTGGCCGTCCTTCCTTTCTGGCGGTTTGCTTCCACCTCCATCCACATCGAACGGGGTTCAGTCGGCGACTTCCTCTAGCGCGGCTCCGTCTTCCCTGGACTCCCGCCCGTCCCTGCGCGCGTCCAGTTCTGTGCCGGCTCAGTCTGCGCTCTCCATGTCGAGGCCAGGCTCTGCGGGTCCGCGCATGCACGACTACTCCATCATCAACTCGAGCGGAATCACTCACGTTCGTCCTGGTGTCGTCGGTGTCTCCACGAGCTCCTCGCCGCCTCCAGCGACCCCTTCGCCGTCTGGGCCGTCTCCTATACCGGTCAAGATGGATACCTACCGCGAGACCCGGGCGCTGTCCGTGTCGTCAGACACCTGGAACTCCTCACCTGTCTCCTCGACGTACGGACAGTCCTACGCTTCGACGGGCAGCTGGTCGCTGCCGCGCTCCTCCCTGCGGTCCCGCTCCGCTTCGGCGCCAAAGACGGACGAGGACGAGAGCTACATCGAGGTCGACATCGAGGGCGACGACGGGTTCGCCGGCCAGCGATACGGCTTTGTCAGCCGTGGCCGCATGAGCGCGGAACGCAGTGGCGGACTTAAGGACGTCGACGGCACGCCGATGAACCTCCGGGACGAGAAGATTGAAGAGGAATGGGACGGCGAAATGGAGATGGAGATGTAGCTGCTGTAACATTAGCATTAGCATTAGGACTGGGAAACTCACTCGGAAGTGTAAGTGGCCTGTATTCACGCATCAGAACCGGATGGACTGTCCAATAATATATATATATATTCATCTTGGTTGCTGGGTATACTCCGCTGTTGAGACGGCGTGTTTCTATCTGGAGGGATGTCCTGCTCTTGGGTCGACGTTAGCGGTGCTCACATGGGATTGTAACGCGAACGATCGCTAGGAATGCGTGCGTAGCTTACCACCAACGTGAGTGCTCAGATCTTAGAAGAGCTCGAAGATGTCGTCCATGTCCACGAAGTCCGACACGAAAGGATATAGTCCGGCGCTTCGCCATGTGGCGCTGTGGGATAATACAGTTTTGAAGACGTGACGACAAGTAGTTAGAAGGATCCCGACCAGCTTTCGTGACCCGTTCTTACGTCTTTTTTGCGTTACATCCAGGACACGAGAAACAACTTCAGATCCTCTATAATGGATGATTGTGTCTGACATCCCTACATGCAGACGCAACACATTATTCTTTGAACACCCTGGTTGCCAGCCGGTCTTCCGCCCTTACTTGACTCTTCGCAAGACTGCTTTATAGCTGTAGACTGATTGATTTATTAATTGGCAATGCGGTCCCGATTACTCGATTTTAATTCTCGAGAATCGGCACGTCGTTGACAACAACGATTGCTCAGGATCTTTACAACAGTAAGAGTAAGTATTGAGCGCATTGCTGTATGAGTTCGCGCTGTACTACTGTAGAAAAACTGGGAAAGTGCAATCATGCACCCAGCCCGGTCCTTCAACAAACTATCTGTATCAGCTCTCGATTTATCCTGACTAACTAGAAGTACTCAGGCCTTACGTTTGAACGTCCGTTTGTGCGAGCAAGTTAAGCAAGCCCTCTCGTTTTTTCTTTCTCTCCTGAATTTAAAGTGCTACCTACGGAGGGTAATGTACACCTGAAGCCCTCTCGTTGCGGTGGTCGGAGTGACGTTCAGGAACATTGTTGAGCGCCTTCTACACTCGCTACGTGAAGGCGCCTACTTGCTGCGTTTAGTGACCAGTGATTCAGGCCCCACCCCGCGCAATATCCCACTCTGCCTCTTCTACACCTATGGCTACTCTCGCTAAACTCACGTCCCTATCGACCCAGACATTATCTCTACTTTTAGAGCGACAGCGACTCCAGAGTCTGTCTGTCAGTGCAAATGGCACCTCGTTGCACCTGCCGCAGATCACACGGAACCTAAACCAGCTGCGGACAGGTGCCTTCGAGCTGGAGGAGAAGGAGGGTGACTCCGAGGCTGTCCGCCTACTGAAGAGCCAGTATGAGCGCATGAGGGGCATGTTGGGGCCTGAAGCGGAGGCGGCTGGCATTCAGAGGTCGGTGTTCGCTCTTCAGAGTGCTGATGCCTGAGACTTAGCTGTAGTCGGCCTGCTGCCGCAGTCTTCAACAGGCACCGCCGGCTACGATGTCTGCTAGCCCTGTTCCACCATCCTCGCCGCATTCGCCGTCCCGTCTGCCGACACCCCCGCCTCCGGCACATGCATCACGCGAAACGCGGTCTGACGAGGTCAACTTCGCACCATATACTGATGACCCTGAAGCTGCATACCCCTCCACACATGAGGTGCTACATACCCAGCGCCAAATGATGGACGAACAAGACGTGCGTCTGGACGAGCTTGCACAGTCCATCGGCCGGCAGCACGGCCTGTCACTGCAGATCAACGACGAGCTGGATGTGCACCACGGCCTGCTTGAGGGGATGGATGAGGAACTGGACCGCACCGGAAGCAGACTCAGCCAGGCTCGGCGAAAGCTCGACAGGGTTGCGCGCGGTGCGAAAGAGAACAGTGCGTTTCTGCTCTCTTACTACCACTTGACGTGCTAACCAAGGCTGCGCAGGTTCGACCGTCATGATCGGCCTGATCATCTTTGTACTCCTCATCCTGATTATTGTATTCAAGACATGACGTCCCTCCGATGACATCCTGCTCGGTCTGTAGAGATATTGCTACACTACTCACGCTAATCTGTATGCTTAGTGTATTACCCTCATCCTTGGATGGCATGAGCGCGGACTGTAGAGCCTCGCTATACCCTTATCACGCTGTAGGACTGCTGCGTCGCACCGCTTTTCCACCTGTCTTTTTCTGCTTTTCGCTGCTCAGGTTCTGTGAGTCTACGACTAGATTTATATGTGCATGTGATTAGCTCTAGGCCGAATCCGAGGCTTTCTCGCTAATGCCTAACGGCGCTTTGCGGGCCGCATTGCGCTACGCCCAAAACAGCGGAAATAACGTCAGCAATGGCCGATGCTTTATTCCGCGACCAATGTCGATACTCACCTCTGTTTCATTTCCCTTCTTTTTCTGCCGTTTTCTTGAGCATCAAACGTTCGTAAGCGCATGGCCTTATGGTGAACGGTCAACTAGAATACGTACTATACTCACGATATCAGGAACGCAGGTAAAGTCATCGTTAAGTAAATTAACGAATATTCATCTCGGGCACTGCTTATCTCCGTATATCAACGGTCACCGGTCTTAGGGCTCTGGTGCTCTGTGAAAGCGCTGCATATAGGGCTGCTAGCGGGTCATAATTGCGTTGCATAGCATGAGCAAGGCGGACGCCGGCCTTAGCACATCCCGGCAGTCTCCTAGAGTGACACTGCTGGAAAATTGACCGCAGGAAGCTGACTGTACGTACGATTGGTAATCTTCAGAAGTCTGGTAGTATATAACATCTGCGTTCTGCTGCAGTATGCTGCAAGATACATCCTCACAGAACGCATCTCTCTTAGCCATGTCTCAGCCAAAGCTCTTCACACCCATCAAGGTCGGCGACGCGACGCTACAGCACCGTGTTGTGATGGCTCCGCTGACGCGTGTCCGCGCGACCAAAGCGCACGTCCCGACGCCGCTCATGGCCGAGTACTACGCACAGCGCGCCAGCACGCCCGGCACACTCATTGTTAGCGAGGGGACCTTCATTGCCCCGCAGGCAGGCGGACATCGACACGTCCCCGGCATCTGGAACGACGAGCAAGTTGCCGGTTGGAAGCGTGTACGTCTGCTTTCACAGTAGCTCGCCGCCCAGGCGCCCATGGCTAATCCGTATCTACAGGTTACGGACGCCGTCCATGCTCAGGGGTCTTACATCTATATGCAGCTGTGGGCCCTCGGGCGGGCAGCCAGTCCAGAAGTCCTCCAGGAGGAAGGCAGATATCCATATGTCTCTGCGTCCGACGTGCAGTTGTCAGGAAAGCCTTTCCCACCGCGTCCTTCTACGAAGGAAGGTGAGCACACTTACAGTGAAGTCTCGGTCTATCTTCACGCCGGACTAATGTCTCTTCCAGAAACCAAAGAGTACATCGAACTCTACGGTGCAGCAGCGAAGAACGCTATCCGCGCAGGTTTTGATGGCGTCGAGCTGCACGGTGCAAACGGCTACCTGATCGACCAGTTTATTCAAGATGTTACAAACACGCGCACAGACGAGTACGGTGGCTCGGTGGAAAACCGAGCGCGGTTCGCACTCGACGCGCTCGACACAGCTGTCAAGGCGATCGGTGAAAGCAAGGTTGGCATTCGGCTCAGTCCATGGGGCACGTTCAACGGTGCGTATAAGCGACGTCGTCGGAGGTAGTACTTGACCCGCTGATGACTGTGGTGCAGGTATGCGTATGGCAGACCCGAAACCCGGTTTCAGCCACCTTGTGTCGGAAATAGCGAGAAGGTGGTCATCGTTGGCATATATTCATCTGGTTGAGCCCCGTGTAGATGGCAGCGACGACAGAGAAGTCCAGGAAGGGGAGGTAAATCTTCTAGTCTGTGACATCTAGATAAACACACGCTAATTGCTCTCTAGTCAAATGACTTCCTGAGGGAGATCTGGGGCCAACGACCGTTCATCAGCGCTGGTGGCTATAATCGCGAACTTGCCTTCAAGGTCGCCGAGACGAAGGGTGACTTAATCGGCGTCGGTAGACTGTTTATCTCGCACGTACGTCTGCAACATACGTTGGTCCTGCGTGGCACTGACTTTTTTTAGCCCGACCTGCCAGTGCTGTGGCAGAAGGATATCCCTGTTGAAAAAGGCAGCCGTTCAACATACTACACACATGAGAGCCCCCAGGGATACACCGATTACCCTTTCGCCGACGGTTCGGTTGCTCCTGAGCGGTTCAAGAAGCTCCCTAACTGAGCGTAGATGCGTAATATATATCTCATATGTCTTGTTTCGACGTTTAAGATAAGAGTAAATATCCTGTATAGATATATCCCGCGTTAATAGTTGCTGCATGTTCTGACCGCTGACTGAGCCCTATATCTCAAAATCCGTCACATCATCAATTCACAAAGTTTACACGGAAGTTATAGCCGTTGATTACCAGTTATACACGACTAACCCGTTGCGCTGCGAACAAATCACCCGCTTTGAGAATAAGAAGAGCGTCGACAAAAATACAAGTCCACAGTGCTACATTTTATGCGGCCTTGACACCACCCCAAGCAACCCTCTGGCCTGAAGGCTTGGGCGCACCATTCGCAGGCGCAGACACGCCGTCGACCTTGGCAGGCTGTGCCGGCTGAGTGGGTCTAGGAGGCACAGGGAGCGGACTGTTCTTGAGGGTGTCGAGAACGCGCTGCGCGTGCTCGTTATTTCTGATGAACCAGCCGGCGTACCGACGGCCGACAGTGGACTCAGCGATGTGAACCATGTTCTGCAATAGGCCGTCAACTAAGATTTGTTTGATCGATAATAGGGAAAGAAGCCTACCTCGTTAATAACGAAGTCCAGGTCGCTGGTCGAGATCATCTCGCCGCCGAGGAGGCCCTTCTGGCTCTCGACACGGCTGACGCTGCGACTCGCCTGCTTCATAACCATCAGCTGCTGCACCATCTCCTCTTCGTCGGCGTCGAGGAAGTTTGCGAGCTTCGTCGCGTTGAGCGAGGTGTACAGTTTCAAGAAGCTACGCAGCGTCGGGGCGGGCGCCTGAGCACGGACATCCGACAGGAAGAGTGAGAGGTGCCGTTGGGCAGGTTCGACCGGTGGGTCCTCGATGTAGCCCTGAAAGAGCTCAGGATCCTCGTAGGGCGGCGGGTTCGCGGAGATGAATTTTGGACAGGAATAGAGGAAGAGCTCCTCGAAGGCCGGAATACCCTCGTCACTATCGAGGCAACTTGGTGAACAAAATTCGCTGCGACACGATAACTTTCATACCCGCGAGACATTTTGGCAAACTGCTCGCCATAGCGCTCCTTGACGATGTTGGAGATGTTGTCGTCCACCCGTGTTGGCGATAGCGCAGTGCAGATCGCGAATAGGGCGTACATACGGTCGGCAGTCTTGTTGATCTGGTCGTACTGATAGCTGCGGGTGTGGTATTGTCTCATCCGGAGGATGAAGTTGAGGATGGAGACGAAGGTTCGAATGGCATCGGGATATCTGCGAAGCATGATATAGCAGAAGCCAACGTAGTAGTAGGTGGTAACATGACAAGCAGTGACACGGGTGAACGGCGACTTCTGGTTGAGCTCGACATTCTCCATGACTTTGAGTGCCAACGTGAAGTCTCCGAGGAGACTGTGGACGCGGAGCAGGCCGATGATACTGAAGTATCCGAGCATGCGGTAAAGAGGGCGGACGCCGAACTCGCCAACAATCTTGCTGATTGATAGGTGGGTTAGCATGAACCAAGAGCTTCGTGATGGACTCACGTAATCTCCTCTTGGCTCTTTCCTTCCTGAAGAGCCACAATGTGCTCGTTAATTTTTGACTTCTGGATGAGCGAGTAGAGGACGTTGAGGACACTGTACGAACTCCAAACCTAAGCCCACGCGATGATTAGTCTAAGATATGGCCAATATTACTGTCTGTGATGGCGTACCTGGCTGGCATCTGCCAATAGTATGAGCTCGTCGTCACTCTTCGACTTGACCTTCAGCCGCCATACGCAGAAGGACTGGAACTGGTAGATAAATTCGTCGATGATGTCCCATAGCCACTGTTCGGGCAGCTCTAAAGGGACAGGGCCGTCGGAGTCTGGATGGAAGTGAGTCGATCGTTGCGATGGAAGAAACAGCTGATTTTGAACTGACTAAGTAGGTAGTTGAACAGCTCACAGCTGTTCTCATATGAGTGAAAGCGATCGTCGATGTCCGGCTGGAGGCGCGAATAGACGTGGCGGTAGTAAAGCTCACGGTAAAGAATCAGAAAAATTTGATCTAATAAACAAAGGGGGAAGATAGGTCATTGGGGAGAATGCATATCGTGCGTGGGGGACACACCATCGTTGACCAATGGCGCAATGACCTCCGCTTCCGGCCATTCATTCTTTGCGTAGTGCTTCTCCGTCAATCTGTTCCATCCGCTCTCATATGCCACGGTAATCTCTGCAAGGTTATTTTCGAGGACCGCTTGGTGGAAATGTAGGATGAACTAGAGACTGGTGTGATTAACACGAGCTGCCTGCAGGGGAAGCCAGTTATCCTTACGCGTTTGACAGCATCGGGGACCTGTGCTAGAGCTGCCTGCTGAGCAACTTGCTGTTGAACAACAAGCAGAGTAGTCTCGTCTATCCGGGGTTGGGCTGCAAGATAGATGGACCTATGAGACGAGGAAATGGATCAGTTTGTTGCCTCGCGTACCGTCGTCGTAGAGCCCGTTTTGACCATAGCTTCCGATAGCAAGATTGAGGTCAACATCGTGAAAATCCTCGTCGAGATCAGCCTCCCAGAGGGCCGTACGTTGCTGAGCCATGGTGAATGTACGGAGAGCTGCACCGTCTGCTGAAATTTCCAAGATGCACCCTTCGTTTAGACGCTTTCCCAGTCACACACAACATCCGCTTTCGGTACTACTGTAGTTCGGCGATCACCGATCAGAAGACCCAAGTCCGTCGAATGTGTCCTAACTGGCAAACGCACTCTGCACACTCATTCTTTCGTCCGAGATATCCTTCAATGAGGCAGCTTTCATGGCCAAGACTCAAACTCAGCAATCATAAGATAGCCTCTACCATCTTTATCTGCGAACCGTGTCAGAAGACAAATGCCGTACGTGACTTCTGCTTGCGACAGCTTGTACATGTTGAAGACTTGTTACACAGGGCAGCCATGTCTGGTCGCGTGGCCTCGCAACTAGTCGCAAACCCCGACCCTCGCGTGAACAGGGTCAGCCTATGTTTGTAGGAGATACGTCTTCTGAAAGAAAGAGGTCTCTCGTCCACGAATTCGACAGAGTGCGTCCTGAAATCCTCTTCTCCCCGACCTACGTTGACGCGGTAGCACAGCTCCCCGAATGGCCCAAGTTACCTCCCGGTATAATTGAGAGACGCGTAAACACCGTTTCCAGGGTTCAGGATGCTGTCCAGGATGCGTTTGGCCGTGAATACAAAGTGAAACCATTTGGCAGTACATGCTACGGCGCGGACACGGTAGACAGTGACATTGATCTGGTTATCATGGTGAGCGCGTTGATTGTAATTGTGTGCACTGTTTTCTCAGAACAAGTAGGACCCGCGTCGTCCAAAAGGCTCTGCACCTGAGAGTCAAAAGCCGACAAGTAAGTCATATTACTGCCTCTTTCTCCTGTTGTAATAGCTGTTGAGAAATAATCTACAGGGATATACAATGTGAGGTGAATAAACACGCTTTGTAGTCATAGTACGAGCTGATTCTTGATATCAGACAGCTCGGCAAAGTGCTATCTAAGGCAGGATTCAAGGTCCACAGCGTGATTCCGTCAGCTGCTGTCCCTATCGGTACGTATAGTATTCTCTTACGGGATCAAGTTTTATGAACATTGTCTACTCTAGTGAAATTCCTTGATCGGCACACAAACCTGGCCTGTGATGTAAATGTAAATGAGCGTTTGGGCTATCGGAATACGCAACTTATCAAGAGGTATTGCATGATTCTACCACTCTTACCTTACGTTATCCTCGCCACCAAGCACTGGGCTGCGGGACATCGCTGGTCATCTAACATCAATAGCTATACTCTGGCTATCATGTCAATCGGCGTTTTCCAGGTGCGTGTCGGTAATGCGCGTACATGATCCATATCTGAACACGGTCTGCAGACCCGCGGAATCCTCCCAAACCTTCAGAAGGCGCCTCTTGATGGGTTGCCTGAAGATACCCTGTCTGTCTACTATGCAAACGTCAAGGGAAAACGCGGAGCCAAGAAGGGAAGCCGCGGATCCAAAGGAAGCCCCGAAGCACAAAGATGCGACACTCGTTTTAATGTCAAAGAGCCAAATTGGCTGCCTCGCTTCTTTGTTAGCTCGCTAGACGATGCTCTCTACATCTGGTACAGGCGCGTATCGGCTTGGAGCATCATTAACGACGGCATCATCACTTACGCTATCTAATAGATACTGGGGCTACGAGCATCCGTACCACGAATGTCTCATCGACATACGACGTGGTGGCCTTGTTCGACGGCGGAAGAAGTGGTCTAGCCTACCTGAATCGCCTGAGCCGAGGTTGGTATCTTTGGAGGGGGAAGACGCCGTCTTGGCCATGCTAAATGAAGCCGAACAAGAGGATGCTGAAGCTGCTGAATTTCCTAGTCCTGAGGAGTTCGACGCGCCACTTGCAACAACGGAGCAGGACGAGCCGACAGGCTGGGTGCGTCAGCCGCTAGTCGTTCGGGATCCTTTCTTGCGCTCAAAGGTAAGCAATCACACTGTCGCTACCTTGAAAAACTGCTTATGGAGGTTGCGTTCAGAATTGTGGTGCTCAAATGAAAGATTTTGCTGTTGCGCTGTTCCAAAACGACTGTCGAAAAGCGGCGGACGCGCTTGAGGTCAAGCTGAAAACCCATCCCTCGTTCGCAGTTCTGAAGGGGCTACCGGCGATCACTGTTGTGTCCCCTCCTTGAGGCCTCCGACTACTCGAATAAGGCGCTCTACATCATACATCGGGCGCTGCGCACGAATAGACTTAAATCTCGATGGAGGTACCCTTCTTATCATATTCTACAAAGTCAGAACACTCTGGAAGGTGTCTTACTCCCAGAAGACCCGTCGAAGTGCGTTGATTTTGATAGCTCGTGTGTTGTTACAACAACCATGTCCCGAAATCAAACACCACCGGGGCACGCAGGACAGCGAGTGACGCACTACGAACGGTGATCCGCGACGGGTTAGTGTCTACCAGTCTCGTAGTCGCTTCTCCACCACATAGACGTCGGTAGCAGCTCGCTAATGTAATATACGCACTGCTGTATAAGACGTACGTGTGGATTCGTGTTTGGGATGACCTTCCAATAAAGCCACGGCAGGCCCGCAGCTGTGATCTCAGAGACCCATGTCTGGAGCTGTCGCAGCGGGTAGCGTGTCCCCGCTCGGGCAGTCTGTGTCAAAGTAGCAGGCGCTCTTTGGCGTGCAGAGAGACGATGTCTACAGTCGTGCGGATTGTACAGACTCGTCTACGGACTACCCAGGACTCACCTTCGGTCATGACGAGTATCTGCAGAGCCTTAATGAGATGCAGTATCTCTTATTAGCATCCAACCGGCGTCGGGTAGAAGTGCAGTACAGGCAAACACCGATCCATGATGCCTGAAGCGGTCGTCCAGACATTCATTAATGGATTCTGGTAGAATACATGAGCCAGAGTGCGGGAAAAGAGCAAGAAGTCCCATGGCCTACCTATTTACATATCTTCATTAACCTTCAGAGGTGTCGCACCCAATATCTGCCATATCGCTTTCCCAATAACACCAACACCATCATTCCTCCACTTCGCACGCTGTCGTGCACTGTCTGCGGTCGCCTGGTCTATCACTCCAGTGGATAATCGGACATCGATGATTTTCCTGACTATGTTCTCAGTGAATTCCGGGTGTCCCTGGACCGTGAATATTTGGATGTCCTTAGGAGTCCGCGATAATGCACCAGGAGCGTAACGGACGAAGCCCTGGTTCTTGCATATGGGCGACGACGCTAGGAGCTCACAACATGCGGGAACTTCAGGTATGTGGTCGCGGTGCATTTGTTGAATATTCTGTTGTGTTTACGCGACCATCTAATCAACAAACCGGTCGCATAGTCAGTGCGGTAAAAAAGCGCACCAGTTCATGAAGCCCGCCGAACAGCTCCTTACTTGTCTCGGTGAGTTGTATTGGAATAGGGCCCACCTCCCAAATCCCACCGTTAGGAACACAGTCTTCACCAAGCGCACGCCCAATAATTTGGTGTCCGAAACAGATACCTGTAGGGTGAAAGTCAATACAAGAACGTCGAATATGATCAGCTATTATTCCATCGATGCTGAACGAAGGAAAGTCATCTCATGTAGTATAGCGTACACATACCGATAAGCTTCACATTAGGCTTCGTCTCGGCAACTGACGCAATGTATGCCACAAGCTGGTTGATCCATTCAAGATTTTCATATGCAGATGCCGCTGTGCAAGGCTGGCTTAGCTCCCACAAGGTTTAGAGAATCAAGGAGACTCGACAGACCGGACCCAGTCATGACAATCGCGCTGTATCGGTCGATGTCTTCTGGGTACTCCATCTTGTTTCGTACATCATACGAGTCCATGGTATAGCTGACGCCTTTTGGGCAAGACGATTGGAAGAGCTCGTTGAATATCTTTGTGTAGTCGCCATCTTCTTCTAGGACAGGTTGTATTGGTGTGTCACACAAGAAGAGAGCAAGGCAGGTGGGGGACGACATGATATTGAGGTCGAGGCTCGGGAGCAAAGGGTTTAAAATCTTATCTTATCGTTTTATTTCCGTGGCGCTTATCTAATAGTTTGATGTCAACGACTCAACCTGATTCGGCAAGGACCGATGTTGATGCAGATGACCGACAATTCAGGCTGCTCACAACGGTCGGATTGACCAACGTCGTCGCCCGTGTTCGTGTCAATTCCATATATCCCACACAACTGATATATCTTGAACACGTCAGAAGCAGGAACTCGCCGATCCTTGTCCGGTCGGTCTGTCAACCAGTAGGCCAAACCTTGGAACAATACACCTATCTGTGAGTATCTGGATCCCCACCGGAAGCCCAAAGACTATGCAGATATTTTTCGCTGTCACGAGACGCTACAGGGCAGGACAAATGTTCTGCCTAGTGAAGTACAGAGCTCTGCGATGTCAAAGCAGCTACCGGGCTACCGGGCTACTCGCTGATCTGGCAGCCTGACGGCTGAACTTTCACTAGCCTGAGCAACTAGCGCATGGCATAGGTTGCCCTGCATGAAGTGGACCCGCTAGTCTCTTACTAGCTGCGGAGCGTGGTCCAAAATTTGCTGTGAAGTGACGATAAGAGGTGGGCTACTGCTCGTGCTTATCTCCACGGGACCATCTCCCACGGAGAAAATACTGGTATGCGCGATAAGCAGGCGCGGATATAGATGCACCAGGGTCATCAAATCTTCTGTCAGCGATGTTCGACTCAGAACGATGGATAGACTCCCTCGCCAATCCATATAAGAGTACCTCCTGGTGTCCCGCGAGACGAAGACGCTCCTCCACCCTTCAGAGGCTTGAGAATCTGCGACTCGCCAAGGATGTCTACCGACACAAATGAACCAGTGCTTCCTCAAGGCGCAGGTTATGGAGTTGGTGGGTATTCAGATAGCTGACGCGGAACGAGAGGCTAACACACGCATGTAGTTGTTGGTATGCCACTCGCATAGCTCTCAAACGAACGTCCGTCTTGACTTAGCGAAGGAATTGGACTCTTTTTCAGTGCATTTATGCTTGTGCTCACTGCGGTCCAAGCGCGGTACACAGGTTTCTCGCCGAAGAGCTCTGAAGAATTCAACAGCGCTTCACGCAGCGTAAAGCCGGGACTTATTGCCTCAGGCATCGTCTCGGCCTGGACATGGGCAGCAACCTTGGTACTTACTTTCTTCTCGCCATACATCTACCTGTTGAGAATATTCGTTTAGCTTCAATCGAGCGCGGTAGCTTATAAATACGGCATTTCCGGTCCATGGTGGTATGGTGCTGGAGCCACTGTTCAAGTACTCCTATTCGCTCAAGTGAGTCCCAAGCTTAATTTTTGCTTCGAGAGAGACAAGAGCATCCCTACCTCTGTAGCTGGCGGCAAAGCTCAAGATGAATGCTCCTCGTGCGCATACATGGCTCGAAATTGTCGCAGCACGCTGGGGCACGTTCGCACATTTGGTCTTCATGTTCTTCGGGTTTGTGCTTACGTATTGACAGCTGGAGGATAGTGACATATTGACACCGACGTAGGCTTGCGACCAACGTTATTGTATCTTCTATGCTTATTCTCGGCGGTTCCGCAACTGTGACGAGCTTGACAGGAATGAACACAATTGCGGTAGGTCATTGTTTGATGCTACTAGTCATCCACCTGACGGGTTCGCAGGCATGCTTCCTGATTCCTTTGGGAGTGTCCATTTACGTCGTAGTTGGCGGTATGCGCGCTACTCTTCTTTGCGATTAGTAAGCACAGACCCTCGATAAACCTGTTCTCGGTATTGACGGACTGAGTCTAGCACACACACCACTGTCCTCTTCATCATCATCTTCATTTTTATCTTCACAGTGTACAGCACATCTCCCAAAATCGGCTCTATCTCTGCCATGCACGATCTTCTTGCGAAGGCCTCCGCGGAGGCTCCAGTTTCGGGCAATGCCCACGGGTCATACTTGACCATCCGGTCGAAAAACGGCCTGATATTTGGCGTCATCAACGTCATTGGCAACTTCGCAACTGTTTTCCAGGACCAGGCGGTAAATGCCTGCTGCAATTGATTTGCCGTACCCATCTAACTGTCTGGTTTAGTACTGGCAGCGTGCGATTGCCAGTCGTCCCGCATCATGTGTGAAGGCCTACCTTCTCGGTGGACTTGCATGGTAAAATGCTCGAACGGCTTCACTACTGAGATGCTCATACTGTTCGTTGTGCAGGTTCGCCATCCCCTTCATGTTCTCCACCACTCTCGGCCTCTCTGCCGTCGCGTTGCGCGGCGATCCTGCCATGCGCACTCTCAGTCCGGCAGATATCTCCGCTGGTCTTCCTGCCCCTGCCGCTGCCGCTGCTCTGCTTGGCCAAGGTGGCGCCGCGACACTACTCGTCTTGCTCTTCCTTGCGGTTACTAGCGCAACAAGTGCGGAGCTGATCGCTGTGAGCAGTATCTTGACGTTTGATGTGTACAAGGTGCGAGCCGCGTAGATTCTGTTGTGTGAGTGGATTGAGGTATTGAAGAGACTTCGCCAGAAATACATCAACTCTGACGCCACTGAGAGCCAAATTCTTAGGGTATCACACGCGATGGTTGCCTGTTTCGCTATCGTCATGGGTCTTCTTGGTCTTATTTTCTTCTACATCGGCATTTCTATGGGCTGGCTCTACGTACGTGTACCCCTGTGTCCCTTAAGTCGAGCCACTCCTAACTCCGCGCTATGCATGCAGGAATTCATGGGAGTCGTTCTCGGTTCGGCAGTCGTGCCCATCGCACTCTGCGTGTGCTGGAAGAAAGCAAATAAGTGGGGCTGTATCATTGGTTCTCTCGCTGGCTTCTTCGCTGGTCTTATCGCCTGGCTTGTCACGACATCGAGTCTCAACGGCGGGTCTCTTACAGTAACGGTTAGTACTAGTATTTCTGTATGTTCGAAAGCATCACGCTAATAATTCTACGCAGACAACCGGTGGCGACCTCGAGATGCTCGCAGGTAACTTAGCCTCGATTGGTGTTGGCGGTATCATCGCCATGGTATCATCCATCTTCGTATGCTAGCGACTCTTCGATCCATCTTCAATATCCTGACCCGTATCATAGTGGCCAGAAGACTTCAACTTTGACATTACACGCGCAATTAACCAGCCTGCTACGTTGGTTGAAAAGCCTAGCGGCAGCCCCAAATCTGCGTCTGTCGACATGGACGAGAAGGAGAAGCGCGACAGCCTCTCAGCGGAGGTCATGTCTATCCGACTACCCGAGGACAACGAACTCGATCCAGCGAAGCTGCAGAAGGCATTCAGGTTCGCTGCATGGTCGTCGATCATTCTCGTGAGTGCCTGTCAGGCTATTAGCAACTTGTGAGACTGATGTGGGTGGTGTTACAGCTTGTTGTGATGCTCCTCATTATCCCGCTGCCGTTGTTCTTCGCTCAGACCGTCTTCGGCAAGCGAGGCCTGGCGGCCTGGGTCGTGATTGGTATAATCTGGGCGTTTGCGTCTGCGTTAACGGTGATCTTGTACCCGCTGTACGAGAGCAGGAGGGAGCTGGCGATGATAATTAGGGGCCTGGTAAAGGTCCGTTCGTCCGCACTGCGAATATTGCTCGTTTTGCGTATGCTGACTTACGATAAGGATGTCTTCGCACCCGGAAGTGGCAAGTATGAAGAAGCAGGGTCATCTATTTCCAATGCATGAGAGTCTACAAGATTTTACAATATTAATTCGACCGTGTATACATCGATAACAATGCGGGCTACCAGAGAGTCTATCGGGAGGACGCGGTACTTTCATAGTTTCAACGGGGGAGGCTCCTCAAGTCCACCATGATCCAGTTGCTCGAGCTCCTCCTGGTAGAATCGTGCCAGGAATGCCTCATCTGAACAGAACTGCTGCAGCTTCTTGCGGAGCTCCTCTGCCGCAGTGCCAGGGTGCTGCAGCTTGAGCGTCGCGCCGACCTTTCCTGCGCCTATGAGGCGATTCGTGAGGAAGAGGAACCCGTCGGTGCCGCCAATGACCTGCACGAACGCGACGCCAGAGCGATGGACCCACTGCGAGTATCGGTATGGTAACCGCCGATACGAGTACACAACATCGACAGTGTCAGGGTATGCGCTACCGGCCTCGATATCGAGTACGAAGCCGAGCTTGCGGAGCAGCTGCGTCTCGAAGTAGATTTGCACAGGCGTACCCTCAGGCAGCCGCTCAAAGCTCGGCACCACAGGGGGCGCGAGGGCCATAGCAAGAGGGAAGCATGACTGAAACGGGTTGTGCTCGCGGATGTCGCTGATCTGGCTGACATAGGCTTCGACGAGTCTTAGGCCATATCGCTCGATGGTACGACTCCATTGTCGCAGGATGTCGTCGATACACCGCGCTGTTGCACCGAGCCACTGCAGCTCAAAGTGGAAGCATGTCGTTGGGTTATGCATGATGTCGTGGTGTAGCACAACACATTCAGACTGATCGCTCCTCTATATACACAGAGCACTTTGATTAAGGAGGGATCTTCACACGTAGCAGTATATGTGCTTACCTTGTTGGGGTCGATGTCAATAACCATGGACTGACTCATTATCAGCTTCTTCCTGAATATCTTCCCTGGAACAGACTTGATGTAGCTCGCGCCAATTCCAGACCTCGAACTTGTATCTTCCGATGGGGCGTGTCTGGATGATCTGCCGAACCATCCTCCGCGTGGTGTCATTGGAATGAGGTACTCCCCGCGTAACACGTAGAAGTAATGTCTACGACAATGTATCAGCATCTTCCTTGGGATGATACTTGTACTACATACCCGTCCAAGAATCCGTGGGTCCCACGACAATGATCAAAAAGCCCCTGGTCTTGCAGCTTTGCACCCCATTCCGTCGCCTGCTCTCGAGTCGGTACATCGCGAAATTCTCTGACGAGCCACGAAACCATATCTGTACCGGTGAAGGAATTAGGGTAGGTGATTCCGTGCCACTTGCGGTCCTTGACAGGCACGCCATCCTCCTCTCGCATTGCCTTCGCAACTGCCTGCAGAGACATATCACTGATATCACGCTCGCTCTTGACTTTCTTCCTCAGCGGCCCTGCGGCATGTATCTCGTCAAGTTGAGACATCAGCGCCTCGTCAAGCACACATTGCGTGGGACTCATATCGGTCGGGAGGAAGCGTGCGGGAGGATACTGCTTCCCCTTTTCGTCCGGAGGCACCCATCTCACTTTGGAGAAGAGCTCTGCGAGCTTGTCCATGCCCAGCAGCCGGATTTCCTCGTCGTTGAGCTTTTCACCCAAAGGACCAACGCTGGTCAGGGGTGGCTCGTCCGTAGGGATGACAACGAAGCGGGTGCGCCAGTACCGCAGCGACTCGTTGAATTGATTCTCGTAGCCAGAAGCTAGCATGTCCAAGCTGCGTAATAGCCAATGAGCAGGGTTTGTCGGTTGCAAACATCTTGACAGCGCACCGATTCCATCCATAGTTCTCTAGTCCGCGCATTACGAATGACGTCTTGAGTTCCGTGTAGCCCACGCCCAGCTTAGGCCAAATGAGACACTGATAGTCATACGGCATCAGTCTTGGCACCCTCTTCACGTACCGCCTCACTTGTATGGAGTCTCCGCTATACGCAATGCGGTGGATCTCGTTACTCATGCTAAGATATACTGGTTCACTCGCGTTCTTCAATGCGTCTGGGGCGCCCTGGAGTTTAGGTGTCTCTTCGTCTGACGCAGTATATGACGACGCCGTACGACGAAGGGTGCCGACGCCACATTCCACATCCTTCGGCAATGATAACGGGGAAAGGACGAACTGAAACCCTTGCACAAGCCGCAGTGCAACCATGGCCCGCATGACCACCTGCGCCCACGCTCTCCTGACAACATCGGGGCTGTTGCCGTTCATTACGAGTGGGCGTATGAAGAAGCTTCGCATCTCTGGCGGATCGACGACAAAGTCGTACGGAGAGACGATATATTGACCTTCCAGCTCGCTTGACCGCGGGAAGTACTCTGTCGTCAGAGGAAGCGAAGCAGGCATGATCATTGATCTCCATTTGATGTCGTGCTTCGAGAGAGGGACGGGGAAGATGTGTTCGAACCTCCGCGCCAGAGCACTTTGCGCTGAAGGTACAGGTGCAGACGGCTTCGAAGGGTTGGTGCGAGCAACCGTATGAGAAGCAGAGAATCCTAGAGGTGGGTGCACAGAGGAAAGCGTTCCACTTCGGCGCTTCATGGCCCCATTGTACAAGGGATTATCTGAGTCTCGAGGCGGCGTTTGGTTCAATGGCGACTGTCGTGTGAGTGAACGGCTCTGCGGGGTTACAAGACCGTCTTCATCATGAGGTATCGTCCTGCTCAAGCCCGAGCGGCCGACCGTGGCGCTCTTGATCGCTACTGGTTTAGGAGAACGCTGTGCGAAGGGCGGCTGCGGGCCTTGAAGCTGCTGCGCCGCACTGGGTTTAGGTGTCTGTGACTGGAGCCAGGAAGACTGAGATGATGCGCGAGAACGCGCCGATCCTTTTGTTTGCGCATGTACCTGGGATGTCGAAGCGATGGGAGCGGATGATAGAGGCGAAGGAGTGGACGGGCTAGTCAGTCCTGCCGACGCACTTACTGCTGACGTTTCGGGCTGACTGATACCGCTGCGAGAGAATGCATTCCAGAGCCAAGAGGGTGCAAACCTGGATGTTGTCGAACTCGTTTTCTGCAAGGCCGGTCGTGACAGGTGTGCAGGCGCGCTGCGAGTGCTGCCGACTTTGGTACTTGAGGTTGCAGCAGAGAGTGTCGATGCATTAGATCGTGTAGATCTCACAGAGAGGACCGAAGATTGGGAAGGCGATGTGCTCAGCAAGTTCGCGTTGCCTGTGATAGACGGACTTGCACTGATGGCGAGGTCTTTTGCACCCTCTGAATCGTCAGCTGGCTTAGGCGCAGAGGGGACGGCTGGTAGCGGCGCAGAGCCCTGTAGGGGGCTCTCTTGGATCGTTGCAATCTTTGATCCCGTGCGATTTGAAAGTGATCGCTTCAACCCTCCGGCACCCTCAAGTCTGTATGAGCTTGACCCCTCGCTGGACAGTGAGACTATTGAGCCTCTTTGTATCACTGGACTAGCGACGTGCATCGTAGGGGGCTGATAGACCGCGAAGGCATCCATGTCAAATTTGTCAGCTTCCGCCTTAGTGAGGCGCTTGTCGTTGTTCATTGTGGTCGGAGAGATTGTTCCGGTAGCAGCACCGAGAGTATCAAAGCTCGCATGCATAGATCTCAGCTGAGGTGTACGCGACGAGCCAAAGCCAGAATCAGGAAGATACGGCAGCTCAATGCTCGAAAGTACGTCGTGGTCCAACAAGCCAAGCATTTCGATCTCGTGCATCTTCGCACGGGCAACGAACCTAAGGCTCATCATGAGAACTCTTTAATCTGTAGACAAGTAAGGAGAGACTCGCCTATCTTCTCGGAAAGGCAGGTCCATTTGTGGGTCCCAAAACGAGACAGACAACCAAAACGGCTCCCACCAGAACGTAGCCATCTTTTTTGTGCCATCGTGTTTCTCGTCATCAGGACCCCAGAGAGCGTCGAGGGTTCGCGATCCTGTCCCTGGCCCGCTAGTCGGTTCCGGCTCATAGTCTCTGAAAGCGAATATGGGACTCTGGTGCAGAGGCGGCTTCGTTAACGACACAAGATCCAGCGCGAACCCTTGATCGAGTAAACGAGCGGTCGTCAAGCGCAGCAGAGGCTTGTTTACGCGGAAATAACCTGTACCTGGTGTTATGACAATTGTCGCCGAGCCCGTGAGAGATAGCGAGCGGTCGATATAATGTGTTTCGATGGGATTAAGGGAGAGATTCAAGGCCTCAAGAATAGGGCCGTCATGCGCGTAGGATAGTTGACCAACGAGGCGAACATTGTCTGTTGCTTGCGTCCCATCATCTCCGTCACCGGCGGTATTGACCTGAGATCGTGAGTCCGAGCAACTGAGGCTGGCCCGGTGATAGTGATGTGCCAGCAGGATATCTCTCTGGAATGCCCAAAACGAGTCCTTGAGACTAACCAGAGTGGGTTTCCAGTCGTACACGACTTCTAGATCTGTTATGACCTTGAAGAAATCCTTGTACCGCCTGCCGTCGTCATCCGTGCGCAAAGGGCCTGCCGCATATTCGACTTCGCTCTCGTCGTAAAAGACGCGTGAAATCAGCACTATAGTGGCTATATGAGTCGTTCCCGCCTCACGCCACTTTGCGAAGAGGGTTGGGAGGAAGGAGTGGACAATCTTTTCGTTGTACCGTTCGCCGTCACCTGCAAATTCCCAAAGCTCCCGACAGACTTGGATAAAAATGGTAGCTCGTGCAGAGAGCGAACGGTACACAAGCTTTGTCCGGGAGGTAATATATGCTGTTGAGACCTGTAAGGATTGAGCTGTGCTTCCTATACTAGTCAGGCTAGCCTTAGCGTAGCAAGCGCACCTTCTTTCCGGTAATGTACACAGCGTTCACGCGAGCTGTTACGACACCGATAAAGAATAGCTCTTGATCAACAAACACGCTCTGTCCTACAAGATGCTGGCCCATTCTCCACATCTCATTCCGACCAAGGTACTGGTCCTGAAATGTGAGCTCGACATAGTCAGCGCACCATTCGTCTTTCTCAACCTGTAAAAACACGATAAAATACATCCCATAGAGCTAGGCTGCACACGTATTCACCTTCGTTAACAAAACTTCACCATTGTTCCTGAGACCGAGCTTCTCCGCCATAGGCCTAGGGATGGATATCTGACCTCACCAATCGTTCATGCTCCTTGGTGCATTCTCAAACAGATGTGTGATGTACCTGCAGCTGATGTTTGATTGGCTCATCGGGCTTTGGCACCTGAAACAATGCCCTATGCCCTGAACCCTGTTCTGGAGATTGTGCACAGAGCTGGAGGAGATCGCCTTCTTGGACACCAGGCCACCAGACATGGTTCAAAATTACCGAGGGAGAATCTTTGGGATCGTGAACCCATATCGTTAGGACCTTGGAATCTCCCGTTCTGAGGGGTATCGCTGGGACTACTGGTGTTGATACTGAGGACGTCGACTTGAGTACGGATTGAACAGTGTTAGAACGCTTTCGACCATACTGGGTCGGCTGCTGAGATTCAGAGCGAGAGGTCATCAAGCTAAACAGCTCGAAATCATAACAACGCGAAGCAAGCGGTCTGTCAGCTGCTTAGCTGAGCCTTGTCACTATATAACAATAATAGGAAAACCTCTGTAGGCCCGTTTAGCTCAGTGGTAGAGCGCGCCACTTGTATTCTCAAATGCAATGGTGAGGTCAGTCGTTCAATCCGGCTAATGGGCATAGTCTTTTTTCGTTTTTGTTTTATGCCTTCAAAAAACGGACTGTTCGAGCCGCTTTCGGTGTACGCGCAGCCCCGAATGGCCTATAATTGTCTTGGGCATGTTGAGTATTATAGCGGGTGTTAGGTTAGAACACTCAGGGTTCATCGGAAGTCGGGATGATAATCGTGGTTATCTCGAGCAATCTAAGTTCCACTCTCCCCTTTTTATCCGGGAACACTTCCAATTCGTCGAATGCTCCTCGCTGCACCTCGAGTCAGCTGCAGCACTCTCCTTCGACGCACCTGCCATCCCTCATCGCTCCCTCGTTCCTTTGCAGCGTCGTTTTGTACGCCCTCGGTCACGGCATTTCCGTACGGAGGAGATGGCTACAACTGTGCACAAAACCGCATTTCCCTTCGACAAGGCCAGGCTGGAGGCCCTGCTCCTAAGAAGGTTCTTTTATGCCCCCGCTTTTGAGATCTACCGAGGTGCGTACAACCAAATTGTAACTGGGTTGGTAAACACGATTCTGGCTTAGTGTCCAGCTGAGTGTGGCTCCCCACCTTGAAGTTTTGCTTTGAATGCAGCTCACGCGATGTCTAATGGTTCTAACACAGGTGTCGCTGGTCTGTACGACTATGGTCCTCCGGGCTCTTCCCTGCAAGCCAACATCATTAATGAATGGAGGAAGCATTTTATAATCGAGGAGGGAATGCTGGAAATTGACACTACAATCCTAACCCCAGCTCCTGTCTTTGAGACATCCGGTCACGTCGCTCGTTTTGCAGATTGGATGGTGAAGGACACAAAAACTGGCGATGTACTGCGTGCGGACCATCTCGTCAAGAACGTACTCGAGGCCAGACTCGCTGGTGACAAGGAGGCCAGAGGCATTGCTGCTGAGCCCAAGGAGGAGGATGCGCTGAAGAGACAGCCCAAGCGTAAAGATAAGGCTGCAAAGGTTGCACCCGTGAGGGTGGCTGACGAAGTTGTTGCTGAATACGAGCGCATACTTGCTCAGGTGAGTGGCAAATTTGAAACAAGATACTCATCTCGCCTCACGTCTTTTATCTCGTCTGAATAGATCGACAACTACTCTGGCCCAGAACTTGGTCAGCTGTGCCGGGATCACAAGATTGTGAACCCAGAGACAGGCAATGAAGTCACCGAGCCACAGCCCTTCAACCTCATGTTCACGACCAGCATCGGCCCCACCGGTCAACACCCAGGGCAAGTTGCCGAGCACTGCCTTATCTCCTTCACATGGAAAGTTGACAATCTCGCTGCCTTTCTGTAGCTACCTCCGGCCAGAGACCGCCCAGGGCCACTTCGTGAACTTCCAACGCCTGCTCGAATTCAATAACGGACGTGTGCCTTTCGCGTCTGCTCAGATCGGTCGCTCATTCCGTAATGAAATTTCGCCTCGCGCAGGCCTACTTCGCGTCCGGGAGTTCACTATGGCCGAAATCGAGCACTTCGTTGACCCAGAGGACAAGCGTCATGAGCGCTTCTCTGAGTTGCGCGACATTGAGCTTAACTTGCTCGACCGACACACGCAAGCCGCCGGCTCCTCCGTCCCCAAGCGCATGACAGTTGGTGAGGCCGTTGAGAAGGGCGTCATCGCAAACGAGACGCTCGGCTACTTCGTTGCACGTATCTATCTGTTCCTCGCCAAGATCGGAGTCAACCCCAAGCGACTACGTTTCCGTCAGCACATGGCTAATGAGATGGCCCACTACGCCACGGACTGCTGGGACGCTGAGATCGAGAACTCGACTGGTTGGACGGAATGTGTGGGCTGCGCAGACCGTGCTGCGTACGATCTCTCCGTGCACGCGAAGCGCACGGGTGCTCCTCTTGTTGTTCGCGAAGCCCTGAAGGAGCCTATTGTGACCGAGAAGGAGGTTCCTGAATTCAACAAGAAGCTCATGGGCAAGACCTTCGGCAAGGACTTGCCTGTTGTCACCCAAGTGGTCTCGACCATGTCCGAGGAGGAGCTGATCAAGCTCAAGGGCCAGCTAGCGCAGGGGTGCGTCTTTTCTCTCCTACCCTGATGCGGCTTCCGTGTATCTATGGTGGCTCGTGCTAACCGAAACCTTTTTTCCATCGTTGTGTGCACAGCGAGGCCGTCATCATTTCCCCAGATGGCAGAAAATTCAAACTCACGCCCGAAATCCTAACCATTGAGAGGCAGACATTGAAACAGTCTAGTAAGTCCCTTACTGGAACACCGCGGCTGTCAGTCATCTGACATGCTTTCTGCCTTGCCCAGTCCGCGAGTTTACACCAAACGTCATCGAGCCTTCCTTCGGTCTCGGCCGCATCCTCTATACCCTCCTTGAACACAGCTTCTGGAGTCGAGAACAGGACGCCGACCGTGGTGTGAGTACTCAGCCTGCTTCTCAGGGCGGAAACGGTGTTGACATGCGGCCATGTGCTTCCGCCCGGTCTGCGTTCTAGGTCCTCTCGCTGCCGGTCATTGTCGCCCCCACCAAAGTCCTAATCGTCCCCCTGAGCACGAAGAAGTTTGACGAGCTCGTTCAGGAAGTCTGTGAGTCAATCAGTCCGCTGTGCTCGTTGCCCCTTACCCCACAATTTTCCCCGCTCACACGACACTGCATTTTCTAACACGCTATTGCTCATCTCCGCAGCCAGCAAACTCCGCAAAGCGGGCGTGTTCTCGCGCGTAGACGACTCGAACCAGTCCATCGGCAGGCGCTACGCCCGCAATGACGAGTTGGGCACGCCGTTCGGCCTGACTCTCGACTTTGCTTGTAAGCGGGGCTGGTCATGCGACCATGAATTCTCACTGAACGCTCTTGTGGCCTTGCAGCGGTGCAGCATCGCACGATGACGCTTCGGTGAGTTGCTCGGCAAGCGACTTCTGTCTTGAGTGCTACCGCGCGGTCATCTGCTCGTCTCCTCGCATCCCCATTGATTCCAAGCCTGGTTTAGCTACCGCCGGCACCGGGTGTTCCCAGGCTTCCCGTGCCTTTTCCTCCATAGACCTCGCACGCATTCGCTCGTGTGACGACCGGCTGGCGAACTGACACTGACGCTTTTTTTGGTTTCTGACAGGGAGCGCGACACGACGGAGCAGCTCATCGGGAACATCGAAGAGGTGATCGCGGTCGTCATCGACCTCTGCAACGGCATGATCGAGTGGGCCGAGGCGTGCCAGCGGTTGCCGCGGTACACTGGCACGCAGAACGTCGAGTGAAGCAGGGGCCCGTCTGGCCCTCGTCGAGGGGCACCCCCGCTGACGTAGTTGTATGAGTGTGTGGTCCGCGACGATCGCTTCAGTTATATTGACGAAGCTTGGACGCCCTAGACCGTGACCACGGGAACGTCATCCGCACGGGCGGCTGTCAAGAGGGTGCTGCTGCTGTTGTTGCGCGGGTCTGCTGGTTCTCTCACGGAACGGTCTCGTCTCTGTCATCGGGCATGTATTATTATTACCAAAACCTGTTGAAAAATGCCATGGCGTCTGCGGACATACATAGCACGTCGTGCTCTGGCAGCAATTGTCGTTGTAAATGCAACGCAGCGGCGCTCGCGGTCTGCCGCCCCACGAGCGCAATTTCCGTGTCATTCTTCTCCCCGGGTTTTACGCCATCCTGATCGCGTGAGCAGCCACATTGACTGGGCGCGGGACGAGACATCTGGTCGTGACGGCTGGCATCAGCCATGAGTACATGAAGCCTGGCCGACCGGAGCTCGAGGGGGGGCTGCATCACGGAGGCGTTCGGTACTCTCCGGACCATGCTTTCTGGTCTAGGACGTGTATGTCCACGTCGACCCGGCGCAGGGGGCCCGCTGTGTTGTGAACCAGGCGGCGCCCAGCTTGCAGCCTCGGGAGCACATGCGGGAGCGAGGGTTGCCGGGGTACAGCGTGACGCAGCCTGGAGGGGCGCCACGCGTGCGCATACGAACATGCAGTGTCTGGACGGGGCGCTGCGGTGACCCGTGTGCGGACATTGTCGCGACCGGACGACGAAACGGGTGCCAGCGTGCGGACCCGTCGGGTCATGCTCCGGGCGTGCCGGTGCGCGTCGTCGGCGGGCGTAGTGCGCATTGCTGGGCGTGCGGGGCCCGGAGCACTCGCGCCCGTGCGATACGATAGCGACGTCAGGGTCGACGCTGACGTGCGTGCGGAGAGATGGCCGCGACGCACGGTGAACGGTCTGGAAGACGCTGCCGTGTCGATGGTGATCGGGCTGCCGAGGTGCGGCGATGGGTCAGCTCGGCGGTAAGAAGTTGTTCGCGCGCGAAAGGTCCAAAAATGCGCGTTCGAGCGAGGAGTGGTGTGTAGCAGCATTACCTCTGCTGAAACAGACGCGAGGTCGCAGAGCCCTGCTCGACCGACTGCAGGGACGTCGGACAATTGGATTGCCAGGTCTCGGGAACGCGCATGGCGAGATTAAAAGGAGCGCAGAACGTCGTCGAATCGGCGGGATTCGTCACAGGGGTCAGCCCTGCAATGTCCGAGTCCTTGCTGTGTCTGGAGGGTGTCGCAAGCGTAGAAAAAGGTGGCTAGGGCAGACGGAGATAGTCTTTGGAGCACTCAGTCTCACTGTCGTCAGCTAAATACTGCGCAGAGCCTCGTTTCAAGTGACGGTATGTGAGGTACGCGCGAAAGGGGAAGGTTCCTATTGATTGAGTTGACTCGGTTAGCAAAATAAAGTTGAAATGAGAAGCACGTTTCCGATTGCGTAGCGGTGCTGACGACGCCATGGACTGTTTCGAGTGCAAGACAGCATCATGGGCAGATGCCGGAGGGACAGCGGCTTGGCCGGTGTCGTCCAGGTGACCTGGCCTCACGGGAGCAGCCGCGCAGAAGACGAGCCTGGGCTTTGCTGTGCTCAGCGGATGAATGAATAGCGCAAGCTTTGGGGTGGTTAGGATTGAGATCTTGGGAGATGGCATTACCTGCGAGTCACACACGCGTTACACGCAGACAAGACCTTCTTCGAGGGGCTTGCATGCTGGAAGGGAGCGAAATGCTGCGAGGATAATACAGCCGTTCAGGACGCGACCGTTGACGTGCACATACTTTGGGTTCCCATGAGCGTGAGCGCAGCGACAGGGCTCGCCGGGAGGAAAAACGGACATCTCTATGCGGAGCGCCGTGAGGTCGGCTGACTTGTAATAGGACTGCAACATGGCAGCGTCTTGGTCTGGCCTGAATGGGACAGAAATGGTATGGCAGGAGCAGGATGTAGGGTGGCATGAGGCTGTGAGAATCGGGCGTGGAAGATGAAATGACGTTCGGACTAAGTACAAGTCAGGTGAAGGGGAAGCCCCTTGGGCCTGAGGGTCGATCGAACTCGCGGCGGAGGGCAGGACGACGAGGGAAGGAGGTCTACGATTCTGGGTCTGCATCATGCAATACAACGGGAGGTGCAGATGCGCGTCCGAGTCCGGCGGGTATCGCCAAGGTGGACTGGCGCAACCTCGAGCGCGTTGCCATCCTGTTGCCGTCGGTGGCGTGTGGACGTAAGACTTTATCATACGTTCCTTTGTGCGGTATGTGTTGCAGCGGAGATTTGTATCAAATGAGGGCCGGAAAACGAAAGTCGGAAAGCGAGTGCTAGTGCGGCGACAAGGTTTTGAGCGTGTGGACGCGGACGAGGATTTCACGGGGAGTTGCGGGCGTGGATAACGTACGGTGTACAGCGCAGTGTTACTCTGTTATCTGTGCCGAGGGGCTGCCGAGGGATGTGGGAAACGCAGACCTCGGTGTTTTGGATCAGATTCCGTGCTTGCCCCCCGGAGGATGATTGGACCATCAACCGTGTCCCAAACTCGACGAGCGAGCCGAGGCAAACCTTCGCGACATCCCACAAGGCTGGATCACCCAGATCCCCGATTCAACTCTGCAGGTGCGAGGCCGAAACAGAGACTCTGGCTCTAGGCCCTCCAGTATATAAACTCCTGCTGCCAGCCTCTCGTTCCCCTCCCGCACTTCACTGCAAGCCTCCAATCCGCCGCGTACCTCTCTGTCGCGTAAAAGCCCTGCTCTCGTGCCTAGCACACCCTCCCACATCCTCGCTTCAACCCGCGCGAGCATACCACGTTTCCTTGCGCCATGTCCACCAAGTCCGGCTCATCCCGCTCGTCCTCGAGCTCTGCCATAGCTCCCGAACAGCTCATCTCACTCCCAAGCCTCGCCTGCTCGCTGTCCTCGCTCCCACAAGCCAGGAGTCTAGACGGGATCGCGCTGCACCCGAGTTCCATGTCAGCACAGCGCGCAGCCGAGAGTGAAGCAAAGGTACGCCCCAAAGCGCGACACGTCTCAAGTCCATTGCCACTCACACTCACCCCTCTGCAGCTGAAGAAAGTCCTCTCGAAAAGCGCTGCCTCAGGGCACCCGCCATCCGCGTACACCGCACCGAGTCCGGTACGTTTGACCCCGGCGCCTTCCCTCTGAGAAACCTCGGGCTGACATGAGGGTTCGCGCTGCTCAGACAACACCAACGTCGTATTCACCGGGCTCGCCAGCATTGACGATGCGCAAGCCAGTACGTTCCGTCCTATCCCCTGGCACCGACGTGGTTTGCTGACGCTCAGCCCTCCAGCTAAAACAAAAAATAACCGTTTAATCGGCCAACCATAGACGTCGCCTGCGCTCTCTCTCATTTTCTTCTCTTCGGGACTCTTGGGGGTTCTCTACTGCTGCGCTGATGATGACCCACACTTTCAAAAGCTGTCGATTCTCCTGCATTTTGCCTCACGCCTTCCCTCTGCATCTCTAGACGTTTTCCTCACTACTTATATCCTCGGCATCATACTCTCGCATCCGCATCACTCGCATAGTTTATCATCTTGCATACTTTCGCTGGGGAGTAACCCTTGTGTGTAATCTTGCATCTTCTCTGTGTCATTATTGCTGTCCGCAATCAACAATTAGCTTGCACTCTTTATGATCACGTGTGAGGTGCCTTCCAGTCTTCGACCCGATAGCACTGTCGTCCTGAGACATTCCATCTACGCGCATGACGCTGCTTAGCTGTACCTGCGTCACCGCGCCTTCGGGAGCAGTCAGGCAGCGATAGCTCTCCGAGGGAGGATTACGCTCGCCTTACGACCTCTCAGGTCTGCGGCCGCGAGAGGCGCGCGCGGTACGAGCAACCCGGCTGTCCAATCAAGCCCGCCGAAGGAATGCAAAGCGTCGCACCCGTTTGCTCGCATTGTCATCCGCATGAACGTGGCTACCCCCGAAATGCTGGGCCTGGTCTCGACCTTGTGTTCGGGCTCAGAGTGGAAGCGAGATGAGCGGCCTGTCGAACCGCGCAGCGCGGCGGTGCAAGAGTCCGAGCCGACCGCTGCTTTCGGTATCAAACGCGACGCAAAGATATGAGCCAGGCGGGCCTCTCTTCTCTTGTTTCCAAACTGGATATGAAGAGAAGTGCATATCTGGGCGAAGGAAACGGATCCGGCGAGATCGCCGAGCCTCGTGGCGTCCCGACATCTCCAAAAGAGGCTAAAAGCGGGTGATGGCGGGAAATGCTCCCGTGGCGCTCAGCTCCACCTGCACACCGTTCATGTTACATCTGCATCCGCGAAGCTAGTACCTCGTCGCCACCTCGTATCGCAGCAGCCTGATCCTCTTATCTCACTGTTGTACGTACATCCTTCAATGTTGGTACTTCCGGTGCCCGTTAACGGAGATTTGGAAGGGGAAAGCGGCATTTTGACGCGTGAGGCGTCTCACAGGTACGAGATAAATTTTCCTGTACAATGAATGGGATCCGCTACGACAATGCTTCTTTTGAGATAATGCAATCGTATGTCCACCAAGGTTCAGTCTTCTCATGACTCCTGATAGCGCTTTACAGAAGCGAGGTTTGAGTACTTTCAGCAGCATAGGTTGGATGCCGGTTTGTCATCAGAAGCTCAACGTGGCGTGCTTTTGCTGAAGAGTGACTCGACTAGATTGCTCAAGCACCTGTCGTGCACGACGTTTCACGATTACTCACCACTCACGCGCCTTCTGAGAACCTTACCAGCGTCTTCGGCGAAACTTTTGAAGAAAGGTACGTCCTCCATGGAGCTAACATACACGTAAAGCAGACGCAGAGCCATCCTGAGTCTGCGGTGGCTGCGGTATTTACCAGCGTATCTGGGCAGCGGGCTAATGCAGGGTAGGTTCGGCTTCTATTCTCTCTTTCTCATGAAGTAAACGACTGATCACACAAGGGATGTCGTTCTATCGTCGAAACAGCCTTCTCCAAGCTACCTCATGCTGTTGCGTGTCTTATCAAAGCATATCTTTATGGTGACAGCATGTCTATCATGGTATGCGTTCCCCGCCAGTCAGGAGGCTTTCTGCGCAGGCTCACGACGTTACCGAAGCGAGCCCCGCAATTGCTCGTGTTGAGACAGATCTCGATCGGACCCGATGCTGGGAAGTTTAACTTGGTCTGCCTCAACCGCACAGGCGGGTGCCTCGCGAAGCTGAACGCGTCGGGCCCCCACCATTCCCACCATTCCGTACCATCGCCATCGGCACAAGAACCAGCGTACATGTCGTGCAGGCGGTGTTGCGGGGTTTGATAACGCGGTTCCAGGGCATTCCGGCGACACTCAGCCCTTTGTTTCGTAAGGGACAGGCGTTTGCGGTGAACGTTACCTGCACTGACGCTCGCGATAAGCGTATCATTACAGGCAATCAAAACGCGGAACCTCTCGCGACTGAGAAATCTCGCGTTCTGTCCGGGAAAACGCGTACTTGGGATCGCACAAGCAGCAGTCTGCGCGTACCGTCGATGTTGCAATTGCAACTCAATCGTTGGGAATCCCCGCGAGCCGAGAAGGTTGACGGGATGCTGGCAGCATCGGTAATGCTTGCGCCGCCCTGTGCCCTACGGAGGCAGTTATCTGTGCGAACACGCTCACGTTCGCAACTCGCAGGAGTTAGCATTGGTGGCCGCATACCAGCTCAGGACCGGATCCCCGAGCTTCTTGCCAAAGCTGATGACGACGATCGTCCTCGTTGGGCGTCCTCAGCCGCAGAGATGGCGGCCCTGCCTGTGCATGTGTTAACTGCTTGATGCCACGGACGACGACTCAATGCGCAACGCGTAGCGAAGACATGGCCGAAAGTCTAATCTTGCCGCAAGTTCCCGCAAGAGAAGTGGAGCGCGACCACAGGGGCTCGCTACATCCGTTCTGCCAGCTGCTGTCGTCGGTATGAGTGCCGTAAAGCGTCCCAGGTGCATCTGGTACCCTGGTGCTGGATCGCGCTGTGCTCACATTCAGCGCACGGGGCCCCAGGGCGCACCGCACGTGCGTGCGTGCGTGCGATCGAGAGAAGGCGGTGGCGTCGTCGCTCGGCACATCTCCAGCCTCCAGACCATAACGTTATGAAGGGCAGCAGGTACGCTGGCAGCGGTGGCCGTTGGTACCCTTTTTCTGGTTTTCATGACACTTAATTTTCTCGGAGAAATATCCTGAGCAAGCTCCGTGCTCGCAGGACGGAACATGGAAGGATCAGTTCCATGCTGCACACTGCTCGCGTCAAACGTGCTGAATTTTTTTTGGGACGGGAATGCACGGTCATACGGTAAATCCTTCGTTCATTGTCGCAATCTTGGCATTGCTGACATGTCCTTAGGGGGAAATCCCACAAGCTTGTAAGTCAAAGTTCTGCCGCACGGGCCGGCACAGAAACAGCGCGCTGCTGCTTACTCCGGCGTCCATAAGCTCTAAAGGCTCCTTCGCCGCGGAATAACGCACAATGACGACGGATTAAGTCACTGCTGATCTCGCGCGAAGCTACCAATCGAAGGCGAAATAAGTCTTCGGGCTTCTCTAGACGTTGCACGTCTTCATGGTGCGATTTGTTGACACTGTCTAGACGATGATTTCTCCCGGAGCGAACAGAACGTTCTGGTCGTTGCTAATGACAGGTTTGGCGAAGTTTTCCGAAAGCGTCTTAGCTCTTACTGACGCCGTTACGCTCCCACCGAGCATGAAAACACGCTTCTCATGAACCCGCTCCAGATACGCAGGCCGTAGCAAAATCACCGCTGTTACTTCGACCGGTGCCCCCGCACTTGGACGCCCCCTTTACCGCGGATATCAAAGCACGATGCTCACCAAACGCGACTGTGCAGATCGTCTCCATGTCCATCCATCGCAGGGAAGCCTATCTCCACTTAGAATCTACGCCAGGGTCGAGACGCTTGAACATTCAGGACGAAACATCGCTGGCGCTTGCACACCTCGAGCGGTCCACTTGTTCTCGGACTGGGAGAAGCCATCAGCGGGTATCCGGGAAGTGGCAGGAACAACAGTGGGCCGACATGAAGCGCGACACATATGTGAGAACTGAGATTTGTGATGGTCGATTTTGTTTGTGCTGCTCTGGTCCGATCCGACCTGCTTCACTGCCATACAGCCGACTATTAACAGAGACAACAGAGACAACGCGGACTTCGGGGAAAGACCCATTCATGAACGGCTGCGAGCTCTGATATGGACTTCATTACCCTCGCATCCGACCAGGCGGAAGCTCAACAATCTTTCATTAGCTGCACTGCGAAATGCCAATCTAGCCGCTCGCACCCGTAGAAGATTGTGTTTGTGGCGCCTCGTACATATGCCTCTCATGTGGCGTTCGACAAACCTGTCGTCATCTAACAGCATCTTACTGTGCCGACTTGGCTCGGTATCCTATCTTAGACTGGGTGTTGCTTAGATGTCAAGTCGAGACACTGACAGAAGCCAAAATATGCACGAGGCGACGCATCCTTTTCAGGATTTTTATCGCGTGGCATGAAACCTTATACAGCTACGTACCATCGATGCCTCGAGGTACGCCTCTTGTGCATCCTGCACAGTACTTGCACTAATCACTCCAGGCAAAATACCCAAATGCCCAAGCCAGATAGCACGCCGATAGTTCAATCGGTCGAAGAGCTAAACAAACTCCTCTCGGAAAAGTACCACCTCCATGGTCCCGAGGATACCGCGAGATCGCTCGAACCTTTCTTCCTCCAGGCGTCCCCCATCCACTCGAGACTCCGTCGCCTGAAACAACTCTACGGTGCCCATCCGTCCACTGAGGAACGCTTCGAAGCCAACAGGATACGCTCCACCGTGCCGACAGATCCGCTGGCTAATCTGAGGAGCTATCAGAGGGCGTTCGCGCAGATGGCGGAGTCCGAGGAGAAGCTTCGGTTCGCTCAAGGAAGCGTGAAGCGATTCCTCGATCTTGGGTGCTCTCCAGGAGGCTTTTCAAACTGGCTTCTAGAGAGCAACGAAGAGACCCGTGGGGTCGGTATTACGCTGTCTGACGAAGAAGCACGGTGGGCTATGGTTGTAGAAGGGACTCACCTAAAAGAACCGCGTTACGAACTTTGCTTCGCTGATATCGTGTCTCTTGCCAAAGATGCTATCGCGAAGGGGGAGAACCCAGTTATTGGCGACGCCGAGCAGTCCAGCCGCGCATTCGACCTCATCATCGCTGGAGCATTCCCCACATTAGCAGGTCGCGTACCCGCCAGTTACCGCATACAGCTGGCTCTCAGTCAGCTTCTTATCCTACTATGCAACATACAGCGCGGCGGCGACGCTATAATCGTGACCAACACCAAGACTAGGAGTTGGATCATCGAGATTATAGCGTTGCTGCGGCGCTGTTTCAGCAAAATCACGACAGGGAAGGGCAGCAAACTTCACAGCGAGCGGTCGTCTTGCTACCTCATCTGCGCAGATTTTTGTGCTACAGACGACCAGATCGCCGAGTACGTTCCTATGCTGAAGAATGCGTTGGCACAAGTAGGCCACCTGGAGGATGAGCAACCTGAAGAGGAGCAGGACGACCTCGAGGAGGTCGAAGAAGACAGAAAGTGGCGGAGGCTGCTGCAGTTCTCTGAGCAGACAACAGAAGAACTGTTTGCAGCCGAACACCGCTTCGTTCTGGATTTATTCGAGCCAGTCTGGCAGAAGCAGTACGACGCCATCTACACATCCTTCACCAAAGCATTGAATAGAAGTACGTTGCTGTCTGTCCAATTCGATCAAGCAGCTGCTGAGGGCACGCGTACAACCACAGGCAACGACGAGCACCCAGCGCCACTTGCGACGTCTGTGCGTCAGAAACATTCTAGCAGGCCTCCACCTGTGCGTGTGCACATGTCAGGGCAGTCCCCCGACGCGAGCACATACGGAGGTGACGGAGAGGTCCCTAAATGGCGGCGATCTGCGGCGGCGACGCCATCTTCAGGCTCTGAGTACTTCCCTTCTCCGAGTCCCAGCGACGCTCCGTCGCCTCGCGAGACAACAGGGTCTGCGAGTGCTAATGCGTCTGCGGCGAAATATGCGGGCCAGCATCGGCGGGCGAGCTCAAGTGTGGCCGACGCATCCTCAAACTGGCGGGATCGCACGAAGCAAACATCTAGTACGCCCGTGTTTCGTAGGCCTCGAGGATCTTCGATCTCCGACGCGAATCCACTAGGCTTCTCGAAACCCGAGAAAGCAAGGGACGGTGAGTACTACTTCAGTTGCTCGCCAGTATATCCGAATCTCAACCCCACTAGACTGAGTATGCCAATACTTCGCGCATCTTCACGTTCCGCCGATACCGCGAATACCACGTTCAGATTATAGGTACAAAGTACCATTACTGTACATTGTCGCAGACGAGTAGTGGGCTTCCGTTTAGCTTTGGGTATTACATACAAATACATACAGTACTATAGGGTGCTACTACAAAGAACACAGAGCAATAACAATGATACTCATTGACGAGATGAAGCTCGTATGCAACCAATGGCCCGAGCAAGAGACGAAAGAGAAAGCAGCGTGCAGAGATCCACATAGCTTGAGAGATGGACTGAGGGTCCTTTAAGTATAACGCTTCCTTCAAAGCTCCAGCAAGTCCATCGCGAACCGGTCGAGCATGTAAATTTCAAACTTCTTGTTCCCACCGAATTCCTTCTTCCACGTCCTGCTGAGGCCACCCTCCCAGGCGTACAGCTCGACTTTCCAGCCCTTCTTGAGCGCGAGGCGCACGCAGCCAAGGAAGCCCTCTTCGTTGAACTGCCCGACGTTGCCATCGCCCGTCGCGAGGACGATCGTCGCGCCCGGCGGCGGATCGTCTGTGGTCGCGATCGCTTGGTGAAGCTTCAGCTGCAGCAGCTCGTCGACGCCTTGTTCGCGGTAGCGTTTGCGCACGGGAGAGGGCGCGTGTGCAGCGCTCGCGCCGTTCGAGTCGGACTCGGTCGAGTTCCCGCCGTTGCCACTTATGGACGACGTCTTGCGGCTGTGGCCTTTCACGAGTGGTGCCTTGCCTTTGCTGTGCTTGGTGTGATGTATAATGTGCTGCGGGCGGGCATTATCCGCGCCACTGTTGCCGGAGTGCTGTCGGTCTGTGCCTTCGCCATCGTCTGGTACCCGCTGTAGGATGCAGACGTCGTATCCCATCTGCTCTGCAGAGTCCACGGGCTGGACAAGAGGTGAAGAGGTCGCCAGGACCCGTTTCATTACTGGTCGGCCGCGTTCCAGAATCAGCGCAAGCGCTGCATGCGAAAGATGTCTAACTTTGCGGTTGATACGGAGCCGTTTGAGGTATATGAGGAATCCGATGATGATATTCGAGCTAAGGTAGCCGTTAGATACATTTCGAGAAGGTAGAAGGCAGTGAACTTACAAATCAACAAAAACATGTATTGGGGTGTCTTTCGGCCTTGGCGATGGCCCTCTAGGATCGACGAAATCAGAACCATCCGGTTGATCATTGGATAGAACCGCTGTAAGATATTTCGAATCCTTCGGGTACAGCATACGCAGTTTGTGGGCGAGGTTGCGCAGCTGAAGAACACGGGGATCGATGGGGAGCGTAGCCTGCAGTCGTAGGGATGGGGTGGATCGGCTTTGGTGTATCGTTAAGCGACTTTCTCTTTCATCTGGCACGGTGTGGGTTGTTGTGCGCTCCCGGCGATGAGGCTTTGGACGAGGAGAAGCAGGCGTGGATTCGTAGTAATTCGCTGGAGCACCAGGGTCAGAGGTCGATGCTTCCTCTTCTTCGTCTTCTTCATCGTTGTCCTGAGCTTCTTCGGTCGTGGCGTCTGCGTTGACGGGATTGCGGATCTGGTTGTGCAATGACTGAGAGCGGTCGAGCTTTCGCTTGCGCCGGCGCCGACGAGTGGGGACAACATGTCGCCAGGTGCCGTCCGAGGTCGTTGATGAGCTGTGTCCTGCAATCCGCCCTGCCGCCGTGCTGGCTTCCCTCATCGCGATTAGCTTCGCTCGCTCCTCAGCCAAGAACCCGAATACACTGGAGAGATTTATCGACGGCGGCTCCGCATCGTCTTCCGTCGAAGTCTGATCATGGCCTTCGGAGTCCGTATGTTCGAGGTAATCAGCAATGGGGCCTTGAGTCCACACAGTCGAACCAGGCGGAGCTTCATAATCTGATAGGAGAAAGGTCGATGTTGGTGTGCGTGCTGACTCGCCGCTGTCAGATAGTTGTCGGGTATTCGTGCGTGGGTTCTGGTAGGTATGGTTGAGTTCGCGGAATACAGTGGCAAATGCACCGAGGTCAGGCGCATCTGAAGAGGCAATCAGTACAATCAGAGATGTTCTACAGGCGTGCAATTCAGAGGGCGTGTACTCACCATCGGAAGTGGCGCCGCTAGTGGTGACTGAGTACGTTGAAAAAGGACTGAATGGTGCTGGAGATAGCGTCGTATCTGATAGTGCAGAAGACATATTATTGAGAATAACGAAGAGAAAGCGAATGTGTACAGTCGTGCATGCACTGTTCGAGGTCGAGGTTGTAGTCGTGGTCGTGGTCGGAGTCAAGCCGGGTATGGCTGGATTCGGTTCACCGTGGACCCGTGCTTACATGATTCTGACTCTCGTCCTTGCTCTCGCAACCGGCCACCTCCTTGGCACTCGAAAGTGGGGTTTATGGGCCGCAGCCTCGTGTTGTTTGATTTCTTTTACTCATGCCCATGAAACCTAGAACGTAGCCACAGTGCTTCGAAGCGCTGGGCCTTCCGCTCGGAGTGCCACAGAGTGCCACCCAAGATCCCTCGTAGCTTGTGGTAAGCATGTAAAACTAGCTGTTACATCCTGGAGATGCGTGATTTTGTGTTTGCTGATGCGCTCCAAGGTCTCCTTCGGCTTCTAGCTCTGTTCGCGGGCTGGCTCTCGCATTCAAAGCATGAAAGCCTCCGTGGCATTCTTGATGGAGATGCTTTCCCTTTCACTTAGATACCCCCGCGAGGCACCGCTGCAGCAGGGCCATTTGATGACCCAGTGATATATCCCGGCGCTGACGACAACTCCAACTGCGCTGCTAGTGGACAGACGATACATCGAAGAAGTATTCTTCAAGACCCTGAGGAGAGACCTCGTGCTTTCATGAATCTCCAATAAGGAGCATATTAAGCTATTTGATGGAGCTGACGATCGTGTTTGAGGTATATTTCGCGGACACGATGCTGGGAGGCAATGTCGAGCTGTGCGTTCCTTAGGCACTTCCTACGCCAGTAGGTTCAATATTGGCTGGATTATATAGAAGTCTGAGTCTGGTCTGTGTCACTAGTGCACTTAATACATAGTGCCGTATGCTAAGTGGTGCGCGTTACGCGTAGACGCGTTTGTCAACGCGTCGCGACTTGCGTACGATCGTAGGTACTGCACTAATGTATTGCGCCTTGACACATCCCGTCATGCCCAGCGATGTTAATTTTTCACGATTCGACCGCTTCCATTGAGTACTATGTCACAAATACCACCAGAATCTCCCTTCTCAGCGCTACATACCAATGCATACATCGCCAGGACGAGGCAGCGATAATTCTTTTTAATCCATGACTCATTACCCCGGCTCGCAGTAAGATCTTCAATGAATAGGAGCATAAAATATACCCAGCTCGAGCCTGATTTGAGCAAGTTGTGACTGCATTCCAGGCTGGGTCCAGCAACTTGACTTATAACCGAATTCCTTGGTTTTACATTAGCCATACACTGCTCGCGAAACAGAACAAGCAAGTAATTCTACAACACAGAGGGGAACTAGATCTACATCCGAATAAAGAATACGAAAGATAGCTTGTGCATGTGATCGTACATGTGTCGTAGATGGTCCGTACCAGGTCCAGAGTGTCAAATGTCACTTGGTGGTACTTCCGTAGGTGATGTACCCGCTGCGCGCCCTGTGAGGAGACGGCTTGAGCGGGATCTGTTCTTCCTCATCGGCGAAGTGCACATCGTCTCCGTGCACAACCGTCGCCTCGTCGTCGAGGTCCTCAAGGAGCACGTCCTCGTGCGCCCAGCGCACCAATACACCCTCGCCTACGCGAAAGCGCAGCAACGCTGGATGGGCCTTCAGATACTGTTGCACGCGCCTGCGCAAAGGACGCGGTGGGGCGTAGATCAGATACGCGATAATACCAACGGCACCCCTAGAAAGACCATGTCAGTAAAGCATGAGGTCGCAAGGCCCGTAAGGCGTACGCAGAGGTTAGTAGCAGTGTCCAGTAACCAGCGCTGGAGCGATCACTCCAAGATGGCGGCGCAAGGTCCTGCTCGCCGGCAGGAGACCCGGGGGGTGGTACCGCCTGGCGTGAGTGGCAAGCGTGAGGGGTCTTCCATGCAAAGTAGTGGCTTCCGTCGTGCGTGTGAGCATGCTCAGGCTTTGACTAAGCAAATAGCGCCTTAGCCCGCAGTCGTCTGCCAGTCAGTTTACTGCGTACATTTTCATGCTCCGCCGTGCAGACGAAGTGGAATGCCGCGAATTGAGGCGCATCGACGTAGTATCCACCGTGTAGGCTGATAGACAGCACATCTAGTTGCAGTAGCCAGAGCGATAAGCAGGCGCGACGGAACTCCGGAGGAACCAGAGAAGAATCAACGTACCTCTGCCTCCGCTTCCTCCAACCCACGAGGGCACCATGCGCGCAGTAACCTCCACGCCAGGTTTATACTCGCCGTCCTTGATAATAGGATTGTTGTCGGTAGACATCGCACCGGCGACTGGAATCGTGTTGAGGAGGCGACCCTCCCTCCAGGATTGGTTCTTGTGCCTATTCCAGGCTAGTATGCCCTATCAGCTGCAGAGACAGCCCAGATGGGATAGCTACGCACCAGTCATGCAGATCCATGTCCCCGGAGGACACTGCACCCGCGTCGATCACAGCCCAGTGAAGATGAGATATATATGTCCTTACCTGATAGTCCGCGGATTTGGAGGTGTTGTATGGCAATGAACCATCGAACGAGATCGAATACCAGCTCGAGGTTATAGTAGGGGGCGTTTCTTTCGTGAAGCCTGTGAAACGCACTTTCTTCTCTTGAAAGAGTGGGCACAGATTAAAGCTGTGCCCATCGACCATAAATTGACACTGGTCGATGAGCGAGCCCAGACGGACGGTATCCCCGGCGAGCGCAAAGCCCGCGAAGAAAAAAACAAGACAGACAGCCAGAGTAGTGTAGGACATGGCAGTTAGTCGTAAGGAGGAGACATGTGAGATAGCGGGAAGCACTTGACCTCTAAGCACACTTCTCTGGAGCTGCTAATTGATCGAAGTGCCCCGGCCCATCACGCGCGTCCCAGTCAACCCCGCCCGGCCGGAGTCTCTAACGATTAGGAATGCCTCCGGATTGACTCCGGAGTTTTACTGGTACCGACCGACTCTTACTTGCGGTAGGTTCAGGGTAGGCTGCGGAGCCCACCAACTCCTCCGGCCTTCCCTGACGTTGATGGAAAGTGTTGCATGGTAATATTTACGCAGAATCACTCCAGTGCCGTCTGGTGTGTTACAGGCTACCGGCCCTCAGAGGGCCGTGGTGATAGGTGTGGCCAAGGCGGCTGACAAGACATACAGCGAATGAAATCTTCGGGGGTTTCTTGAGAGCCAGGATGGCCATCGAAGGGAGGAAGGAAAATTTCGCTGCCCCATCGTGTTTATGCGCGGGAAATATCGATAGGTCGAAATACGGGAATCTATCATGGCCGTGACAGGACGTGTCAAGGCGCAATGTTGGGTGCGAGCGTGTCGGGGCGCGTATGCGTGATAATATTGTGTATCGCACAACTGGCGCCCCCGGATACTGTGCACTAAGTGCACTTTCAACACATTTTCATGTCATTGCTATGCGTCTTGTACTACTAGAACGTAATCTCAAGTTCATAATTCGACCATAGGGGCGACTCCCTTCTTGGGTTGCAGAGCTGTCCTCGCCGAATCGTCCGCGACGGCGTGTTGCTTCTCTCCCGGTCCAGAAAACGCTTCTGGACATACCGCGTCTTTCATCAGGCAATATGGTTGCTGTCATCGCTGACTGGGTACACTGCTAGGTCACCAAGGGAATAGTCTTACCGCGGCGGTGCTTTGCGCCGGTGGACCTCTAGGGAGGAGGGAAAGTGTCTTCACCAGGTATGCTCGTTGTGCTACTTCGTGCCCAGGAGCAAGTCTGCAAATATAACTTGAAGGAAAAAGATACCTTGAAGCACGTCGGGAAGAATCCACACGAGTCTGGTGTCGGGGAAAACGAGCAGATATGATTTAAACCACTCACCTTTGTTGAGATCTTCGGAACGATGGTGAGGCTGTCCAAAACTGAGGGTCAACTAGTGCTGAATTTCTTTAGATCAGTGGCTAAGTCCTCACTTGGCGAACAGCCAGCACCTAAGCAACAGCTCGCAAGATAATGCCAGACTGAGAGAAGCGTGAAGAATCACGACACCTGGCACCGGTCAGGTCGAGCTGGTCTGTTTATTGGTCTTGTCTTGCGTCGTTCTGAGTCTCTCTACCAGTTATGAAAGATGCAAGTATATTATGCGGGCAGATCCAATACAGCGGGGTGTAAATACCATTAACTTCCGGTAATCGTGCAGCAATCGGACTCGGGGGCAGCGAATATAAGTTATAGGTGCATGTATGACATATTCATTAGCCCCAGGCAGCGGTAGTACTGAAAAATACGGCGCGTGAGTAGTCATGACGATGTAGAAGTGAATGTTGTATACCTGTAGTTTACTATCAAGTGACCCTCAGTCGCAAACGACTGCGCGAGGTATCAGTATTAACCTTCCCAGCTGTGACGGTATCTTTCATACCTTGTACAAATTTGCAACAGTGTCATCTGGAGCAGGTGCGAAAGCGAGGTTGATATATGTAAACTGCGTAGAGGTTTAGCACCCTGGTGTCTGCGGATGACTTGAGTACGCACCAACGGATCCCCCGCTTTCCAGCCTAGTTCCTTGCGCAGGAACTGTATGACCGCCTGAAACCGATTCGAGGCTGTGATCTTGTACAAGTTCTGTTTCATAATTGGAGCGTTGCCCACAGCCTTGAACCGCACGACCACTGCCCAATGCGCCTCAACACAAGCACCGCAGCACGCAAGGGCGAAGATAGCGCACCTTTAGAGGGGTCTTTCTTCTTGTACGCCTCAAGTGCGTCGAGGGTTTCCTGCATACTGGGCCCAGAGTCGAGCGAGGTCCATGCCGAAGGCAGCGCACGAGTGTGGGTGTCAGGACTGCCCGCCATCGGTGACATGTCCGGGGCAGCGAGGTATCCGGGGTCGCCACGGCTCCGTGGGCTTAAAGCCCAGACCCCGGGCTGCGCGCCAGCAACTGGCGCGGACGCCATGTGAGCTCGGTCTTGCACGCTGACATCGACCAGAATGTCCGTCTGCGCCTGTGTTGCGCCCCTCGTTGGCCTGGTTCACCTCTCTCTCGACCCATTTCGGCGTGCGCCACGAAGCCTGGTAGCCATCAATGCATCAGGCCTAGGCGTTGCTCAGATCGTTGAGCGGTGCTGGTTCCAGTGGCTGCACGCGTCTCCGCATACGCCGACATGCTGCACGGTCATGATGGTGAGCAATTTGCGTTAGCACTGACAGACAATGGACTCGTTTGGTGAGGGAGCTTTCAGCGTAGACGCGTATGGATGGTCTTTGTCTAGATTTGTGAATCCGTATGTTATTGTGATCTCACCATCCCGATTGGCCCTAATCGAATCCTCAAAGATGCCTATCGATGAATCTGGGCGTCCAGAGCAGACATGAGTACCCCAGGACGACATGAACCCTGGACTATGCCGTATAGGTGCTCAAAGCGATACTTCCATCCGTGCACCGAGAAGTCGGCACTTAATAGCAAGGTTGCCCCCGACAATTGCTACTGTTTCTGAGGGGGAAGTATCGCCCCAGGCCCAGCCGACCCTGGAAGCTCGTGAGCCCCGTTGTCTTAGGTTCCGGCAATGGGCGCACCGGTATCGGCATCTGGCGCTTGAGGGATTTTCCTGTTCCGCATTAACATTGCTATGTCTCGACGAATGGTCGCACAAGGCGCGGCGGATTCACCTACAAGAGTTTACGCGTACACGCAGCCTCCATGCATGGTATCACAAGCACTGCCCTATTGAGGAACAACCTTTAGGTTAGCACGGGATGTACCCTTCGGCGGTGTTGATTTGATATGCCCGCACATACAATAAGCCTCTCGATGCAGAGCACACTTCCCTCTGCTCCGTCAAACATTTGCCCAAGTTGACCGTTGACAAACGAAAATGTTTGCGCTCGACATTCCTGTGCCATTCGTGACCGCTGCCGAGCAGGGAGTAGCTGTAAAGTACGTTCTTTTCGCTACTGCCTCACCTACCACACGTGTTGATTCGTGGTGCAGGGCCCTGACCCGTGCGTGAGACATGTTGAGCGACTAACATCGCACTGAGCTCGTACTCCTAGTTGTTGGCCTGACAGCTTTGGTACACGACCATCTCTTGACTGTGAGTCAGCTAGCCAGCATCTTTGGGTCTTGCATCCAACTGAAGAGTCCCTGCGTAGCTCGACCAAGAGGTATTTCCTGCGGTCAAATTCTAATGACAACTTGCTTATGGACGTAGATTGACCTCATCTGGCGAGGTCGGCCAGGATTCGTCTCGACGATCTTCTTGTTGGTATGTTCAAGGAATGTTTTCTTCCCAAAACATGCCATCTAACGCCATTGCACTACAGAACCGATACATTGTGTACGTGGTTTCTTTTTCGGAGTGCATATAACCACCTGAATGCGAGGTGTTGAAGGCCGTGTATTATCATCGTCGATGTCTACGGTATGTTCAAAGTCCAGTATCTAAGGTCTCTACAGACACTGACTTCCTCACTTTATAGAGCTTTCCGGTGTCACGCCTAGCTCAATGTTGGTATGAGCCTTCTGTCTGCGTTCTGCCCTATTTCTCGCCTTACAGAGTATTCAGTTCTGCAAGATCTGGACGGTGATGCAGAGCTACCTCACCCTCGCCTCTTTCATGTTAATTCACGGTGTGTTCGATCCTCCGAAGCACCAGATACCCTATCTGAGAGCAAACATTGCAGTAATCGTGGCAATAAGGGTATTCGCTCTTTACAACGGTCGTAGCTGGGTTCGACGATTCTTGTGGACTAGCGGCACCATATACTTCTTGTCGTCAACGGCGGTCATTACACTCGGCGTGATAGCCGTGATTCGTGAGTCGTCAGGCTTCAAGAACGAAGAAATCTGCTGACCGGCGGTATTAGCCTCCCTTCAACCGGACCATGGTGCATGTGTTGGCAACGTAAGTCGTGAATTTATTCGTGAGCTTTTCACTAACATCATACCAACAGATGCCTTGGTACCTCTGGATCTCATGGCTCCCAACGTGAGTCTCGCCCTCTCTCGGTTCCACACAATGTAGACGCTAACATTACCTCATGTAGGATTATTTTCGAAACCATACTCTTCATCTTGACTCTTCTTGCGCTTCTCAAACAAGAAGACTCCCGCTCCTTCGGCAAGCTTACTCGCATTCTCTTTCGTGATGGTAGGTCTCGCTGTGTACTATGCGTGTCCCCGAACTTATGTTTCGCCAGGGATGGTCTATTTTGTCGCCGTCACTGGTACGAATCCAATCTGTATGGATAGAATATTTGCTGACGAAGCTGACGTAGTCTGCACCACCTTCTGCCTTATGTGAGTCTAATGCCAACGGGCCCGCGCACTCCATTGACACGGCGTTCAGGGTTTGGGCTTTCGCGCCTGTTACATTAAATGGTCTGGCTCGATAGTGCGTTCCTTCGCTTTCTCTCTGCCAGCCAGATCGTCATTACACGGATACAGCTTCGCGCTTGCCATGGTCAACATCATCTCGTCGCGTATGGTCCTTAATTTGAAGGCCTACGCGGCATCACGCAGGAGTATCCCCAGCGATTACCTGCTTCCCGCGAGTCCGTCTATGCCCCGTTCACCAATACCTCATGCCAGACATCCACGTCTACTCGGCTTACGGTCTACGGAGTCATCCGTGGATCTCGAGATATACGCCATCGAGCGAGAATATCAGCAGTTGGGCACTCGGTTGAGGTAAAGGCGTTCTTCCGCTCTTTGTAGTACTAGTTATACGCTGTTGTATCCTTAGCTTATGGATCGCACGCTTATGTATTTATTTGATCCGTCGCTCACTCCTTGTGGTGAAGCGTCATGCCCAAGGTAAGATGTCTCATTTACTGACGATACGGCTAGGACGGTCCACCCCAATCACTCAACTGGTTAGACACGCGTCACCGAGTCCGTAAGACATATATTTTGTCTAGTTTCCGTGCACTGACACTTTGAGTTTACCCCGACGGCTATCTTCAGATTTCGAGTCGAGGTGGCCGTGCAGGTCACGAGGCCATGGTCAGGACACCAGCGGGGATGCAAGTGTCCATCACATGGGCTGATATCCGGGCCGCCAAACGTATACTCTTCCGTCCGTCACCCTGCCGAGTTAGCTTGCGTGTGTATATACAGGTCGACACCATTCAAGCGTAGCGAAGACCTTTGAGCACCAGAGAAGTTCCGCTTTGACGATGTTCCTAAGGCTGCTTGCAGCATTCTCGACACTACTGCCTCTCGCGCTTGGCGCGTCACGCATTGATCGTCATGCCATGGTCTCGCGATATAACCCAACACGCAACGCATCAAGCTCGACCACACCCATGCAGGTCGGCAACGGTCACTTCGCCTTCGGCTCGGATGTGACCGGGCTCCAAACCTTCCTTCCCTTCGCCATTATGTCGGACTGGGCCTGGAAGAATGACAGTCTTCCGCCCGGCAAGACGTGGGCGGACATCTACAATTACCGCGGTGTGGAATGGGACTTCCACGGCCGACTCGTGCAATACGAGTTCGACGGCGAGCCCTTGGTCCAACAGTGGCTCATCTCGAACCCGAACCGGGTGAACTTAGGTCGCGTCGGTTTGCTCTTCCTCGATGACGACGGGAGGGCCCTGAACGTAACAGAAAGCGATCTTGAGAACGTCAAACAAGAGCTCGATCTTTGGACCGGGACCATGTCAAGCCAGTTCGTCTTCGGCGGCCAACTGGTGGCCGTGACCACCGTCTCTGCGCAGGCCAGCAGCACTGTCGGTATTAACATTGAATCTTCGCCGTTGCAAGCTGGGAAGCTCGGCGTGTACCTAGACTTCCCATGGAACGACGGCTCATCCAAATTCTCGGCCCCATTCGTCGGCGTCTTCAACATGACCAGTAACCATACAACTACGCTTCGGGTGGGTGACAAGCTTCCTAATGGTGTCCAGGCGCAAATTAGCCACACGCTCGTAAACTCGACTTTCGTTACCTCTGTTGGCGGTGATCACTTCACTATCTCTCGCGATACTCCCGCCGCGCACCGGTACTCCATCCATCCTGCCAATGCTTCGAACTCCTTTTCCCTATCTGTATCCTACTCCCTGCCCAATGACACATCGAAGGCAGTTGTCTCGTATAAGTCTATAGGTGAAGAGTCGGTCCAGACGTGGGAACAGTTCTGGTCGGAAAGTGGATTCGTCGACGTCTACACGGGCTCTTCCGACCCTAGGGCAGACGAGTTGCAAAGACGTATCATCTTATCTCGCTACCTCATGCGAGTCAATGCAGCTGGCGACGCTTCTCCGCAAGAAGTGAGTTATCATTGCTGTCGATAATGAATCATGTCGCTCACATCCTCTCTGTAGTCGGGGCTAGTCAATGACGGATGGGTAAGCTGTCCCGAGTCCTCGTGGCATTCCCGAATCGTGCTTATGACAGTTGCTTTAGTATGGGAAATTCCACATGGAGGAGGTCTTCTGGCACCTCGGGCACTGGGCACCGTGGAACAACTGGGATCTCCTCAACCGGACCTTGGGCATGTACCATCGATTTCTGGAGACGTCCATTCAGCGGGCTCAGGTGCAGCAGGGCTTCAGCATGGGCGCGCGGTGGTCGAAAATGACCGACCCTTCCGGTCGATCTGCACCCGGCGAGATCAACGAATTGCTTATCTGGCAACAGCCTCACCCGCTCGTGTTCGCCGAGTACGAGTACCGGATGACCAAGTCCCAGTCGACTCTCGAGAAGTGGCAGAATGTCATCAACGAGACTGCGAACTGGATGACTGCGTTCGCATGGTTGAACGAGAGCACGGGTCGGTATGATCTTGGTCCGCCGATGTGTGGGTACTCATGCATTCGCGTCTTGCGGGAAGCTGACGTCAAATGTAGATGTCGTTGCGGAAGATACCAGTCCCAACGTGACCCGTAACCCAGCATTCGAACTTGCATACTGGAAGTACGGCTTGGGTCTTGCGGAGACGTGGATGCAGCGACTAGGGTTCGCGGTACCCAGTGCCTGGGAACACGTCAAAGAGAACCTTGCTCCTCTTCCGATAGAAGACGGGCTTTATGCCGTATACGAAGGAATCGAATCCAACTTCTGGACAGACCCGACGTACATCAACGACCACCCCGCCCTTGTCGGTCTGCACGGCTGGCTACCGCCCATCGATGGCGTCAACCTTACAATTGCAAAGCTGACCGCGGATAAGGTGTACACTACCTGGAACATCAGCAACTGCTGGGGGTGCGTCTGCGTTTCTCTTATGCGAGATCTCTGCTGATGAATGATCTTGGCTAGATGGGACTTTCCTATGCTCGCCATGTCGGCCGCACGCAACGGGGAGACAGAGCAAGCGATGGAATGGCTGCTTCATCCGCTGTATCAGTTTGATGATGTCGGCATGCCCGTCGGCGGTGTGCGAGTGACTACGCCATACTTCCCTAGCTCTGGTAGTTTGCTGTACGCTATAGCGATGATGGCTGAAGGGTGGGATGGCAGCACGGCACAGGCACCTGGTTTCCCTAAAACAGGGTGGAATGTAAGAGCGGAGGGGATAAGCAAGACGTTGTGACATAGGTATGTGACGATTTTCGCTTGCTTAATTCAAACGGCGGCGAAGTGCTTAAATTTGTGACAATTTTCAGAAGCAGTTAACATGCCTTATGGAGTGTATGAGTACAAGACGGCGACGGGGGCAGCGCCACAGGCTCTCTTGGGCCGTGCGCGCTACGCTCCTGCCACAATATGCTTGTCCGAACAGTCAGAAATATAATAAATGTTTACCTGGCCAATGCTTTATGCAATGGGTCATGTGGAGTTTTCTCTCTGTACGGAGTCTGAAACTTGCTTACTGTCAAGGTATGTGGTACTTAGATGCTTCAGATCAGTTTCAGATCACGCCGTGCTTGCGGCATCCAGGCACAAGGGGGCGGCGAGACCTTTGCCTGGCTGCTGCCCTCCATCATCAGGCCCCAAGCTTCAAGCTTCAAGCTTCAAGGGTGACTCCGTCTGCGTTGCAGATGAGTGTGCCTGAGTCTCAGCGGTGATTATGGTTGCAACCCACAAGTCATAAAGGCCGTAGATTTTACTACATTCGGAGGCACTGCTCTGCATCTGTTGGCAACCAGTTAGTCGACATATGATCCAAGGCCCAGTTCTTTAACAGGTGTGTAGCGAGCACTCATACAGGTCCTAATGTTCACCCAGCTCGGATGGCACTTTTGTCAGAAGTCGGTTCGGTCACGAAATTCAGGTTTTTGTGATATCTCTGCGGAGTTGGGTGACTGAAGGTTTCCGATTTTCCATGGATTGGCTCTGGACAAAGCTCGACCACGCGATGCCGAAACTCCGTAGACTCGTTTAGCTTGCGCCCAGAACTATCGGGCGCGTGACGGCGAAGTCAGGAAGAAACGAGATCGGCGGGTATCGTGAGAGCCCGTCGACGCCGCAGCGTGTGCCCGCGGCTTCTGGTATTGCGGTCCCGCTCGTCCTCTTCAGCCACCCGGATAATCTTTCAATAGCAATTTTGGTCCCTTTCGTGCGAGTGTTCCACGAACCTAGAAAGGAGCAATGTCTACCGACAAAAGTCCACGATGCGTCACCTTGATGTCTATCTATCTGTGCTACATAGCACCCGCACGGCCTCCTGGTATAAACAGCGCCGCTTCACGAACCTGAACCCGGATAGTCTTTCTCGCCTTCTACCAACAGCCCAGCATGTCCGCCCCTCCAGTCATTCCTCCCAGCGCCGCCGCCCTGGGTTTGAACCTCGACACAACCATTGGCGCTCTGCTGCTCGGTGGCCTCGTGAGTGCAATGTAAGGTCCCTCATCTCCTTTTTCCAGGATATTACTCATGAAGCGTCCGTTCAGGCTTTATGGTATTACGTCCACACAGACCGTAGTGTATTATCAACGAGAACACGGCGACAAGTGGCTCGTCAAGGGCGTGGTTCTTGTATTATGGTACGCACCCAATGTTAAACCCTCAGGTTGACGTTGCATACATTCTGAATGTGCATCGGAAGGCTCCTTGATTCTTTTGACATGGCCCTTATATGCCATATCCTGTATTGGTATCTGATCAACAACTACGGGGACCCTCTGTCCCTCTCCAATCCCGTATGGTGCGCTATGCTTCTTGAGTACCTTAGACTGGTGGTAATGGATACTCATCTACTACAGGAGCATTATTGTAAGTCTTGCTTCCCCCGTCTAAGGTCGGGTTGTCACTGATCAAGAGCTGTAGCTTCACATTTTGGTGACCGTAAGTCTTGAATCCGAAAGACGTCTCGCCGTTTCCTCAGTTCGATCTTCCAGTCGACGACACAATTCATTGTGCGGGGGTGAGTCCCACGTCGAGGAGTCCAAGGAACAAATGTTTGACAACCTATTCTGCGCAGAATGTTTGCATGGCGGGTTTGGCACCGTCAGTTGCCTATGCGTACCCCGTTTTACTTCATACTAAATTGTTCGTCAACTATCCAGTTAGCCACGGGCACTGGATGCCCGCTACTACGATTGTAAGTTGAGATAGTGACCTCGTTGAATTGCATAGCAACTGACGTATCATTTCAACAGCTCACCGTCTCCACTACGGAACTGGGTAGGATGTTCTTTGTCTTGATGCCACTGGTTGCTAACCCATCTTGCGATATCTAGTTACTAGCCTTGGTAAGTACGACTGTCTGACACCATCGGACGTTGTTGATGATCATATATCTGTAGTGATTACGATTAAATGGTTGGTTTTACTTGTCAGTCAGTTGCTGCTAACTGACGGTACAGTATAGCTTTCACATCACTTTCGTTGCTCTGCAAAAGCTGGATGTGAGTAAGATTATCACCTAGAATTTCAAAGATCCGGACTAATCCGGCTTACCAGGCCTTGGTCTATCTCGAATTTGCTACCGGCTTTTCCGGGGACTGCCTCGTCGCTCTTTGTCTCTGCTACTTCCTTCACAAGTCCCGAACCGGGTTCGGAAGGTACATACACTTCTTCTTTCTGCATCTGATCACTACGCTAACGTCGGATCTGCAGGACGGAATCTATGATAAATATTCTCATGGCCTATGTGATCAATACAGGTGCGCAGGTATGGCCGATGTCCACGACTGGGGTACAAGCTGAGTATGGGTTGCAGGTCTATTCACCGCGTAAGCACTTCGCACAAATAAGGGTATGATTTGTCTAAATGTCTTTTAGCTTGACGTCGAGCGTGTGTTTGATCCTCGTAAGCTCCAGCTTTCCCGGTGCCATTCGGCATTCACACTGATTTTCTCTCCAGTTCGCCTCCCAGTCCGATAACTTCATCTACGTGGCCGTCTACTTCCAACTGAGCAAGCGTGCGTGCATCTTGTTCTTGGTGGTTGTACTCGACACTGGCAAATGTAACTGATCGGGGTGCGCAGTGTATGTGAACGCATACCTGGCAATGTACGTACACGGCCTCATACTGACCGATTGCCTCCATCTAACACTGCTGGCAGGCTAAACGCACGCAACAAGATTCGAGAACACTCTGATGAGATGGTATCCATCCACCTATCACATATTTCAAACAGCCGGACAGGCCCTACGGCTTCAAGTTCCGCTTCGCATGGTATGCTCCCTGGGCGGTCGTATGATAAGGTTGGTGCCTTGCCTGCCCAGCATCACATGGCACAGAAAATAACTGTCAATCAACAGGAGAATCAGACGCTTTCTATCAGAGTAGATACGGACTTCAACTCGCATATGGATTCGCCTTCATCCTACAGGAAGTACGTCGTAATACAAGGTTCAGAATGCGCATGCTAACACCCGCTTCCCTAAAGCAAAAATATCGAACGCTCCTTCATACCGTAACTCATGCCGATCCTTTCGCTGTATTCGGATAGTAGAAGATGATAAATCCTGACATGGACAGTAGTAACTTACTTGTGTAGCTCCCACCTTCCCGCCCCCTGCGAGCTAGATCCCCCTTTTGGGTGCCAGGCCGTACCCTTACGTGTATGATGCTTCCTCGTTTTGTTCTTTATTTCATATTATCTTCGGTATACTGTAGACATGACTCCTTCAAGAAGGGAAAAGTTGTATATAACCGGAATTAGCTTATGTACTATAGACGACCTAAAAATTGCTTGGCTGCTGGAATAATCAACGACTGTGCCGGACTCATGAATTTGGGAATGAAGAGTGAACCTCCGAGGCCTCGGTTGAACCACGCGTCGACTGTAATAATCATCAGCGCGCACCCAAATGGGCAGACTCAAGGGACATACTTACGGCACATCTGCCCTGAGGGAACCATAACGAGATATGCCCAAAGGCGGCCCGCCCAGCCACTGACCTTGCGCCCTGTGATTCCGAACCACAGACTCTCCAGTAATACCGCGACGCCTTGAAGAGTGAAGAACAACGTGACACGGTGGTCCATCCCGCGGCCAAGGGCGTACGCCCCGAGCTCGTGGAAGAGGCCAGATGCGACGAAAGCACCTATTACGACGCCCGGACGACCGGCAACCCATCCCAGGGGTATGCCGCCCATAACCATAAATGTCCTGCGCAGCGTCTGATGCCAGCGCTTGGCCCATAAGTCGCTCAGCGACTCCGTGGCGAAAGGGTTGGCCGTGAGCGGAGGCCACGCCGCTGGAGACTGCCCGAGAATCCCGACACCAATGAGGGTCCCAAGCGCGTACAAAGTTTCGAATCCTGCTGTCATGGCGGCTCCGGATATGAAGAAAATGAGTGTCGAGGCGACGTAACGCGGAAACGAGGGAAGGCTCGTGTAGAACATGCTGCCGCCTGCTGTCGAGCCGACGCCAGGGAGCTGTTGGATCACGCCGATGACGAAGTCGAGGACGAGGTAGTTTTTGACAAATGTGAGTGCAGTAGCTTTGAGAAACGCGCCGCGCTGGAGCGATCTTGCGTCTTTGGGAAAACTGGCTCCCTTGCCGAATTGCCACCCGATGCCTCGCAGAGCGAACGCCACGTCGAAGGCTTCCAGGGCCCAATGTGGGAGCAATCCTGAACACTGGGTCTGTTCACCGGATGTTCGCGAGTCGCCGTACAATGGTGGAAGCTCTGTCTCGCCGATCTTAAGCCTGCCCTTCGCAGAAAAGGCGAGATCAACGCTTTGAACAGCGACTGTGATGCCCAAGAGTGCTGCACAAACGAGATATCAATACAAGTCTTTCAACACGAAATTGAGATATACCTCTAATCCACGTAAAGAAATAATATCTGGGCTCAAACCAGTCGTAATAGTAAGTTCCGCGTATGACCATTGCCAGAATGGTCGGAAGGAGCAGGAGACGTATTGGCCGGGTATCTTTTCTTCTAGCCAGGTAGCACATGAAGAGGTACGGAACCAGATAGACCAATGCTCCAGATAAATTACCCCATGTTAAAGGCTTACGATATCGAGGGTCTGGTACGAGTTCAAAACAAGCTCGTCTCAGAGCTATCACCAGTCTGTCTGCTGTCAGAAAGAAATACAAGATATTTAGATCTTTTGACTCACTCATCTTTCCACGTCAGTGGCATAGTAAGGAAGGCTTATTTCAACAAGTTCAATGGTGATGAAAGCAGGATCTTGTCATGCACTTGTAGATGAAGTCGTGTCTGACACGTAGCACAAACTTTTAGATTGCCTTTCCCGCTCGTCCCGTTGCTGCGTCGGCTATCACCGCCATCAAAACGCCACAAAGCGCTAACTCTCTTGCCTCCGCCCTTCAGGCTTCCACCAGTCACCTACCCGGGTTGTGAAGCCATGGCTACCTTTGCAAATACCACCTACAATGCTGCCAGATATGCGTCAATACGTCCGACATATCCGAGACAGCTGTTCGACTCTGTCTTCCACTACCACGAACGTGGACAGAAAGCGCGGTGGGCAATTGCTGTGGACCTCGGGTGTGGTACCGGTATGGAATCCTGCACCTTGTCATCATAATGTTATGCGAATATACTTCTAGGTCAAGCCACTGTGGAGCTAACGCAGTTCCAGAGGGTTATCGGGGTTGAACCTAGCAGCAAGATGATAGAGCAGGCTCGGAAGCTCTTAGGTGTCCCGGATAGCACAAAGCAGCTTGAGTTCAAGCAGTCCCAAGCAGAAGAGCTACCTTTTCTGGAGGATGCGAGCGTGGACCTCATTGTGTCAGGTTTGCAAGCAATTTACTCTGGAAAATCACCTCGCAAACAGCTTTGATACCCAGCTCAAGCGGCTCATTGGTTCGACTGGAAGAAACTATGGCCTGAAGCAGCACGGGTCTTACGAACAAATGGGACTATTGCTGCTTGGGTGAGTATGCCTCCTTGCGGATGAGTCCTTGCTCACCAAGCTCCAGGGATACTCTGAGTTCCGCCTACCTCTTTATCCCTCAGCGACGCGTCTCATCAATGAGTACTCTCAAGGTGAAGATCCGGAACGATCTCTTGGGCCCCACTGGGAGCGTCCAGGACGTACTATTTTAGATAATCACCTGATAGCTATACCGGACCCCGAGTCTGTTGTCCACGGAAGATTTCAGGATTTCGAACGCATCTACTTCACTGGTGCGTCATTGGCATTGACGATCTACGACGCTGCTAAGCAAGTCCCCCCTCTAGGTGGCTACTACCCCAATCTGCCTTCGCCCCGGCCGGTCATTTTGCGGAAGAAGATGACGTGGGAGGACTTACTCTCATATCTGTACACGTTCAGCTCCTTTCATACGTACCAAGATAGGTACCCTGCTGACAAGGAAAATCCCGAGGGTGATATCGCGATGCGATTCTGGAACCATCTGAAAGCGCACACTGCCGAGCGGGATGGGAGTGCGGTGGCAAAGGACACTGACGAGATAGATGTTGAATGGCCAATGGCTCTCCTTCTCGCTCGCCGCGTCTAGTACGTAGCACAGAAACATTGTGTGCATTTTTATGTTGGATAAGCTACACGCTATTGTTCATTGAGCCTGCATTGTGGCCTGCGTGTGTTTGCTCCGGTTTTGCTTGGCACCATCAGTGCAGTATAGGACTTTGCCCAGCGCCGAACAATGAGTTGAACCTGAACTTGCCGCGCGCCCTTCCAGGCCCTTCTCCGTGTCACATAATTTATGGACCTCATGCCCGGCCTCATGTCGCTCTAAGTCGTCCTCCAGTGCACTCTTTTCTCTACGCTTGTTGTATTTCTATAGTCTCTGCTTTCCCCCTGCTGTTGTATCGACATACGCCATTCAACCCGCGGTAGACTCCCCGGCGCTGCATCGGTCCGCCTGCGCGGAACTGTCATTCCAATGAAAAAGTTTCTGCGAGGCAGGAAGAACTCGCAAACTCAAGAGTCAAAGCCAGCTGTGTCCGCGCCTGCGCCTCTCGCTCCCCAAACAGAGACTCCATTGTACGCTCGCTTCACTATTGCCACACCCCGACGAAGTCAGGATGAACCGCCAAGGCCCGTCGTCTCAGAGCCGAAGGGGCTCTCTTCAAAGACTAGTTTTAGCCGTAGATCCACCCATTCTGCGGGAAGAAGCGCGGACAGGCAGTCGAGGGTGCTGAGCAGGATGCCAAGCAGGCAAGACCAGGTACAGTCGAAACCCAGTGAACTCGTCAATCCGCCTACTCGTTCGAGTTCCAGAGTCGTTCCGCGGCCTATATCTAGGGCAGACCCTGTGCTTGCACCGGCTCCTGCCTCAAGTGCAGCATTCCCCCGCATGTCCAGCTATGAAAGCTGTAGGACAGGACAGGCCTTATATCCTCAGCCTCTTGGGACGGAGCCTAGTTCTTCACGCACACAGCTGCCACTTTCCAGGGAGAGGACAGACTCTTCTGGATCAGAGTCACATGCATTACCACCACGCCCGTTGGTGGTGCGGAATGGAGATCCTGAAACCTCGTCTACCACATCGCTCTCAGAATCGGCTTTTTCAAAGGCGCTGCCCCCGCCTGCTGAGCCAGCTTCACCCCCGATGCAATACCGCCGCTTGCATAATACGGGACTCGCGCCGAACGATCCCGGAGTCCAGTCCGCTCACGCCTCCCGTTCATCCAATCAGCCAGCCGCGTTACGAAGCACAACCGGAGCGTCTCGCTCCAGATACCCAGCTGTCGAGCCCCCCAACTCGATCTCATATACCCCCAGTCGTCCTGCATATCCCCAGTCTGTAGCTTCCGAGCTACCTCATGCGCAGGCCGGGCCATCCACGTCCTCCTTTCCTCGCACCTCCCCTCAACCTCCACCGCAGAAATCTAGTTCTCTCCTTTCCACTCCAAACGTTACACGACGAAAATATTCCCCTCTCGCTGCTTTTGGATTACCAGTCGCTTACGCTGCGAGCATTGAGCCCTCGTCAAGTATGCAAACTGAACCGGTGAGTAGTCGTTTAACCTAGTCACCTAAATGACGGAGCGCCGTACGGTGTCCTCACGTCCAGCTCGTGCAAGAAATCACTCTTGGCAACCCGTCATCTCTGCGATGATTGGAGGACGTCATGCCGCGTCAGCACCTGTACCCGACTTGTCATTTCGATATGAAATGTCGAGTTGCGCACGAGGCGGGGCGCGCTGCTGTGGGATTGCTACTTCCTTGCTCGGAGATGTGTTCAATTGCTCATTTATTGTGGATACTTTCAGGCACAGTCTGATGTTACCGACGCAAGCTCTCCAGGGCCAGGCGAATACCTCCCCACTCCAGAGTCGACGCCTCAGGAGATGTCTCAACCTACCTTTACCTCGGTGCGTCATTTCTGAAGTGCCTATGGTAGATGGGTGTTGACAGTCCGTCATCCGCGCCAGCCGGAGCATGCTGTAGGGTACTTGTCGCCTTCTAGCCCCCAGCCTACGGGAAGTTACGCTCGATCCTCAGAAAGATTGAGTCATACTCCACCACCGTCACCACCCCATTCACTCCCACATATACCCAGCATACATGACCTTGGTGACACAGAACGTAGCCCAGCATATCACCCCTCGGACCCCGTTCCACCTGTACCGACAGACGCTGCAGGCGACCCTGGCGCTCCTCCACCGCAGGATTTTATCTCCAAAACCACATACCCAGTGTCTGTGCAGCCTGAGATGGGACGCGGCTATATCCCGGAGGGAGGACAACATGTGGTGGTCGACCCCTCAGATGACCGGCAACCCACGCCACCCGCCAGACGCCCTGCGTTCGGGACGCGGCATTTCATAGATATCTCGGACAATCGACCTCCTACCCCTCCATCTAAGCTACCAGAATCGCGCTCCATGCCGGACAGGTCCCGCTCGCACGCTGACTATGGTCACCATGGACGCTCCTCGCCCGAGAAGGGTGCGCCACCACTGCAGCAAGGGCCTGTTCGCGGCAAGCCCCTCATATTCGCGGCGATGACTGAGACAGCAGAATTTGAGGACATTGAACCTGTGGAGGAACGAGCGGAGGATATCCCTTTCGAAGCAAAGACTCCAGAAAGATACAGCTCATACGCTCCTGAAGAAGGACAGCAGACGTCCACGCCGCCGCCAGAGCCCGTCCCAGAACCCGTCCCAGAACCCCATAGAGATCCATCTCCAACTAAACGGCAGTCGAGCAAGTTGCAGAAGCGCTCGTCTCGCAAGGCCGTCCCGCCCGTCGATGATCTTCTTGAGCAGCGTAACGTCGCTCCGGCACCGTCACAGCCTGCCGAGCGGAATGGTACATCCCGGCATCGTAGTACCCGAGAGTCGTCAGCTGTCGATGCTCGCACTCAGCAGCATGAAGCCCCTCAGCGACGAAGTAGTCGTGCTGGCGCCGAAGCCCCCAGAGAAAATCGCCGGAAAGATTCATCTCATGACAAAGCGAAGCTGCAGAAGCGCACGCGCGACGGTTTCAAGGTCCTCACCGACAAGCAGATGGAGAAGCTCGGCAGCAGGACGTCTTATGCTGGTGCACCAGCTTCGAGAGAGCATGCGGATCTTCAAGCGAGGAAATCCTTTGTCGAGGAACTCCCGTCTTCTCGCCCGGCGATGTCGCAATACACGAGCCATCGTTCCAGCCAAGTATTGGCAACTCCCGTGCCCACTTCAGCTTCGCACCGGCCATCGCCATCGCCAGACAAGATGCCCTCTGCACGTCATCAGCCGCCTGAGATGTCGGCGTCGCAGTGGCCGGAGCGCCATGCCAAACGGCCGAGTCCCCAGCTGCCTACTCCTCCCGAGGAATGCAGCCCCGTGCCAGAACCGAAGAGGGAGACATCGCGAAAGGCGAAGCGCATTTCGCCGAAGACTGTGGAGGACATGGAGGTGCTTGCTGGAAAGTCTCGACCGCGTACCCCAGTGGAAGACCAAACCACTACGCGCCCGCATTCCGAGGCACCGGAAGATCTTGCGCCCTACCCTTTAGTGGCGCACCTCTCGGATCCAGTTCTGCTGGAGAACCTGCTTACTTACCTGTCATATTACGAATGGCTCAGGCTTGCTACAGTGAGCAAGGAAATTCGACACACGCTCTACGAAGATGGCCGAGAACAAGTGCTGGCGCGATACTTGCAAACGGTCGGGTACTCCAAGTGGACTTGGAACGATCCAGAGCCGCTCATCTTGACTGTGGAGGTGAGCCGCACTTCGATCTCATCTCAGTCCACGTCTAACCTTAAATAGGATCTAAACCATTACATGAGAGGCGTATCTATCCCTACACACAGCTACGCGGCCATCGCCAACAACTGGCTCAGGTCGAAATCCTCCGTTGAAGCCCGCACAATGCAAGACCTGACGTTCGCCTGCCGTGCCTTCACTCGCGTTGTTCTGCGTCTTCGTGCACAAGCCGAGGCGGAAGCAGCGCATATTGCACGAATTGCGGCGTCCATGCCTCCGTCGCCCGTGTCAATGGGAGGTGCTCGTACGCGCACGTTGTCGCAAACGTCTCAGCGCTTACCCGCTAAGTGGGCCTCGCAGTCGAGTCTCAACTCTCGCCCTGGAAGCCGTGCTCCGTCACCTTCGCCTCAAACGCGCGGCAAAGGTCCTTCGGCTTCTCAGCTTATAAAGACATTCCACTCTCCCCTGTTCCGCCTGCGCCGTGCGCCGCTGCTGCAGGTCTTTGTGCCATCCCCGGAGGGCGACTGGCTATCAGATGCGAGCGTGCTCGAATGCGAGGCAGAGCTGAAGCGTTCGGGTGTGTTGCACTTGCTGAGAGCTGGAGATGTCATCTGGGATATTGCCGCTGGGGACGAAGCGAACGCTGGCCGACTGATCTGGGATGGGTCGTACCTGATTGTGAGTCCCCTGTGTCGCATCGTCATAACCATGTGCTCGCGCTCAGATTTGGTAGGACCTCGACTACACGTACTCGAAAGTCGGTGATCCACCCAAGTACCTACCTACACTGGCGTTCCCCCCATCCTACTTCCACCGCGTCATCCGGACCATGGGCACCGGCAATCCCATCGTGCGGATCGATTTGTCACCGTGGGCTGATGATATTAAGGAGAATCTTCAGCTAGTGCAGGACAAAATGAGGATGGACACGTTCGTAGCCCACTCTTTCCCACACTCCGGCTTCCTGACACCCCTTCCTAATTCCACAGCCCACAGGGTGGCCGGCACACCGTCGTGCGCTGGCTACACCGCTCCTCGTTCCTCATCCGGCCGCCTCCCGGAAGCAGGTCGATACGGCTGCCGCTCCCGCACCCGTCCGGGCCCGGGCCCTCGCCCGCAGGTGCGTGGATCGTGGACCCCGATTGGTTCGGCACCGTCGTCGTAGAGACGGAGGGCACGAACGAGGGCCTCGCAGGCCTCCACGATCGGCTCCTGGGGCCCTGTCGTCCCGAGCCGGCGCGACTGGCAGCTCTCGCCCGACCAGGTGCTGCTCAACGAACGAAGGACTGTCTTCAGGATCTTGCGCGAGAAGAGGTGAGTGTGCGCTATTTTTCCTCTGCGGTACCTGAGTTTATGTGTTTTTACAGTCGTCCTGGTGAAATCTGGATCCGTGTCGTCACAGATAAGGAGAGGATCATACCACTATAGAGGTAGCTGTGTTTCTTGGTTCGAAATGTTTTTATTGTAACTATAAGACCGTGTAGTTTACTTGGCAGACCCTGCTTGTGTATATGGGTGCTGGTCACGGTTGTACTGTCAGAGTGCCGGGTTTGTTTGCCGACATGCAAAGCCCCCTGATGAATCTGCATCGCAGGTCCACTAGTACTCCGCCAGCAAGTGGAATTAATGTGAGCCACCCCAGTTACGCTCATAGGGGTGGACCAGCCCGTAGCAGCCCGCACCCGCAACATCATCCAGCTCTACGTCACAGACAAATCTCCCTGTATCCCACCATTTCTCGAGGCCGAAAGGTAGACTGTCTATTCCACTAAAGGGCGCTACAATTAAAGTGATACAACTTCTCTTCGCTTATTGATACATCCATTTTTTTTCTTTCTCTCCCTTTGCTCCTAGTATTAGTTGATATATCGAGCTCGACTCGCACGAGAAGAGTCGCCTGATCTAGGAGGGGAGCACCGTTGTGGTAAAGCCCACTCTGGACCCCATCGCTTAGGCTGAGAGCTTCTGGCGGAGGAGCTTCTTGAGGGTCTCGCCGTCCTCAGCGAACTTCTTGATACCCTCATGGAGCTTATCGAAAGCCATCTGCTCCTGGAGAAGGGCCCAGCGGAACTCGGCCTCGTTGTCGATGTAGGTGACCTTGGAGATCTTCTCGGCCTGAGTGCGGGCTGCGGGCAGACGTTAGTGCGCAACTATGACTAGTTGACTCGATAGCACTTACCAGCCTCAGAATCGAGCTTCTTAGGGACAGGCGCAGTGTCGTTCTTTAGCTCCTCAAGCAGAGCTGGGGCAATGGTCAAGAAGTCAACCCCAGCAAGTGCCTTGATCTCGCCACTCTACAAGGAACAGTCAAGACACATAAACCCTAAGAGATCTCGCACTACTCACGTTGCGGAACGAGGCACCCATCACAATCGTCTTATAGCCGTACTGCTTATAGTAGTTGAAGATCTTCTTCACAGACTGCACACCGGGGTCATTGTCGCCAACGTAGTCAGGGCTGGGCTGGTTCTTCTTGTACCAGTCAAGGATACGGCCGACGAAGGGCGAGATCAGCGTCACGCCGGCCTCTGCGCAAGCAACAGCTTGCGGGAAGCCGAACAGAAGCGTGAGGTTGCAGTGGATACCGTCATCGCGCTCGAGCTCCCGCGCAGCCTGGATGCCCTCCCACGTCGAGGCGATCTTGATCAGCACTCGGTCCTTCTTGATGCCGACCGACTCGTACAGAGCAATGAGCTCTTTTGCCTTGGTCTTAGTCCCCTGCTTGTCGAAGGACAGGCGGGCATCGACCTCGGTGGAGACGCGGCCGGGGATGATGGCAAGGATTTCCTTGCCAAATTCGACGAGCTACGAGCGCTGCGTTAGAGGGGGAACCCCCAAAAAGTTGCTGACGGCTTACGAGCCGGTCCATGGCGGCATTGGCCTGGTTCTCAAGGTCGCCGCCCTTCTGCTTGCCGAATTTGACGGCATTGTCGATCAGGCGCTGGTAGGCTTCCTTGTTCGCGGCCTGGAGAATGAGCGACGGGTTGGTGGTCGCATCCTGGGGCTTGTAAACATCGATGGCTGTATGTGTGCTGTTTATGAGGCTCGACGCGTCGCGTCATAGGCAATTGGGGACGTACACTCAAAGTCACCGGAGTCGGAGACGACGACGGTGCCAGTCTGCTTGAGAGCGTCGAGAGAGGTGGTCATGGTGGGTGTAGTCAAGGATGATGTGGGGATTGACGGCGAGAGGAGGCCAGTATATAAGGCGGGAAAGAGATGTCGCTGGCCGAGTGAGATCATCGCGATACAGCTCCGGCCCATTCGGCCGGTGGGGGCGGCTCTCGGCGCCAAGCCTCCCTTTCCTGCCAAATCATACATGTACACTCACGTTTCCCGCCTTTCACCGTACAATTTGCATCGCAGAAGTATCACCACAAACACAAAATTTTGTGGCACGAATATATAGCACAACAAAGCCGACGTGGATAACTCTCATCTTCACACCGGCAAGCAGTCGGCAATGCCAGCTCACGGTTCATCGGGCGAGAGCACATCTTCGGTATAATTTGCCCATTGGTTGTGGGTTTCAGGGCTGGGCCATCTCGTAAGTCCACAAGGCCGTGGATAACGGGAATGCGGTCAATCGTGAGCCTCCGTCGCCGCCAAGGACGTAGATTCATGCATTTTCGAGTAAGCACACACTCTGCCGGAGCCGGTGGGGAACACTTTACCCACCACTTCACACCCTCAGCTGCGCTACTAATCCAGTAACATGACTTGTGTGACCCAAGAACAGTTATCTGCACCATGTTCCGGGGCGCCCAACAGCGTGTATACCATCGCTAACGGACTCAGCAAGCCGGAGTCTCTTCCCTGGAACAGAAGACCCAGGGCGTGGCACTCAACTTGAGTGTGTCATACTTGGCCTGCGTTTGGAGCACTACGCTCTAGCATGCATATAGTTACTTTGTAGGTACGCTCTTCAAAGCGACGAGACTGACAATGGGATTCAGTCGATTTGTCATCAGTGCACTCAGCGGGTGTTACGGCATGTATGGGGGGCAAGGAACGTTCGCCACGTTGTAATAGCTGCTGAGTATCTATCCCGCGGTCGCATTGGGAGCAATGGTGGGGTTCATTCGGAACTTTTGAGTACGACTCAACGAAAAGCTGACTTAGTCATCGCTTGGGGCTGTTCTACAATGCTGAGCTTTTTTTTACTATCAGAAATGACAAGATGTTGTTACTCGCTGCCAATCGGGTCACGGCAAAGCTGGGTTCTTGGTGATCGCATTGTACGTAGCTTTCATGAAGGAAGTATCTCAATAGGCATATCCATGAATTGTTGTCTCGCCGTAGGCTCCGGCGCCGCATAGCGGTGCGAGTGCTATGGTCTCGTACTCTTCAACAAAATCCAGGAATATCTCATTGTTGCGCTGACGTTCACCCTTTCCGTGAGTACTGCCTGGTTCCTATCACAAACCATGACAGATAGTTTTGTTCATCACTGTTCACTGACAAATGCCAGAATCCGACGTCGAGATCGGATGGTTGTACAACTGGACAATGTGTATAGAATCAGCGCTCGAGAAGATATATGTCTCACCGAGGCTACAACACCGCTTGTAGGACAGGAGCCCACGGCCTTTATCGACTTATTTGACAGACCGTGGCCCGAAGCCAGCTCAAAATAATCTAAAATTAACACGTCCTCGACGAGCTCTATCCAGCGAGCTAGAGAGACGAGGCGACACCCACGGAAGAGTTACCTCCGCAAATCCATCAGTGAAATATCGGTACCGTTTTGGCTCTCGACTTACTCCTCTCAGCGAGTGCCAAGTCGGCCTTGTCGAACTTCCCAAAGGCGCATCACGGTACTTCCATCGTGCGACACTGCGGCGTCCCTCGTTACCTCCACAGTTCGCTTCATCATTCTCTAAACCGAAGGCGCGTGCGGGCGTGAGTCAGTTTGCCCCCTTTATGAGCTCTAATTATTCAAACACACTGCCCCGCGGGAACAGAAAGCATTTCGCTCGAGGGCGGCCGAGGCAGTGTGATGACACAGGATGAAATGACTGGAGCCTCATCCGGTGCGACTTTGAGCGAGAGCAGACCTGGTCGCAGTCTTCGCAAGCAATGATCTCCGACTTCCAACTACGCTCACGGCCCTGACCAGCTGTCGCTGACGCGCTTGATATGTCTACCGTTGTCTAGCTATCGAGGCCACAGTCACAATGGCAAGGCGCTCTACCGCGGGGAGGCAGAGAAAGCTGTGCTGGTGATCGTCTGGAGTGGGCGTCCTGATTGGGCAGGCACCATAGTTCGTCCCGGCGGTAAACGTCCGGTAAGTCCAGGACCAGTGAAGTCTGTGTAGAGCCTGATAGAGGTTCTCTAGGCCGGTGCCCGTCTTACGTTTCCGCGCACGAACCAGTCCCCCGCCCATAATTCTCTTTACGCCATCCCTATCCTAGGGCGGTAGCGCGGGGCCCAGTTGGAGCGGATCGGTGCCGCGAGCACTCGGCCGTGCATCTACGTCCTCTCTCACAGATGTGTCAGGACTACCTGGGCCTTTATTCCTCCCCGCCCAACTCGATGCAGTTCACACTTCGGTGACGGGCCTACCGGACGGTGACATCAAGGCAGAAGCCATCTGCCGTTGTCATTTGTCTCGTGCGGATGACGCAGCGCGTCACGAACATTCGCACGCGTCCTGCGCTCACTTCGCAGAGCACTACATATATTCAAGCACGAAATTGCGATCTAGAGCTCAGCAAACTAGCACGCTTCTACTCCCACAAGACTCGATTACCATTCCTTCTATTAGACAGTATGGCTCACAACTCCATTACTCTATTCGACGTTCCCTCCACGACACCGCAGCCGTGGGCACCTAATATTTGGAGGATACGGTGGGTGCACACGTCGTTCGCATCTTTCCGCGCGCTGACACCTCTTGGCAGATTCATCCTTAACTACAAACGTCTCCCATACCGCACCGCCTGGGTCGAGTTCGCCGACGTCGAGAACACGCTGCGCTCGATCAACGCGCCACCGAGTTCAGTCCGCGCAGACGGCCGGCCGGTCTACTCGCTGCCCGTCATCATCGACCCGCGGCCGACGCAGGGACAGCCCGTCGTGCTTTCGCGCGCGGACACCATTGCCGAGTACCTTGAGTCGACGTACCCCGCCCGCCCTATCTTCCCCGACGGTACCCGCGCCCTACAGAGTCTCTTCGTGCACTACATCCACGAGGTGCTCGCGAAACCGCTCCTTCCGATCCTTGTCCCGCTCAGCCATCAGCGTCTGCCCGAGCGCAGCCAGGCACACTTCTCCGCTGGCGGCAGCGGCGGCGTGCAGCCCCTCGGCAACGCCGAGCGCGAGCAAGCGTGGCGCGCAGCCAAGGACCAGTTCGCCTTCCTCGCGTCGCTCATGGACAAGAACATCGGTGACCCGACGTGCGACGGCATCGTAGTCATGGGTCACTCCGTCACCTACGCGGACTTCGCTCTGTGCTCTGTCCTGTGAGTCCTTTCCCCCTGTGTCTTGCACTCTCGATTGACTGTGCCATACTTGCAGGATTTGGATCGAACAAGTCTCCCCCCGCGACGGCTGGGCCCGTGTCCGCACTTGGAATGACGGTAGATGGGACCGCCTGCGTGCCAAGTGCCGCGAATACATGGATGTCTATTAAGTAATGCCAAGCAGGCATCACGGCCAAATACACATCGCGATGACCCTCCTTCAAACGCCTTTTATCTTTCGAAATTCATACATAATTGCGCGATTTTACCATATTCTCCGCGTTTAATTATCTAGGACCCTGTGTATCCGTAGACATAGAGTTCCCCCTGTATCTTATTTTCGCTGACTGTCTTTTCTAGCCACCGATAGGTTATTCGCAGCGCATAGATTACCTTCTGCCTTTGACGCAGACCCCTCTATACTAGCCGCTATAATGGTTATTAAATCCCGCTAGCCTTTCCGCAATGGAGGGCGATGCTGGTGTACATTCTTTGCCATCGCGGGTGCCCGTTACATCCTGAGCTCTACGATGTGACGGTTCAATGATATCGTTCACGCAGCCTCCGCAAACGCCCTATACACAACCAAATCCCTCTCTTTGCCGCTCGCCAGTTTCAATTGTGCGCCCGCGCCAACGAAGAACACCTCGCCTTCAGAGACGTCGAGAGATTCGCCAGTCCCCCAGTGCACAGCACCCGTACCTTCAGTGACGATCGCAATACTAGGCCCATCGATGGGCGCGTGTGTCTCGTCCTCGCCCGCCTGCAGCACGACGCGCAGGACCGAGAACTCGGGGATAGGCGGGTCGTAGAGCGTGCTGTGTGCCGAGACCGATGCCGTCTTCGCGAAGGGCTTGGGCTGCACGAGGTGTTTGCTCGGCTCGGACGCCTGGTACGTTAGGCCGCTGACCAGGTTGGGGACGTCCCGCAACTTGGGGGTCAGGCCGGCACGGATGACGTTGTCGGACGTCGCCATGCACTCGACGATGTCTGTGATTGGGCTTGAGATTGCTGCTGACGGACGATGGCCTCGAGGACATACCTCCGGAAATGTACGCGTGCGGCTCGCCCGCAGAGAGGAAGATCGCATCGCCCGGCTTCATCCTCACGTAATTGAGCATGTACGCGCAGAACACGCCGATGTCTGCGGGGAACTGCTCATGCAGGGTCAGCACGAGGTCTCGGATGTCTTTCTCCGCATCTGCAACGCTACCATGCTGGTAGCGCTGCACGAGGACCTCGAGCTGCATCTTGAAGACCGTCTCGTCCGCGGTCATGACGGCAGAGAAGAGATCCCTCAACGCAGCCTTCTCCTCGGGCCCTGTGGGATTTGAGGACTGTGAGAGGTTCGCAAAGCGACTGGCGATGGTGGTAGGTATCAGAGTCGCGAATTCCGGCGTGGAGAGCAGGTATGCGGCGATCTTAGGTAGCGGGAGGAAGCCGCACAGCGCAGTGAAGTCTGTCAAAGCGAGAGCCATCTCGGGCTTGTGGTTTGCATCTGCGGCGGACAAGGAGCTGAATACATCTCTGAGCGTGCATGCGCCGACATCTAACACTCACCCTTGTACACATCCGGCCTCTCCTTATGCAGCTGCACCGCCATCTTCTTATCCGGATGTGTCTGGATGCTGAGTGCCTTCGCAATGGCCAACACCTTGAGCAGGAATGGCAGGTTGCCCTCCGCCGCGCCTGCATCGGCAAATTTGTTCAAGACGCTTTCTCCGATGAGCTCTTTGTGCACGGCCAAGTGAGAGGCCAGTGTTTCTCCGGACTGCAAACGAGCAGGTGAACTGGTATGGGTGCCCATCCAGAGCTACGACATCTGCACTGTAAGTAATCGCGATACTTTGAGATGGTTGCGCGCATACCTCTGCATACGGCGCATTCTCGTCTAACTCGAATCCTTTGATCTTCGACGCGGTCGCGTATTGGGCGACCTTGGACGACAGCCCTTTCTTCCCCCAGTCATACTTCTGCGTTGTGGGAACGATCTTGAAGACCGGCGTGGTAGACGACATCGCGATTGTAGGGAACGTGATGAAGGACTGAGGAGGAGTTTGTCTGGGCTTGGACGACGCAGGGTCGACGCGTCAGGACTGCCTTTGTGAGACCGGATCTGCGCAGATTGTAATCGAGGGTCCTGCTGACATAGCTGGTTCTGAGAACCACGCGAAGTTTTGGAGAAGAAAGCATGTCTCGCAATGTCGCCTCATATACAGGATGAGCGTGTATTTTGGTCGTTCTCACGCTCGTAATTGCTGCTGGGACGCTTGGAAACGTCGACGTCGCATTGAAGAGTTCTACAATAGTCTAACTACTACTATAGATGAAGATGCAGAGGGCATAATGCGTAGAGGGTCTGTAGAAGATGGAGGTAGAATAAAAACAAAGGGATAACCCGAATATGAACACCTGTTATAATTATGGCACGTTCGAAGATCATCCCCCTGGCAGTGCACTCGCAGTAGCAGCATAAAACTGCGTCTACAAAGAGTGATGCGCTTCCCGTCGCAGGACCCGCGGAGCGCGTCCATGGAGCTCAACGCGGCCATACCGCCAGAATCAGAGACCTCGGCGAACATTTCTAGTCTACGCAGCCTCCTGCAGGGTGCTCGGGATGGTCGGGCTGGTCGGACTCTCGTGGTTGCTTATCGTCGAAGACGACGAGCGTGAGCGACGGATGTATGGCCGAGGAAACGACTTCGAGGGAGAATCTAGCGAGGGAGAGCTGACTGGGGATTCCTGCGGCTCGACCGGCAGGTCATAATCCTCTTGCAGCGCCCGCGGTGGCGGACGCTCGACCATAGCTTCCAAGAGCTGAGACAGAATCAGTCAACTGGGTTTAGGATAGATATGGAGGAGAAGGTATCGCACCTCTTTGCGTAACTCTTCCGAGTCGTACTCATTCTCCATCTCTTCTGGCGTAAGTAAGACTGTTCCTTTCCTGAAGACCTCGCCCTCCTCTGCGACCCAGCTTCTTGAGCTGAAAACATCATATATCAGTATCGCAGCTTACCGAGACAGGTACTTCACTTACAGGTCCGTCGGAGATACGATGCTTTCAGCTTGCCCCAACAGCGACTCATCGACCTCAACCTCCTCGTCCGAGTCACCACCGGGGCCACCACCGAGGCCTGTCGGGGTGAGCACAGACTCGACAGGCTCAGGCTCAGGCTTAGCCCTTCCCTTGCCCTTATCAGCCCTAGGGGTCGTCGGCTCTTCCTCCCCCGCGCGCAGCTCCGGCCCAAGTGCGGCCCCATTTTCCGCGGATACAGGCCTTCCATTTTCAAGCCGGATGCCGAGCCCACTAAGGGTGGGACGTTTAGGCGTGCACTTGGTCAAGAGAGTAGCGATGTTGTCGTTGAGGCCCAGCAGCTCCTCGAGTCTTACTGGATCATCGATAACCTGCACGACCTTGGCCAGCTGGCGGAGCACCGTGCGCGCGGAGTCGAGCATGACGGGGTCGGCAGCCCCTCCCTTCGCGTCTGCCAGGAATTCCTTGAGTTGTGCTTTCACGATGCGAGCATCCTGTAAGATGTTGTGTGTGTCTTTCTGTTCCAGGGGGGAGGGCAATGAGTCAGCGGGAGCCTTGGATGGAGCAAGGGACGAGGGTACGCCTGGACCACGGGCCTCAACCTTTTTCTGCTCGTCCTGCCGGAAGGTCTTCGCCAGCTCACTTTCCTCAATCATGATCCACAGAGCGCGGCTCTTGCTCGTACTGATTGTTGATGCTGCATCCGAGTTCGCGTGTGACGCCTTATCGGCCTCTTCAGTGTTCCGGACGCATGTGTTGAGGATTTCGCGGCACATTCTGTAGACTCGATTAGTATTGTGTTATCCATAAATATACCGAAACACTTACCGAGCCATTTCCTCGTCATCAGGAGGGATGTTCAGGTCTAGACATCTCATGACATGATTGGCCTTTAACCCGGAGCTTAGAGCCATCACCCCAGCAATGTCAAGGTTATTCAGGGTCAAATCGAGGTGAAGCAGTGATGTTGACTCTGGTAAAAACTCGGCCAGGGCGATAGCACCCGCTGACGTCAAGGAGGTTGATGACAAGAAGAGCCGCTTGAGGGCATTGTTCAGTGTGAACGCCGTGCGCAATGACTGGACCTAAATAATGGCGTGAGAGCTGCGTACAAAAGATATTCTGACGTGACTGACTCCTTCAAGATTTGGCCCACAACACAGGTTCTTGCTCAAGTCCAAAGTTTCCAGGCAGGAGTTATATTTCTTCGCACAATGCTTAGTCCAGTTGACGAATAATAAGTAAAGGACACACCAGGGCCTCTGCGATCGCCACCAGCGCCTGTACGTCAAGCTTATTTTCACTCAGGTTAAGGACTTTCAGTGTTCTGTTACGCTTGAGAACTTGCGCAATGTAAGTGACACCCATCTATCGGATCCTAGGTAATCAGCGATTAACAGCTATGCACCTTCAAGAACACACACCCGAATGTCGTTTCCTCTCAGATCCAACGTTCTCAGCGCCCCCAGCCTCGGCAAAGCATCCAATGCCCGCACTTTGTCCAACAACGCGGCACTCGGGCCATGGTGCTGTGGCGAGTTTGGCGAGGATGAGGGGGAGAATGGTGGCGGCACAGGATATCTAGCTGTTATACCACCTTGGGCGGAACTCGCGATGATAGGGATCTGGTGTCCACTCGGTGACAGCGGATTAGTATTATCGGGTTTGACCGCCGCTAGTGCTATGCGTCGAGCCTTTGGTACGTAAGGTGTATAGGTCGTCTGCGGGGCGGCCGAGGGATGTCGGGGAGGGGGGAGGATCGGACCAGGACGTGGTGGGGGTGGAAGAGCCAGTTCCAGCGAGACAGGGCTTGACGGTATCGACGGTGTCGGCGGCGGCGAAAAGAAGTTGGACGAGCCTGTTGACGTCGGACTGGCTACAGATGACGGCGAGCCATTTGCTATCGGAAAGCGGTCAGGGTAGTCCCGAATCATCAGTGCTACGGCGACCGCTCCGGTAGCATTGATTTTATTGTAGCGCATGGAAATATTACGCAATGAAGACATTCGCACAGCATGTGCTGCAGTACAGCCACTCGTATCAGCTTCGCCTAGTGCGTATCATGAACGAGACAGACCTAGAGCATCTAGTGCCTGCGGCTTCAACGAGCAGTCATCAAGTCGCAAGGACATTAGTCCGGGAGTTGGTGCAGGCTGTAAAGCTGCTGCGATATATTCGATAGCCTTCTTATCCAGCACGTTCTGGGATAGGTCCAGAAACTGAAGGTTTTTGGCCTGATATGGATGAGTATGCTACACGAGCAGGCAGAACGACGAAGCACACCTTCGAGACATATGCTCCAATCAACTTGAACGCGTTCACTTTCAGCCGCCGGTTAGATGCTACCGAAAGGAATGTCAGAGATGACGGAATGAGTAACGCGTGCAATATCGGTTTGAGTATCTGATATGTCAGGTTCAGTAGACGGTACCAAAATAACATGGTAGACGAACGTGTTCATCGAGATCGCACTCCTTCATGACCAGTTTACGGAGACCCCATTCTATCGTGAACACGTCGGACAATACCGAAGCGGAGCCTATGGCAAGCTGCACGCCAGATAAGTCAACTGTGCGTGGGTGGGGTCCTTTGGCACGCTACATTGTGACGACAGTGAGCGAGGCGGACAAACATGTCGGTGAATGCTGCCAAGACAACGAGCGTACCAGGATGGCCATAGAAATTCCAGAGTCAGGAGTCTCTTCCCGTCCGACACAGCACTCTCTGTAGAACGATTCGACTTGCTCGATGCTCCACCACTGGTCTTCTGGATTCGCAGTGTCCGGGCTCACGGAATTGCGTCGCACGACCCGCCGCCGACGCTCTGCCTCGCGCTCATCGATGGAACGCTTCTCTTCCTTCAATGTCGGCGTACATGGAGGATTCGTGGAATATATAGGATACACAACAGCAATCTCGGGCAGGATGAAGTGCGCCCTCTTGAGCGTCCTGCTCTCATCATTGCTGTCATTAGACGGGGTGGTGTTTTGGGTAGGCAGGAGCTTAGAGAGTCGACCAAGACTGAAGAATGACTGCGGTGTAGGGGGAGGTTTCTTGAGAATCGACTTTCCAGGAGTTGGAATCGTCACAGCGGACGATGAGGGTGATGGCGAAGAAGACATCGCTGTGCATCTCGCGGAAATGCAAGTGCAGCTTAGAGTGATCAGACGCTTCGGATAAGCGCGTACAATCCGCTTTCAAGAGTTTATTACCTACTTGTTATCACGTAACAATCCAGATAACAAAGTCTGTAGCGTTTCAGATAGCTCTTCAATCCTACTGTTGCAAGCGTGGTTATGCTCAGCCTTATACTTCCTCCACGCATGCCGAACCGATGCCGCAACTTGAGTCGTTCGCGCCAGAATACCGCGTGAAGTATACTACCAGGATGTTATACAGACATAGAGAAGCATGCCAGAGACGGCGAGTGCAGAAACTGAGTGCACGAACGTCACGCCAGGAGAGATCTGACCCTGTCGTCCGGACGCTGCTATCTCCCGGGAAGCACGCTCCGGCAAACGGCTCGACGGACGGAAACCATCACACGTGCTAATCCCGAATCATTGAGTCGCGTAATGTGTCTGAGAATCGTCGTATTTGTCGGCTGGAATGCTCAGCTTACACGAAACTAGCGCTGTAACGCAACCCTCCTCCAACTCATTCGTGTGCATTTCTTGTCCCTCCGTTCCGTGACATGGCAGAGACACGCCGCTCCTCGCGCATTGCAGCGCAACCCAAGAAAGACGAACTTCCGAAACCTGTGCGCAACCCCACAAAGAAGAGGTCGACTGGTGAGGAGGACGGCCCCGCCGCCAAGAAGGTTGGTGTCGCACTGTCAACGAACGGAACACTGTGCTGTTTGTGTTTGTGTTAATATGTTGAGCCATCTCACAGGCCAAGAACGAGGAGCAGCCCACTGAAACTCAGGAGGGCGAGCAGCCTGCGGATGCAAGTGTTGGGGACGCCAGGGTAGAGGGAGCACAGTCACAAGCGGACAACGGCGAGTGTTTTCCTGATCTCTACATTTTTTAGATATCAAATTAAGTCCAATATATAGCTGTGAAGCCGATTGACATTGGCGACACTCTGCCCTCTCTGACTCTCAAGAACGAACAGGGTGAAGACGTCGATGTATCCACGCTCACCGTCGAGAAGGGAGTTATTATGTTCTTGATTCCTAAAGCTGACACTCGTACGTACTTTCTTCTCATCTGTGAACCCAAGACCTATAATATGAGCAGCCGGATGCACTACTCAGGCGTGCGGCTTCCGCGACGCGTATCCCAACTTCACCGAGGTCGGCTATGACGTGTACTGCCTGAGCGCAGATAGCCCGGCTGCCCAGAGCAAGTGGCAGTCCAAGGTGCGTATTTTTGGGTGGCTTCCGTAGCATGTATTGATCTCGGCGAGCAGAAGGAGCTTCCGTACCCTTTGCTATCCGACCCTAAACGTGTCCTCATTACGGCGCTCGGTGCGGGTGAAGGCGGAAAGACCAAGCGCAGCCACTTCATTTTTGAGAAGGGCGGCAAGCTCATTAAGAAGGAGCTGCCAGTGAAGCCCGCTGATAGGTAAGTTCACTGTTGACCAAAAGATGAAATGACTCCCAGCTCATGATTCGCGTAGCCCTCTGCATGCCCTCGAGTTCGTTAAGAGTCTCAACAAGGCCTCGGCCTCAGACAAAGTCATGGGAGAACAGCAGCAAGAGGGGAAGACAGAGGCCGAAAAGGCTTCTGAGCACGAGCAGACGGAGCAGGGCGCATCTTCTGATCAACCCATGGCGACAGATTGAAGAACATCATGATGCATTGGTTGTGCTGAGGATATTATCTTGGGTTCGGAATCGTAGTATCTTGAGTATGCTTTGTAGCACGTTTATCCGTCGCGATGGAGAACACATGCTTGTGATTTGTCTTTATCGTCAACGCCCAGCATTCGACCTTAGTGCAGATGGACAGCTGCCAACTGAGCAGCTGGGGCGGTGCAAGATGCGCGCCAAATATCCCAGTTCGACAAGTGTACGCTCAGTCTTCTCTGCACTACTTTCACAGTTGTAGTCAGACCACGCAACGTGTGGCATTGCACTGTATTGGGCGAGATATCAGCAGAAGCTACTGGTAAGCGTAGCTTTAAGGCAAAATAGGAAAGCGGCGGCCTTAGATCCTAACAAGTGCAAACATTATGACGACCCTAACCCGGGCGTTGTGGACGATTCAGACGCCGCCGGCGGTGCCCGCAGTGCCCGCAGGCTGCGCAACACATCTTCCTCCAAACCCCCACGCTGCAACGCGGCCTTGCGTCTTAGCATGCCTTCAGTATCGACGTTGTCAGAGGAAGAGAAGACCAAAGTCAAAAACGCGATCCCCAAATCTTCAAACAAGATCCACACCGCGGCCCTCAGCCGCATCTACTACGCACACCCGAATCCGAATGAATGGTCGTACTCTGGACTGCAAGGCGGACTTGCGTTTGTCAAGGACAACACCAGAAATGCATTTTACTTTAGACTGGTTGATCTCACTGGGACAAGGGGTGTAATCTGGGAGCATGAGCTATACGAGGGCTTTGAGTATTTCCAGGACAGGCCCTTCTTTTTCTCTTTCGCTGGAGATGTGCGTGATTTCAAATATATTGTAACCTGACGTCTTAAATCCCTTCGTAGGATTGTATGATCGGTTTTGTCTTCGCCGATGAGAGCGAAGCCAAAACCTTACACAAAAAGGTTGTTTCTAGGAAGGCCGATACCGGTGTGTTATCTTACATTTTGTTTCGTCCTCCGTCACTAAACGTACGGTTAGGCAAAGCGAAAGCTTCTATTTCCAAGAAGAGTTCTGTCAAGGGCGGCAAGATTGACAAGTCCATGATCTCTGGGCCCGCCCAGGGCTCTTTCAGACACGTTGCTCACATGGGCTATGATGCTGAGAAAGGATTCACAAGCACAGGAGTCGACCCGTCCTGGTCGACCTTGCTATCTTCACTTGAATCACAGGGAGTTAACAAGGAGATTCTCCAGAATAACATGGACTTCATCAAGGAATATGTTCGTGATGCGCAGGCGCAGGCAGCTGGTGGCGGGGAGAAGAAGAAACCGCCCCCGCCGCCGGCACCCAGGCGAGGACATGGTCAGAAAGAAAGTACCTCATCTATCGCGATGCCACCACCGCCACCACCTTCTCGTGCTCCACCTTTCCGTGCTCTGCCGCCGCCTTCGGCTGCTCCGCCGCTGCCGTCGACTGCACCACCACCGCCTTCGGCTGTACCACCACCACCGCCGACTGCACCACCACCACCGCCGGTTGCACCGCCATCACCGCCTCCTGCCCCGCTTTCTCGTGCTCCTCCTGCACCCGCCCCGCCTTCTGCTCCGCCGTCGCGTCCCTCCGTAGCGCCTCCCACGCGTCCCTCTGCTGCTCCGCCAGTATCGCCAGCGCCTCCAGCACCCCCTTCACGCCCTGCGGCCACACCTCCAGCACCTCCCCCGCCGGGTCGTCCTGCTCCCAGCGGAAGTGTGCCTCCCCCACCACCTCCCCCGCCGCCACCGCCAGTTGGGGGCAGTGCCCCTCCGCCGCCGCCGCCTCCGCCACCTCCCCCGCCCGGAGGTGCTCCTCCTCCTCCTCCTCCTCCTCCGCCACCTCCCCGCCCGGAGGTGCTCCTCCTCCTCCTCCTCCGCCACCTCCCCGCCCGGAGTTGCTCCGCCGCCGCCTCCACCTCCTGTTCCAAGCGGGGGCGGGGGCGGGGCGGGGGCGGAGGCGTAACTGCCGATCTGCCTGCACCTCAAGCCGGACGAGACGCGTTGTTAGCGTCTATCCAGGGTGCAGGAATTCATGCACTCAAGAAGCGCAGTGACACCGATTCTCCCGCTCCTTCCGGGCCTTCTCCTCCTCCCGCCGAAGAACCCGCCGGCAGCAGCGGTGGAGGCGGGGCCGGAGGTGATCTTACTGCTGCGCTCGCAGCTGCTCTGCTCGAGAGGAATAAGAAACTGGGAGATAGCGACGAAGAGGAAGAGGAAGATGACTGGGATTAGGGTCTCTGTCCATCTGCCATCACGCATCACACGCTATCTCTAGAAACGATACCCTACTTTCTATTTTGTATCACCGCCACCGCTTAGTATTCCACTATTCCGAGAGAGTTAGCTCACTGATTCCATCTTCTGGTGGGATATGTGTGCTGCGCGCGGTGCGCCCACGGCCCCTAGCTGTCCACTCGGTGCATCGCGAAGCGGTGTATCAAGCAACCCTAACCCAGAGGGAGCTGTAATAGCTCGGCGATCGCCGAGATGGTGCATTCTGGGGCGCTTGGAGCTAGTATCCTGCGATACCAAGGGACTGACGACCCAGGTTATAAGCACCCTCCATCTTCCTTCAGACACCACCTTTCTTCTCTCTTTCACATCTACACAAATGGCCGACCAATTGGTGGGCAAGCTTGTTATCACGTGCTGAATATCCCTGCTGACCACGCTCCTCGTCCTGTGCAGTCCGAGGGTATGACTCTACCAGACTGTACACAACGCGTACGATACTGACCTCTTACCTCTCCAACAGAGCAGATTTCTGGTATGTGATTTCCTTCTAGCGTGGGACCCGAAACTGACGATTCTCCTCACAGAGTTCAAGGAGGCTTTCTCCCTCTTCGACAAAGGTCTGTCACAGAAGAATGTGTCATTCGACACAGCACATTGATCCACGCCGCAGACGGCGATGGCACAATCACCACTAAGGAGCTCGGCACTGTCATGCGCTCGCTCGGCCAGAACCCGACCGAGGCTGAGCTGCAGGACATGATCAATGAAGTCGACGCGGACGGCAACGGCACGATCGATTTCCCCGAATTCCTGACGATGATGGCGCGCAAGATGCGCGACACAGATTCGGAGGAGGAGATCAAGGAAGCCTTCAAGGTTTTCGACAAGGACGGAAACGGCTACATCTCCGCTGCCGAGCTCCGGCACGTCATGACCAACCTCGGTGGGTCCCCTCACTTGCACTGAACTGGTTGGCGGGCTAAGACGCTGACGCGTCACTCCAGGCGAGAAGCTGTCCGACACAGAGGTTGATGAGATGATCCGTGAAGCAGACGTAGACGGCGATGGTCAGATCAACTACGAGGGTATGTCCCGCGCTGCGCCACCATAGAGCGCTCCACCTGACATTTATCCCCTTAGAATTCGTGAAGATGATGCTCTCAAAGTAAACATCGACGCTTGCGCCCTCCTCTCTAGTCTATCTCTCCCTAGCCTCGTGTGCTTTGCATTATCAAGTTATTTGGATGGTCCGCAAACTCCGTGTAGTATGGTATATGAAAGAAGTGAAGCCAAACGAACTTGCTATTTAATGTTCATCTATAATTTTTCTGGAGCCTGTGCGTGCTGAAGCTGCCGTGTGCATTAATTTGTGAGTAATATGGGGCATCTCTTTGCCCAATTGGTGAGATCGCCTATATGGGAGGTCGAGGACGGTCTAACTCGCCCCGAGTTCAAAGCGATTTGTTAACCTGTCAAGCTTCACGCAGAAACACCCCGCTTAATGTAGTGACGAGATGCAGATCCAATATCCTTTGAATTGCGTTCTTGAACTACTATATAAAGATGCATAATAATCGACGAAAAGGATGCGTTTAGTCGCCATTGCAGGCGACGAAGCCGTCGTAGCTGGAAGCACCAGTGTGGGTGACGACGCTGTGATAGTACAGTCAATCTCCAAACATCTTAGTGAATATGGCAGGTATACTGACGCGCAGTAGGTGCCATCGGAGGTGAAGACGACACGGTCGGTACCGGGGGATACGTAGTTGCTCGAGCTCGAGGTGTAGATCTCGCCGTTGGGCATAATAGGGAACTAGGCATCAAGTCAATTGACGGAACCTCCGCTCCATGCATAAGGACTGCTCACCTCGTACCAGGGGCCGTTACCGCTGCACCAGAGAGAGATGTTCTCAGAGGATTCATCGTAGTACTGGTGGGGGTAGTCGTCTGTAAATCTTTGTCAACATGCACAGGATTTTCAAGCATCGACGGCTTTACCAGGGAGGTTGCCTTCGTCCATGTCCTCGACACCCGCGTTGATAGCAGCCTCAATGGCAGAGACGCTATACTTGTTGCTGCCGCAGGTGACGGTGCCAGAGGGAAGAGCGCGAGGAAGGCTCGCGGCCATGGCAGCCGAGGCAGAGAGGAGGATAGCAGAGAGAGTCTTGAAGAGCATGGCTGGCTTGTTCTCACTACGACTGAACGAAGAAGTCCCTGTCGACTCCTGGCCCTCGTCTTGAGCTTTTATATCTCGACAACTCGCTATCATTGCCTCAAATGCCTAGCTGCTTGTGCCGTAGTACACAGGACTCGGCCGGCAATACTCTGCACGCTGAACGCGGCAGAACCTTGAGGAATCAACCGTTGGAATGTGCGATGCCGTCTGCTAAGCCACGTTTATAGCAGGCACTGCAGCAGGAAGCACCAGGGTTTGAACAATGAGACCATGCGCATGCGTCAGAAAGAATACGAAGCGCTCACCTAAATGGAAGATATCCATGCGGGTTGGGTGGGGAAGCACGAGGGCTCGAACACCGTCCGCGACTTTGAAGATGTTCGATGTTCCTTGCCATGCCGAAGGGGCGCAAGATGCCGCAGCCTGCAGCTTGAACGGCATCCTCGAACGCAGAGCATCACGAAGTGGACGCGCCCATAATCCGACACGTTCACCCCATCCGTGCCTGTAACTGGCTGCGTAAAGCCTTCGAGGCGCACTGTCGGTGCCGGCATGACCAGTAAACGTTGCTGCCTCTTCAGGAAATTCCATGCTGCCTGGTACCCGCCGGCCAGCTGCAAGTGACCTACCAACCACATGGTCCATGGACTTCGAGGCTGCATCACAACATTCCGACAAATGATAACACGGTCTACTCCACGCGGATGGAAGGACAGAAGTCCCTCAATGGTGGAGAAGCTTTTGCATGTACATGTTTCTCCTGAGCTTGGCACTTGTATTGTCGTTAGATTGCTCTAACAACGCCGCACGCGGCCTATTCGAGGCGCTTGGACTCACCAGCACCGTGCATATGATCGCTCAAAAAATGTCACAAACACTGCTAGGCTGCGAAGAGAGTACGGGATGTAATGGGTCGGGGCCAACTTGTGGGTCTAGCCGAAAGCGCTCGACGTCACGATGCGGGATCGTTTTGAACTTGTCCTCGACTCTCACCTTGAACCGGGGGGCATCCTGTCCTATTTGCCCGCACAGCCGCAAAGCGCAACACACAGTGTATGTGCTGTTGCCCCGTTTCTCTCCATCGCCAGATAGCGTCCACCGAGCGTTCATCAGCCGGAATTCAACCATTGTCCCTGACTGCCCGTTGGTGGCTAAAGCCTACTCGGATCTAAAACCTCAGCAAGTTCTGCTGGCTGCAAGTGTCGCTGATAGCGGCTTGTACGCACCTGTAATTTTGCGACACGTGGCGCTACATTGATAATGTCCTCCAGGACAGCACCGACTGCAGATCTGAGTCGTGTACCTGCAGTACTACCATGGTCGTGTAAGTCTGACATTTACTATAATGGTCAGAATTGTGCTCAGACGATCCTTGTGACATTAGGTCCGGAACGCCACAATGGCATCGAGGAACTTGCCGGTATCCCAGTCGAACTCTATGCCATGATATTCGACGAAATCAAGGCCTCGGTCCCTCAAGAGCTGACGACCGCCGAGTATAAAGCGACATTAACTACGCTTTGCCTGGTCTGCCGAATGTTTTGCGGGGAATGCCAGCCGCGGCTCTTCGAAAGCGTGGCGATCACAAGCAGTTCTCGCGACATGTGGCAGTCCAAGGTCTGGCACGACTTTCTGAGCTCCGGAGAACCTCGGTCGATCTCGCTGGCTGGTTGTGTGCGCAAATACACGTTGTTGATGGGGGCGACATTCATGAAGTCGATCTTCATTCAGAAAATGTTCGGGCTCGCTGCGTTCTTCACAAACTTGGAACGCCTCACTCTACGAGACTGTCAAGTCGATGGCGAAATGTTCCATGCACTTATTGGATTAGTCTCTCTCCGAACGGTCTTGTTCGAAAACTGTTCTGCCGGCAGCGGGGACATTCGCGTGCAGGCCCGTCCAGAGAAGGGCGTGTGGACTTCCTTAACTATCAAGTCCTGCTCTATCAACTCATGGCCGTCTACCCTCCGTCAGCTCATCAATAGGAACCACGTAGAGTGCATAGACGTCGACTCTTTGCGTTTGGTCTTCACCCTCCTGGGGGATCGGGTGTTTCCGCGTCTCAAGTATGTCAGACTTCCCGCCTCTCGCTCAAAGACATATGATGTCCCCTTTATCCTATCGCTGGTCCCCAACCTTGAGAGTCTCGTCCTTCAACACGTTGGCTGGCTTGACTCGAAACCATTGTCCCCTCATCTCATACCTCGTCTACGGGAGCTCACTGCACATCCCTGCACCGCCGCACGGTTGATACCTGGGAGACCAGTCTCCTCGCTGAACTTGCTGCATCGTGCTGGGGAAGAAATCGCCGTAGAGGCGCTCAAGAGCTCAACGATAGGAATACGCGAGCTCGCCATGTCGAGCGGCACGCTGGTGGACGAACTAGTGTCTGATGACTTCCCCGAGTTGCACATGCTCACCGTGCGAACGCCACCGACATTTGGTCCGAATGCTACACCGATTCCTGTACGTCAGATTCGAGAACCGTGCTGTACGTTTCAGCTAACTGAAGTGCTCTTAGTCTGAGGTATCAGCGAGGGAAAATCCTATGATGTCGGCAAAGACCCTCTGCATTATGCCCGACGAGCGTCATGGCTTCATCATCGACCAGACATACGACATGTTCCGCTTGCAACAGCAGCACCGCGAGCTCACCGAGAACGTTATTCCGAAATTACCGAATCTGCACTGCTTCAGAGCATATCCCGCAATTGAGTGGCGCCGTCGCGACGCTTCCACTCCGACCTGGCGACCGCACGTCGTCGATAAGCCGCTCGTACGCAAACGGCTGATGCATGGTGTTGCCGCACGCGATATCGAGGACTACGACGGCTGCTTCAGGTCTTTGCTAAGCGAGCAGGAGCTAACTGAGCTTCCGCAGCCCGCTTGGTCAACATGGCTAAAAACATAGGACCACATCAGAGCCTTCTGACAGTAGCATGGGTATTTCATTCCCGAAGCAGTGAACATTCTGGATGTTAAGTGTATCGTCCCCTACGTCGTCTAGTCGGAGTGTTACGTATGATAGATAGTGCTTCTAGTAGCAGCCTTGTGGAATGCGCAGACAGTGCTATTCGTAGCTGACGTCGGTACCCGAAAGACATCCGATTCATGTCATGCGAACGTTAGTTCTGTGTTTCCGCTACGCCACGTAGAGAAGAGGCCTACGCAGCGGCGAAAGTCGGAGCGATCACGCGCTAGTACTCGCCTATTTGCCGCCAAGACCAGAGCGAAGGACCTTATCAAAAGTCACTCCGCGCCTGCACTTGGCACAGGCTTGAGCTTGAAGCACTACCATGAGTCGTTCACATAATAGACATGCAGAAGCGGATTTCGATTGCAGAGAAAAGTCCATCGCGTCTTGACTGATACAAAGTGTGCAAGAGGATAAATAGTTTGAACCGAAAGCAATGATCACAGACAGTATACATCATCATGCAACCCGAACAGCCCGTATGGCCTGATAGGCCAGACAGTCTTGTGAAAGAAAATCACACACGACGGCGGCTCATGCGGTTTTGCCGAAAGCGTGCGCTCCGTCGGTGTACGGGTACGCGCCAGCAGGGTTGAGGAGGCCCTGGTTGACTTCCTGCGCCTGCTGCGGGTAGTACGTGGGCTCGTACGTTGACGCGCCGGCGGCCTTGGCGGGCTGGTACTGGCGTGACCAGGTGTCCCTCTCGTCGTCGAGCTGGTCGACGTATTTGCCGATGGTAGACGCGATCCCTGGCAAGGAACATGAGCAAAAGCTCGTGTGGGGACACTCGGACCGGGTACTTACAGACGTCGACAAGCAGGCCGATGACGACACCGACGGTGGAAAGAAGCTTCTGCCACCAGTTGAAGTGGAAGTCGACGCATTCCTGACCGTTAACTTCGCAGCCGTTGAAGAGGTTCTTCCCAGAGTATACTAGGTAGAGCATGTAGCCCGACGCAGCCGCGCTCACAACGAAGATGATCCATGTCGTAGTCGAATAGATCCTTACGAGTGCGCGGCTTCGGACGATAGAGCCGATCCAGCTATTGCGCAACGTCAGCGGCACGTTCCGGACACGACCTAGAAATTCCGGACGCACCCTCCGAATGCAATGAGGGCAAGTAGGGTGACGACACCCCCCACAATACCGAGTGAAATCTTGCCACCCTTGTTGATCTGGCTCCAGTCAACGCCGCTCACAGTCTGGCCTGTGATCGCGACTGAAGAGCAGTTCAGCAGGGCGCATACTTGTCAGGAACGCGCGAGACTCACGATGCAGGGAATACCAGAGGATTGCAGCCCATAATCCTTCCACGAGAAATTGGAAGAGGGAGAAGACGAAGACGCCAAAGCGGACGGGAATACAGCAGCAGAAATGCCTGGACATGGCTGGCGTCTAGTCTTGACTCTTGAGCTCGAGGAAAGGGAAGAAAAAACAGAAAGAGAAATAAGAGGGAAGGAGGAGGGTAAAAACGAGGATGAAGGATGTGGGCATGGCGCGACTTGGTAGATATATAGGACTCGGACGGGAGTTAGAATGAGGATGATGGCGATGAGACATGATCATGCCAGCACCGCAAGCTGCACCGCCTCCTTCGATGACATCGATCCTAGCTGCCATATGCGGTAAGCACACGGTAACGCCGAATTGGCTAGCAACTGCGCGTCTAGCCCGACGCTCCGAGATCGCCGCTCACCAAGATATCGCTCACAGCCACCAGCCTCGCTTCCGCACCGCTCCTTTCTTGAGGGCGCTGCGCGCACTGTATGTGTGTAAATTTCTGCGGCCAGAAGTGCTAGGCAGCCGTGCGGGGCGGTGAGCAAGAATTCAGGAAGGCCGAAGCGCGGTGAGCCGCGAAGCGGCAGCCTCTGCGAGCGGCTTAGGTCACAGGCGGGTACTTAGATCTCTGAATAACTGGCCTCCTACGAGCGTTGATCTCGGTGGAGATGTCGTCGATAGACGTGCGCATATATTCCGATATGTGGCTCATCCCTTACGTATTAGGGATGCACGACAAGATCTTCGACACCTGTAGCGTTCGCCTCTTGGTCCACCCCACACAATCCATAGCTGTCCATCGATGTTGTTGTTGCCAAGCATGAGCGCGTTTCAGACACAAGTAGTTCGATGACTTGGGTCATATTCGGCATGTTCGCGACTCAGGGTAGAGGATGTGATACCCGATGACCAAGCCACTGCAGACACGGGCAGCAGCGCTCAAGAGGCTTTGACTTCTGGAGCCACCAGTCTGCAGGGTGGTCCTGTGGTAGGTATATCCTCTGGTAAAGCGCGTTCGAGTAGGAACTAATCAAGGCACAAATGCACCAATCAGCACCCAGGTGTCGGAGACCTTAAAAGACAGTGAATGCGGTTATGCGTGAGATCTGCCTGTTGCCGCGATACTCGGATGAATTTCAAGAAATGAGCGTTGCCTTGCGCCGCGCATTTTCCGTCAAAGCGCCAGGCATTTTACGCTGGCTGAGGTCGCTCACGATTGTCGGAAAGCGCAGCATATAGCCTGTGCGATATGTGGAAGTATCTAGTAATACGCAGCATGTTATGGGAGCACCTGGACCATGCGGGGATATACGTCCGTCTTGGCACTGAGAGAACTCGCTGCGGACGGGTGGATCAAGAGCGAATATGCAGATGAACGATAGCTATGAAATACAACAGAATTCGGCAATTCTAGTCCATTCTTCCTTTGAGCTTGCGCGTTATAACCTTGTCCTTCGTTCTGCAGCAGGCCGGTCAGCGAGCCTGCGCGTAGATATCCCAAACCGGACACTTACATGACATGTACGACCGCACCCCAGCCCGAGAACGCATCGCGGTCTAGCGCGTTGAGCAGTGTCTGCGAGATCGTCTCAAAAAGGTCCTCCGCCTCGAGGTCAGGCTCCCACAGGCCCTCCGCCACACCAAACAGCTTCTCGCTCGCGGTACCCGCCACGACAAAGTCCTTCGCGAAGTTCAGGCAGCCGATGAGGTCCGTCGCGGCGATGAACGGCGCGTAGCCGCCGGCTGGTGTCTTCTGCATGCCGGCCATGACGGGCTCGATGAAGTACGGGCCGAAGCGTCGCTCGTAGAGCGTGGAGGAGACTAGCTGCGCGAAGGTCTGTGGCTCGATCTCGCGCTCCTCCTTGATAGTGTACATGTTCACGCGGTACCGGAATTGTTCTCGTCTGAGCGCGAGGTGCTGGTCAGAATGTGCAGCCACTCCAAGAGGGCGAGTTCTACGCACAGTGTCGTGACGTCTGTCGCAAGACCAGGAAGTCCTACGAATAGCCGGTCTGTCACCGGGAATATCTACATAAAGCGAGTTGGGATGAGTAACAAAACGGAGGGTACAGATGGGCACACGCACCTTCTCAAAGTCTGATGTGATGCTCAGCGATTGAACACCCAAGCGCAAGTCCGAGGCAATGGCGACACAATCCTTGCCCACCATGGCTATGACGGAGCCACCGTTATGTTGCATGATCGACTGCATGGTCAAGGACCAGTGAATACACTTTATGTTACCTGAGTAGTATAGAACCCACCATGATGGGCAAAAGTTACCGGGAAGGAGATTGAGGGAATGGGAGGAGGATGCACACGCGAGGACAGGTCGATTACCGGACGCGTCACATAGGTTACGCGTCGCCTCGACTCGTCACATGAGTCACAATTTTGTCACGGTTATGACCGTGATCTTTTGTCACGTTGTTCTGCTCGTTGTGCGTGATCTTGAACTTGGCTCATTGACGATCTCTCCAACCTTGCTCTCACTCTTTGTCACACAACGTTCAAGCGTAATGTTCACTCCACCACATTTCATACAGTTTTTCCTGTCTCCGCCGACTTTGTCTCTTTCACAGCTGGCTGCTAACGCACGGAGGCCAGCTTCGGCGGCATTCACAGTCTCTTAGGCCGAGGGGTAGTTCGTATCTCGAGCACTCATACGATAAATCATCCCAATATTGCACTACAAGTACAAAGAAGTCTTTAACGTCAACACATCGCCCCTCCGCGACGTCTATTTGTTCAGCTCAGCACTCCTGGCGTGCAGCTCATCGCGAGTCTTCCGTTCGTCGAACATCAGCCTGGCCGTCCGCTCCGGTATGCTACACAGACGTACCTTTGGCTCTCCGGCATTCTGGAGCAGAGTTGGGTTGGGGATGTAAGGCCCAGGTGTGTGGAACGCCTGCAGCTCTGGGTTCGTGTTCAGACCTCCGCCAAGCTGCGGTGGCTCGAGATCGCCGGGGTTGTTGGTCTTCTGCTCAGGCCGTCAGCATGTTTATTCTGGGCGGTAGGTGACGATACGTACGGCTGGGTGTGGCTGGGTCTTGAACTGCTGTTCCTGCCCTTGGCTCGAGGATGAAGACATGGTGGATATGTTGTATGCGCTGTAGGAGAGGATGCGAGGAGGTGGTGGTGGATAATTTGGCCAGGTGCGAGGCATGTTCTTATACGGTTCTCTCATATGTTTGTTCCAGATTTGCCCAGATCGATGACGCATCTGCACATGGACCTCCGGAGTATCAGCTGCTGCGGTGCGGAGTATGCCATCCAGGATCCGAAGACTCCAGCTCGGTCATATTTGTGGCTGCGGGGCCGTTTGTATGCGGTGTGGACGCTTGGAAGGTAGGGAGTAAGCATTATATCGTACAAAACTAAGGAATATTCAAAGACGAAGTATACAAAGAGTCCATCAGCACTCCTCAGGCAGCATCCCGGTTGCTGTCCTTCGTGTCTATCTGCCTATCCTTTTCGACGTTCCCGCCCTGCGCCTGCGCATCTGCCTCCTCAGTGCCCTCGGGCGCAGTTGTCGCGGCCTGGGCCTGGGCGCCAGCTTCTGTCGGGTGCGTCTGCGGGCCGCGCTTGCCCGTGACAGAGTTCTGCGCAGCGTTGCCCTGGACATCGTCACGACCTTCGTTGGTCGTGTTTGGACCGCCTGTTGGCTCTTCCGGCTCTTCCGGCTTCTTGTCCTTGTCTCCCTTACCAGCACTCGCGAATGGGCCCGATTTCTGAACGGGTACCACGACATCAGTCTTGACAGTGCGGAGACAGAAGAGACAGTCGCCAGGCTCACCTCATCCTCTTCACGCTTCTTCTTCTTCAACTCTCCTGTTCTCATGTCCTTCCCGTGCTGCACCTTGTCGTGGTTACGAGTGACCTTGCCGGCAATCTCCTCCTTCAGTCCTTGTATTTTGTCGCCCGTAGTCTATGGTCAGCTGCTATCAGGAACGCGGTTTCTCTGGGAGTCAACTCGACAACTTACTGCCCCCCGCTGAGCCCCGTACTCTGGACCAAGTCCGATAGCACCAGCATGTATCTGTGGCGGGTACCCGCCCTCGGGCTCCGCCGACGAGGCGTTCGCGTCGCCATTCTGCTGCTGCTCGGCGCCCTGCGCGTCCGTGTTGGCGTCGGTCTCTTGTGGACGCCCATTAGCACCGTGCTGCTGGTCTTTGGGGTTGTTGCCGTTCACTGGGGACTTGCTCGACGCGACGTCTGACATCTTAAGGATGGGATATACTAGCGCGAAAATAGTAAAGTGGTGAGTATGGGTTTGTGTCGTGAGTTGTCGTTGTGGATGTCAGCACGCGCTGCGCCACGTCTATTATAGCCTGGAGGGTGTTGTATATTTTGGACGGGATGACGACCGTACGCTCCACTGACACGTCCTGACGTCAGGCCCCATTTCACAGTACCTGCCATAATTGGCTCGAGGATCAGAACTCGTCAAAGCTGCTTCGTAAGCGGAAATCGCGCCAAAAACTATCACGACATGGCGAGTTTCCGTCGTCTCCCGCTGGAATGTAACCTATCGAATAAATCTGTGGCGATTCCACCTGGTCTCGTTGTCACTGTATCTTTGCAGAAGGCGACTAGGAGGACCTGGGAAGGCGGACTTTAAGGACAGTGGATGCATGCTGGAGCATGACGCCTCAGACGGATACCAAGTCTAAGAAAATCAAGGTGAGCAGTGCACCTAGTGTACTAGCTGTTTCAGCATATGAATTCGAGCGTTCTAGGTCTGTGGCAACAGGGAACAAGCTGTTGAATATTACTCAAGTTGGGACACCACAGAACGTAGCGCGGAATCTTACGACGAAAGCCCGCGAACGACTGTGTTCCTATATTACCGATCCCATGGATTATGGAATCGCGCAGTCTTGGTACCACGAACAATTGTTAAATACTAAACAGGTACCGAAATGGCTCGCAAGCTGGTACTGCAGACCGCTTGCCGGAGTGCCTGACCTCTGTCGCGCATTCATGCTCAAAATAGACTCTAGCTTCGAGCAGAATGCCAGGCGACTCTTGTGGTGCACATTGCGGTGTCGATTGCATGGTGCAAGGCGGAGAACAAACGGCAAGGACGGGAAACTTGGAGCTTGCCCCTCCAAAATGACGGAGCGATCGGCCGAATGGGTTTCGGAGACTCAGGGCTTTATTACAACGATCCTGTGCTTAGCAGCATCTGCTTTACATGGAAAGTATGTTACTTATACCACTGCTCTCCTGCCACCGCCCTATATCTGCCATGACCACCTCTCTCAACGCCCTCGAATAGACAGACGCCATCATCCCCAGCCGCCAAACCTTATCTACATATCATGCCTCGAGCAGATCTGTGAACACTTGGCCAGTTCCTGAACATATATAGCCGCCAACTGCTAAAGTTCTTTGCTTCCAGGCCCCAGCTGCCAGACGGTAACGAGGGCGACCCACGCATGTTCCTGTATATGTGGGCGATGGCGAAGGCATCCCTTTGGTGTCGTTGAACATCCTTCGTCGACCTGCTGCCTCGCCTCCCAGCCCAGTATGCCGGTCATCGCAAAGACACCTGACATCGTGCGTATGGTGAAGCTCAGTGCGTGATGTCGATCTGTATGATGCTGAATATTTCATCAGCAATCATCTCGCTGTTTGCGCTCTCCGTCCTGGGTGTCAACGCCCATTATATCTGGACTACCGTGAACATGGTCTTGTTGGTCGACGACATCGCCGCCTGGCCACAGTCTGAGCCCGACACCTTCTCGGCATTGAACCTAGCCGTAGCGGTCATTGCGATCGTGACAGTGCCTGTGACGTGGGTTGCACATACATTTAGTTGCTACCCGTAACCGCGACTGATTTACACGTGTCAGGATTATTTTCAACCTCTTTCGGAACGGTGCCTTCACATTGATAGTCGCTGTAGAGATAGGCTGGCTGGGTAACACGCCCCAATTTTATATCATTGACACCAGCTGATGGAGCTGTTCAAGGTTTCCTCGATATCCTCTGGCTAGCCTCAGGCTGTTCCGCGCTGACCACAAGTACTGGCCATCTCTGGGATCCCGATGCTCACTTATGGGCCAGGATTTCTGCGCTGGACGGGGCGGCTGTATGAAAATTGGTAGATGTGTATGTCTCGACTTCAATTTTAACCCATTTGACAAGATTTACATGCTACGCAAAGCGAGTCCGATGATTAACGCCTGCCACGCATTGAGATTTAAATCGTGCCGAAGGAACTCCGACTGCTCCTGCTCCGGCAGCTCTGCCAGCACCCTCAGATGAGTGTAATCAGCGACACCATAGTGTACGAAGATGGGTGTGAGTCTGTCCATTGCAGGGCGAGTCGACTGGAGGAATGCCCGCACAGCTGCCTCACCCTTTGGAGTCTCAGACCGGACAACAGGCGGAGACGCCGCAGGTGCTGGCCTCTGGGGGGTCTGCAGTTCTTTCTCAGGTGCAGCCACCTACAGTGATCCATCAAAATCAGTACCTTCTGATCGAGGGTAGAGATGCATGGACTCGCTACTACCTGCGCAGCTTTGGAATTGTTGGCGCACGGTAGTGCACGATGGCTAACAGGCTTCGGCCGAAGTTTATTCTGGGCCTTACACGTTCGCTGCTTGTGCCGGGACAGGTACTCTCGCATGCAGCCCTCCGCGGGCCATGCGTTCTTGTACCGCTGCAAGAACGGCAGCGTCTCCACAATCTAGAGCAAATCATCATGACCAACGCACAACAAGGTTGAGTGGGAGCTGTACCCCTTTGAAGAACGCGGCTATGCCCTCGGCGGACTGCCACTTCCATGACAAATTTGTATGCAGGTAGATCTCTGCTGCATCGGGTATCGCGTCCTGACCATATCATAGCTGACGGTGAGTCTCAACTCGGATCTAGAATTCTTTACGCTAAATATCGCATGAGCACTTACATGCAATGCTTTAACTTCCTCCAAACTCAGTCCTATAATCTTAGAGGCTATTCTGGCAGAGATCCACCGCGCGGGACGCTCTATTAGCTGGTCTGACTCGGAAGGCATCGATAGACAAGACGACGGAGGAGATGAGAAGACGAGGTCGGTCTGTACGAGGCAGCTGTGAGAGGGTTCATAAAGGCATCCGAAGTCGAGACACTCACGCGGTCTGCCGAGCTCCCTGACATTCTGCGGAAACGACAATAGCTTGGGAAATCAAGAAATCTCTCCTACTAGCGAGAAGTTGCGCGAGCGCTTTCAGGGCCCCGGGACTCGGGAGCACGATCATTCGCCGGGCCTTTCGTCACGGGGCTAATTTTATACTATTTTGCGCGAATAGACATTCAGTTTGTTTCATAAATACACTTAAGCTATTCCCCCATGGAGATGTTATCATTTTAGTGGTACAAAAAGATACACTTGCTTTTACACCTTTTGAGGTATTAGAAGAGTCGAAATACCCTTAGGGCGCAATCATCATCATTTCTTTCTCCATGTGTATTACTCTATATGTGGATAGCCCAGTGGTATTTGCATCTCTTTTTGCTGCGAGCTGACCAACTTTTTACAACAAGATTGTAAAAAAAAGGCGACTTTGTTTTACTCTTATTTTCAAATTTTACCTACCATATATTTCCGCCGGAAAGTGTTCAGGCTTTTTAGCTTCTTTTCTCACGGTCATTTTCGTACTACTAATTACAGTATAGGACCACTCCTTGAGACACCTGATCAAAATTTGCTTCCCCTTCATATGTCTCTCATATATAAATACTAAATAAATCTCATTATATTACTAAAACATATGAAATACCTCAGTGCAAAGCTGCAAGGCGAAAAGACGAAAGCCGAAGTCAAGGCGAGGGACAAAAGACGGAGGTGGTCCACTCTTTGGGACAGAGTGACTGATGTGACACATGTGACAATTTGTGACCTATACCAGCAGTCTTGGCAGACGCGGCAGTCACGCGGCAGTCAAATTTGTCACGCCTCAGTCACGCCTAAGCTCAGTAGAATCATCTCTGATGTATTCCAGCTCGACACTTAGCATCTGAGCATTAAGCGCATTTTTCACATGAACGGAGCATAAATTCGAGTATGAACGAATATTTTCGCGAATTTTAGTCTGACTGTGCGACTCTGGTGACGGTCGCAGCATCACTGAAGCCGGCGCGCTTGACAATTTTCGAGGCTTTTTGCTCCCCCACCTACGCTACAATCACCGGATGGCTCTGAGCTTCTAATGGCATATAGATATAGATGTATTATATACAGTAAAGTGGTAGTGATAGGCCCTACAGGCTGTGCGAGGGCAGAAAGTGGAGTGTCCCAAGGAGTGGTGCTGTCCCAAGGAGTGGTGCTGTCCCAAGGAGTGGTCCTACACTGTAGCCCCGTGCGTCTAGCTCCATCACCCTTCTCTGCCATAATATTGATGTCGCATGTGCGATGAATATCGGATCTAGTGAAGGTGAGGTTGCGCCCGACAGTAGTGGCTGCCTGTCCTAGTCAGACCCCATGCACTCCTGTCCGCGGTGTAGGGGCCTGAGGACAACCGGGTGCTGATCGGGATCGCCTCCTCTGCTCAAGGAGATCCACAGCGACACCTCGCCCGTTCCCAAGGTCAGCGCTGAGGCTGGTGAGTGATATCAGCTTAACATATTCAAGTAAAAGCGCACCGACGCCCCCTACAGCCCACACTCAGGCAGGGAAGATCCCTAAAGTCTCCTTCATTGAAAACGAGGCCGATTTCCGCTGGGCATTTCTCCAGGACCAGATGGCTTTCGATAAGCTCCACGAGGGTATCAAGAAGTTCGCCGAGGACGGCGAAGCCCTCAGGAGCCTCCTTCGCGAGAAGCTCTCTGTCTAAACGGCGCGCTCTAGGCTGAGTCATGTCGCAGTGATGTTCCATCGTGGACATTGTCGAGCTCGAGCTATAGATCAGTACTGGAAGCGAAGGGATGGAAGGAAACATGGATTTATCAGTATTCGAATGTGCACGTATCAACGACAGCATGGTATGCGAGCTCGAACGACTGCACCATAGAAACAGCATACTCTTCGGCCGTGCAGAGATTCGGATTCGGTAAGGAAATGCAAGCCAATTTCCGAGACCGTCTTCAGCTGGGTCTCATGCGTAGATGTAGGCATCGAGACGCTGGCGAAGCGACTGGCTACGGACAGAAGCAGCGGAGCTATGACGGTGACTATGGCAGCGATGACGAGAGACAGCGACGCCCGCAGTGTTCTCAGCTTGGAATCCAGTACGTCACTTTCTACTAACCTGGTGCGTCGCGATGCATTAATAAAGGGTTCGGTGGAACACTGTAGGACCTCTGATTGCTTACATTTCCCCGCTCTGCATGTCTCACGCTCCCTTCGCAGGAACAGCTTCTACACTTCCTGCACGGCGTCGTAATTTTGTGTGGAAAACATGCCAGATTCTCTTTGCACTTACGACGACGCCTGCTATTTCTGGCTCATGTCTCTTGACTGATCCCGCGCCACGGTTGTTGGCACGCCTGATTGGCTGTCATCCAGTGCGGCATTTGTTCGTATGCATGGCAATCCGGCCCTCGAGCCTGCGACCGAGAGGAAAGGCTGTCGTGTAACGGTGCGTGCTCTACGGACATTAATCAGTATTTTGTGTGCCCCATTGACGTGAGTAAACCTTATGAAGTCTTGGCTCCCCGGGGGCTGGTCGGTCACAACGTACTACGGGTCACGTCATCCGAGAGCGGGGGACCTATGCGCGTACGTGAGCGCACTGCATCTCGGCTGTGTGGAGGCCTGCATACGCTCTTAGCATCCTAGGCTAGACGGTACAGTACTCGGCCAGGCACGAACCTTATCCATATGTCACGCCTCCAGCAGATCTACGAACACTTGGCGGGCCGTTCCTGAACATAGCCGCCAGCTGCCAAAGTTCATTGCCTCCAGGGCCCAGCTACCAGACGGCAACGAGGCCAACCCATGCATGTCCCTGTATATGAGGGCAATGGCGATGGCATCCCTTTGGTGTCGTTGAAGAACCTTCGTGGACCTGCTGCTTCGCCTCCCAGCCCAGTATGTCGAACATCGCAAAAATACTCGGCATCGTGCGTATGGTGAAGCTCAGTGGGTGACATATCCACTGTCGATCTGTACAGTGCTGAATATTTCATCAGCAACCATCTCGCTGTTTGCGCTCGCCGTCTTGGGTGTCAACGCCCACTATGTCTGGACGACCATGAACACGGTCCTGCTGGTTGACGGCATCGCCGCCTGGCCACAGTCTGAGCCCGACACCTTCTCGGCATTGAACCTAGCCGTAGCGGTCATTACGATCGTGACAGTTCCTGTGATGTGGGTTGCTCATGGATTTTGTTGCTTCCCGTAGCTGCGACTGATTTGCGCTTGTCAGGATTATTGTCGACCTCTTCAGGAGTGGAGCCTTCACGTCGATGATCGCTGTAGAGATAGGCTGGCTGGGTAACGTGCCCTAATTTTATACCATTGACACTAGCTGATGGAGCTATTCAAGGTTTCCTCGATATCCTCTGGCTAGCCTGTTCCGCGCTGACCACAAGCATCTGGCCGTCTTTGGGATCCTTATGCTCGTTTAATCCGGACATCCCGAATCTGGATGGCGCCTGTACCGATGTTCAAACAAGTATGGCCTTCGGCTGGCTTAATTGGCTAACTTGTATGTCTGCTGCTATCTATCTGTAAGACGCATCTGGCTGATAAGTCTATATACAGTGACGGGCTATCTTGTTACGCTCTTGGTCTTCTGCATCATCTCCTCCGGCAAAGGAAGTTCGGTGTGGAAGAGCACCGTCAAGACTGCGAACTGGACATCCGGTAAGGGATATGCTATTCCGCCGATGCAGCATCAGATGCAAGCTGCGACTGTGTATTCGACGCCATATGACCAGCACAGGCCATCGGGCTACGCATATGGCGGAGGCGCGGAAGTTTAGGCTCAGTCCCGAGTACATCCGCTGCCCTCGACATCTGTCTGTCGGTCATCCCCCACAGCCTCGGACAGTGATTGCGAACTCCACTGTACACGATTACATCCTGTACCCGTATATCCTTTTAATATGTTACTGCGATCTGCTTTCTCATAGTGACATGGACAAACCCTCTGCTTCACCGCACAAGAATTGCAACGTGAGTAATCTATCATTACGCCCCTGCAAAAGGTCACCAAATTCCTTCCCACAGCATACAGACTAGATCCCACCAGTTCGCTCCGAGACTTGAGAACCTGTCGTGAGCCTTGGGAACATTGACGGTTGCCAACGGCACCGACCCCGGGACGGGGGGCGCTCCGCGACATGGTGCGAACAAGGTGATCGCCTTGCTTGCGCAAGATACCCGCCCATGTCGGACGCCAGGCCTGACACGGTTAGACGTGGCAATCTTGCGATGACGGCCCGCCACAGCTCCCCTGTCTTGCGCGCGTATCGCGGCGAATTTCGAAAACGTATCCGCGCCCGATGTCAAGAGGATGCGTTATGTACGGGACGCATGCCCATGATGCGGGAGATGCGCTCTCTCTCGTTCGTTCTCCCCGCCTCTTGCTGGCTTTGCGTTTTTTCTTTCGTTTTGAGAACTTAACTTAACTGACCTGCAACCCTTTGCCTCGACATTCTCGACATGGCACGAATGAGCCCGTTGCAGGTCTGCAGACTCGTCGCTCTTTGTGAGTACTTGGGTTCTTCGAAGGCGAGGCACGGGTAGCTGATGCACGCGCAAGTTTTGGTTATCTTCTTCTCGTCCGTTACTCTTGGCGTCCTCGCGCATCTGTCGACGGAGAGGCCGGCTGAACCGCGCGTGCTGCTGACTGTCGTGGTCGCTGCTCTTTCGGTACTGACAATTTCCACAATGTGAGCGTCAAGACGAGCACTTCTTTGTGCTGTCACGGTTGCTCATTCAAGACTATAGGGTTCTCATTGACATGCTCCGGCGAAAAATTACCTTCCTTTCTTTCATTGTTAGTGAAATCATCTGGCTTGGTATGTTTGCAAGGGGCCTGAGGACAACTGACAGGACACTCACAAGGGTTCGTAGGTGCACTGTCGGCAGCGTGGCTGGCTGCTGCCATTTCGCTCCCACGCATGACGCGAGCTTCCTGTGGCCTCCCGGACTGCGAGCCACAGGTCGAGATCTCACGCGTGTTTGCCCTTCTATCCTTCGCAATTCGTAAGTCTAACCAACATAGACGTCAGAAGCACCGCTCACCACATCTTAGTCCTCATATACACAATAGTATTATACATCAAAACCGCCCGCTTGCGCCGCTCGTCGGACAGGCCCGCACACGTCTGGACAGGCAGCGTGCGCGACGTCTTCGCGCCGGGGTGGGGGCCGCACATAACGCTAATGTACCGACCCCCGACACCGAGCAAGACCGGCTTCGGCTTCGTCGTCGAGCAGGACGACGACCCGTTCCACTCGGAGCCCCCCAGCTCGCGCGTGCCGTCGATGCTCTCGCCGAGGAGCCCACATTCGCCGTCGCCGCTCCTCGCGTCGAGCCCGCGCTCCGTAAACGAGTCGTTCCTGTCGCCATCGAGTCCGGTGTTCGTAGTCTTGCCAGGGTCGCTGCCACCTGTTCATCTACAAGTCTGAGATCGCGGAATGACAAAGCACGGAGATGTATACCCTTGTAATATAGCAAACCCAGGGTTGCGTAGAGGCATAGAGACATCGTGTACCAGTACCAAGTCTGACCTTAATACTATTTTAAATATTGTGCCCTCCCCTGTATTGTCTCATCATATCGCGATGCGCGACGAACGTGCAATGCGCGGATCGGCGAGGTGCCGGCGGAGTCGCGACACGCAGACGATCTTTGAGCAGCGAGCAGGTCGTTCCCTTTATCGGCAGAGCACGTTTGAAAGGGTCATCGATTGCAGGGTATCCAACCCGCACCTGAATTAACATAAATGAGCCAGTATGGTCGTAATAATGTAGTCTACAAGAAATTGTCCGCCACGATGCGTATAGGGTAAGTATAGGAGTCCGGGAATTATTGTAGTGCTTGTATGAGATATGTGTCTATAGTCTTGGGGTGTTCGAACACTCCGGAGCGTACTTGGCCTGTTGATAGAAAGCGGGTGAACAAAAGCGGGATGAACAGAAGATAATGCCTACCATCTCGTTCTCCTTCTTCTGATAGCCGCATTTCTCGTAGAAAGCTGGAGAAGGCCTGAGAAAACTGAAACGAGCAAAGGCGAAATGTCAGACTCACGTATGTTCTTGTCGTTGCAGTTCAAGATGGTCTTGTAGCAACCGCTGTTCTCGCTGACGCGGGTCAACGCCTGGATGATGCGCAGACCGAGCTTCTTGCCCTGCTGGCGCTCGTCGACAGCGATGTCCTCGATGTGGCCCACGCTCCCGAGGCCGCGCAGGAACTTGCGCTCGATGAAGACGGTGCCAACGGCGACGATCCGGTCGGTGAGCTTGTCGATGATAACTATCGAGTAGTACGTGTGCAGCGCAGCCTTGAGCGCGTTGAACTGCGCGACCCAAGCGCCCTCGCCCGGGTCGGTGACCACGGTCAACACTGAGAGCACCGAGAGGTGTCCGCGCTTGTAGTCGGTGGATGCGAGCGGGCGGATCTGGAGTGCTGTCAGGTGTGTAGCCCTAGAGCGCGTCCACGAGTACGTACGTGAAGATCAGGATGGAGTTGCTCCTTCACGCCAGCTGGAATGTATTCGGAAGGGAAGAGGAGGTCCAGCTCGTTGTCAGGAGTGAAAGGCATGATTGCTAGTTGCGGTTGAGAACGTTGAGAGGGTATCGGTGTGTCGAGTTGCAAGTGAGAGTGAAGGATAAGGTCGGGTAAGGGAGAGTACTATAATCCAAGCGGGTGAAGTATAAAGTGGATAGCGTCGAAAGTAGGAAGGCAAAAGGGTGAGGAACATTGGGAGGAGCGCAGCGCCAAATGTACTTTCGCATAGAGTAGGCGCTTGCGCTTGCACCACCGCCTTCGGGATCCGGCCTGTCGTAGGCTGTTCGCATCTGACAACCGCGTAGAGCACAGCAACCGGTAACAAACTGGCACGCTCGTCACAGCTAATTGGGTAAGCCGCAAAGGATGCGGCCAGTCTCGAGGTCCCAGTCACCTGTGCAGGAGTACGGACACCTGCAGCCGCGTCCAACGAGGCACAGCGAAACACTCGGCCTAAGCACAGGGATCAACACAGGCGAAGACAGCATGCTCGCGGTATCTCCCAATATACACGATTAAAACACACTGAGCACTCCTCCAACCACACATTAGGTAAAGACGAGCCTACTGCCTGCTCAGCTACAACTCTCCAGACAGGGTACACTGGGTGGTAGGCACAGTTTGTTTTCCCTTTGAAACACTCCTCGAATATGGCTATTGACAATGTCTGATTGAACTCGTTCCCTGGAGACATGGACGAGCTCGACTAGACATTGTCGGTCCCCCGAGAAAACCGGAGGCAAAACCTCATTTTTCCACCAGTTTCCTCTTTTGCCATGTTTTGCACCCTCAAATTGCCTCGGCGTTTATCTCGATTAGTGTTTCAATAATGTTACTTGATTATGCCTGTTAATAACACTTATCCCACTGCCCATCTGCTCTGCCGGTGGCGGCTCATGGATCTCTCGGCGCAGTACCAATACGCAGAGTGCGCGCAGTACTTTCAAGTGACAGCGTTACGACTCACGACTCAAGTATCCACGACTCACGATACGCCAGACAATCAGGTGACACTTACAGATTTTGTAGATATGCCTGAAATTATGTCAGTGCAAAGATTCACTCGCTAAACGGCGGCGGGAATTTAAGACAAGAGCATGAGGCCCTATGAGACCTGATGCAAAGCTGATACATGATGCATGATACTTAAGGGCACATTCACCACAGGGTGCCGGAAGAGCCCGAGACGGCACTATATATCTTCGTGCCGGCGAGATCAACGTCAACCCTCGCCCATCCATTTCCTCGCTGTCTGAAGACCATGGCTGAGAGCACTGGATACCTGACCTGGTCCTACCAAGGCGAACAGTTCACGACATGGTACAAGGTCGTCGGCGACCTGAAGTCCGTCCCCGCACCGCTCGTCACGCTCCACGGCGGTCCCGGCCAGCCGCTCGGCACGGAGACACACGTCGTACTGCACGAAAAGTATCACATACCGATCGTCATCTACGAGCAGGTCGGGTGTGGTCGATCGACACATCTGCGCGACAAGACCTCAGACTACTTCACCTTCGAGCTCTTCTTCACCGAGCTTGATGCGCTCCTTGCTCACCTCCGCATCGCCGATAGCTTCATGCTGCTTGGGCACTCCTGGGGTGGTATGCTCTCGTCAGAGTACGTCGCGATGCGCCAGCCCGCGGGCCTTCGCAGGCTCGTTCTTGTCGATGCGCCTGCGAGCGTGGAACGCTGGCACCACTGCTCAAGGAGGCTACTCAAGGAGGGCTGGCCCGACAAGGTTGACATGGTTGTGAAATGCGAGGACGAGGGCAGACTCGACGACCCGGAGTACCTTAAAGTCTGGGAGGAGTTCTTCGAGAAACACATCTGCAGAGTGAAACCTTGGCCGAAGCTGTATGCGGACAGCGTGAAGGCTTTGATAGACGACCCAACCCTCTCCAAGGCCATGTAAGCCCGCTTGAATTTCGCCGACGACGACATGCTGACGGGCTATGCAGGGCAGGGGAGTATAAACTCAAGCCCACGGGTACGTTGCGCGACTGGAAGGGCAAGGCAGACAAAATTTCTGTCCCTACTCTCGTTGTGTCCGGCATGCACGACTGGGGCAACTGGGAGGCCCAGCAGCCGTGGTTCAACGGTATCCTCAAGGTCAAATGGGTTCCGTTTGCTCACAGTGCCCACGTGCCATTCTTTGAGGAACCAGAGCGCTACTTTGAGACGGTGGCCAAATTCGTTACTGACGTAAGTGTGTAATTCCTTGCCTATAGATGCTTGCACTAACGTATCCTGTTTAGATGCAATAAGGAGTTCGGAACCCTTTTCCCCATTCAAATTCGAACGCTGGGTCCACGTGACTATTCTTCGGGGTAGTCGTATTCGGGAGAATATTGCGTGGCCCATTGTAATACAAATTCATCGCTTCATCAATGGTACAACATGCGAATAAATGTAGAGGCATGCGTAAGGGTCGTGTGCACACACCATGCGGATGCAAGATGAGACATGACTAGACGATACGGCTAGATAAAGAGAGAACAAATGGAAGTTACCTTGTTTGCAATACTAAGCTGACCAGTCGACCGTCACCGATCAGCGTAAGTGTGAAGACGCTAGTCGGCCACCTTGCCAAGTGGCGTCTTGGCCATCACGCTGAGCACTTCGTACAGCACCTGTTACGGCAGTGAGTGGAAGTTCCGGTAGGATCATACAACTTGACATACGTCAGCCGCTGCCATGGTGGTCAGCTCTGCGTTGGTGTCGTAAGCGGGCGCGACCTCGACGATATCGGCAGACACGATGTGCAAGCCGTCGAGCCCACGGAGAATGGTACGTAGCTCGCGTGTGGACCACCCGCCAGTCTCAGGCGTGCCCGTTGCCGGCGCGAACGCGGGGTCAATCGAGTCGATCTGCGTGCGCATGCGCACGGTCAGTGCGTGTGCGCGAGTAGGAGAGTAGAGTAAGAACCCACATCAATCGAGAGGTACACGGGCTTGTCGCCGACAGTCTCGCGGATCTTTTTGATAATGCCGTCAGTGCCTGCGGGTGTGCATGTGAGTAGCTGTGCAAGACGTTCGCCTCGAGGCAGGGAACGTGCCCCACGCACCAATGGTATCGATCTCCCGCGCCTCGATGCGCTGAAAGCCAGACGCATCATCGTTGACGTAGTCCGCTGGTCCCGAGAGTGTCGTCCGAATCGCACCGTGCTGTTCAAAGGGAGTCACTAGGATCATACAGCGTCTGGAAGCGGAGAAGACAGAAATTTGTAAGGGAAATGGACACTTGCAATTGATGAGCCGTTCTTGATGAGACCTTCTTGGCTAGCCCAGTAGAAATACGTGCCATGGTTTATTGCGGCCTGCTCGGACGGCGCACCGCCGAAAACCTGCGGCTTCCAAGTATCGAGGTGCGAATCGAAGTGGATGACAGAAATGGCGCCGTAAGCCGTGTGGATAGAGCGCAAGAGGGGTAGCACAATGGTGTGATCGCCACCGAGAGTGATGACACGCGGGTGGTGCTTGCCATCGGCAGAAATAGGCACGAGGGGCTTTCCTGTGACAGAGTCATTCCCGAGCGGGGAGAAGGTGGGACGATGGAGCAGCGCCTTGTGGCCCTCTTCCATTTGCTTGATAGCGAACGCGTTGTCGTAAGGTGTAACGGGGATATCCCCGCAATCGACCACCTTCAGCCCAGAGAGGAAAGGGTTGACAGCAAGAGGAACGTTATAACCACCGTAGAGAGTGAGGCGGCGTGAGCCAGCCCTGATTCCGGCGGGGCCGAAACGTGCCCCAGGGCGGTAAGACGTCCCGGTGTCCTGAGATGCCTGTGAGCGTTTGCGCTTGGGCACGAAATTGTTGATATTACGTACGAACGGTGCACCTATAAAGGCAATGTCGAAGTATTCATCTCTGTCCTTTCCTAAGCACTGCACCCACGGCAGTTTGGCGAAGGTTGTGATGCCGGAAAAGACGGAATCCGCGGTCACTTTAGGCTGAGATTTAGCCAGGAGCTTCAAAAACGGGGCGATAACAAACCTCCGTTGTCTCCCGGATAAGCGGCCTGATATGGGAATCGGACGTAATCCAGAGGCATCTGCATGTCGTGATCATGTCCGTCGTGCGCATGAACCGGTATGCACAACAAAGTCAGGAGTCCCAGGAGCGAGGCAAGAGAGTGCATATCGAGCAAGCGACGTTGAAAAGAGCACCTACAGAATGCTGGGAGATATCCTGACAGGATGCAGACATTAAATAGCAACATGCTGGGGAACCTTGAGGCTGAGTCTGACGCCGAGAACTTACACATGTACCGTCTCATGACTGCTATCTCGCAGCGTGGTCGCTCCCCGTGGAAAGCATATTCCACGGGTTACATCGTTCTCGACCACTCAGGAGCAGACAGATGAAACGAATGAGACGCGATTTGTCTCCTGTTATCGCTCGCAGAGCGAATGGAGAAAATCAGGAGTTGCGTGGCAATTTTAATCAGCCTTTCTTGATAAGAAAGAGGCAAAAGTGGCACTTATTTCTCTGCCTCGAGGCAAAGCAATTGTTTTTAGGCCGACAGGGCGGGCGGAACATCGTGAACGTGTCGATAGACAACAGCCACATCGCCATCGAGAAGGATGTATGTATACTAGCGGTAGAAATTGCCATCAGACAGTCTCTCGTAATTTTCCCCATGACAAACACTCACCTACCCACCGCCAGAGGCGAGAGGCAGCTGCTCTTAGGAAGCGAGCCTCAGACACCCTCTGTGACGGTCTCGTATGACGGTACGACGACAACTTCCGAATCCGCCACTGCGGCGTCTGCGGCGGACGCTGGGGGTTCGGGGCGCCTCTTCCTCTCTCTGCTCGTCGACTCCATCCCAGGTGTGTGCAGCGGACGCGGAGGAGCTCATAGCAAGCTGATTTCGAATTTCTAGTAATATCATCGTATGCTCTGCAAAACTCTATCCAGACGTCGTCCATCCTCGTCGTCGGGCGCCTGGGCCCCGACGAGCTGTCTGCCGCGGCATTCTCGCTGATGTTCGCCATGGTCACTGGCTAGTATATTTCCTTGCATGGCTGTCGCGAAAGATCCCACTATTCTCTCTTGGACTGCGCAGGTTGGTGTGTTGCACTTGGTGGTACTACCGCTCTCGATACGCTCGGATCCCAAGCCTTCACCGGAGGCCAGCGACGCACCGACGTATCTATTCACCTCCAACGGTGTATCTTCCTGCTTTGGATCCTTTTTCTTCCGGTGGCCTTAGTTTGGGTTTATGCGCACCCCGTTCTCCTTATCTTCGGCCAAGCAGAGCGGCTGTCATGCGATGTACAAGCATTCCTACGGATTCTCATTATTGGTGCCCCTGGATATATCGCTTTCGAAAGCCTGAAGAAATATCTTCAGTGTCAAGGTACGTTGCCTTATAACGTAGGATCCGGATAACTAACCCGACTTTTAGGCATCATGCGTGCCTCAACTGTAGTACTTATCGCGGTGCTACCGGTGAATGTCCTACTCAACATCCTGCTTGTTCATCATACCCCTCTCGGGTTCTTTGGCTCCCCGCTGGCGCTATCAATTAGCTACTGGCTTGCCTTTTTCTTGCTAGTTATTCTGACTATCATGTCCCCGACACACCGACGGAACGGAACATGGGGCGGTCTAGATCTTGTGACGGTGCTAGACTTTAGGAGCTGTTTCGAATTCCTGAAACTTGCGATTCCAGGTATCCTTATGGTCGGAACAGAGTGGTCAGTAATATTAATCTGTCGGCAATTGTATATACTGACCTTTGTTTCCAGGGCTGCCTTCGAGATAGTTGCCCTAGCTGCAGGCAGACTCGGAGCCTTGCCCCTCGCTGCGCAGTCTATCATCATGACAGCTGACCAAAGTAAGTTGAGATTTCACACCCTACTCGTTGGATGAGTGACAAGCCGCTTGCTAGTCTTGAACACGATCCCATTTGGCATAGGCGTCGCTGCCTCGACTCGCGTGGGGAACTACATTGGCTCCCGTTCCGCAGTAGCAGCCAAACATGCGAGCCACATGTCTGCACTCCTCAGTATCTTCGTGGGCGCAATCGTCATGGTCACGCTTATCGCCACCAAAAATGTAAAGATCTCCTCTTGTCTTATTCCGTGCATGCTCACTGCATCATAGAGTTTCGGCTACCTGTTCAGCGATGACGCCGAAGTCGTTCAATTGGTGAGTAAGGTTATGCCCCTGGTGGCGTCTTTCCAGGTGAGTTTATTTCTCTCGCTTGAACACTCCCCAGTCGAGTAACAAGGCTGCCCCCAGATTGCGGACGGGCTGGCTGGCTCGTGTGGAGGAGTTCTTCGAGGACAAGGTCGCCAGCATCTCGGCGCTTTGTTCAATCTTGTGGCCTACTACGTTCTGGCTCTTCCTATGGGCATCACTCTCGCATTCCATACTCGAACGCACATGGGACTTCAGGGTCTCTGGATAGGTGAGCAAGCTCCGGAGTAGCCTCTATCCCGTGGCTTACTTGATATTATTTTGTCAATAGGGCAGGTTGTTGCACTGTTTATCGTCGGTTTCGGCGAGTACGCTGTTGTCTGGCTAGGGACTAACTGGGACAAGGAGATTCAGAAGGGTGTCGAGCGCAACAGAGAGCAGGCAAAGATCCGGGCTTTGCATTATTCTGACAGAGATGGGGACGAATG